GATTCCTGAACGTATAATGCTGTGCCCTTCTTCAAAGAAAGCACCGAAGCAACGGCCGGCTTGCAAATGCTCTGCAGGCGCTTTGTGCAGCATGTTTGCCGGGCCTATTCGCATTCTGACACTTCTGAAGTTCTAATCCTAGAATCCTAGAAGTCATCCGTCGCAGGGCTGGTTTTAGGTCCAGGCCTGGAGACTGGCTGCAGAGGAGTGCTACTTTGTGCCCCGTTGAGCAAGTCTGATGACGGGAGTACCCCTCGGATTCTCGCAGGGCTGAGGGTACAGGCGATAGTAGGGTGGATAGCACTGCGATGTGACAAAAGACAGCCATGTCGAAGAAGACTTGCTCAATGCCGGACGTGAATAATGGTCACGATCTAATACGCTGTTTTAAACAGGAGGAGAACTGCTGTCATTCTGCACCTACCCGAAGGAGACACCGCATTAGCACTCAGACTAGACTCTTCTCATTCTCCCTCATCCCGAACCCTTCTCCCTAACACCGCGATGCTTTGACCTAGACCCTGGACAGCCGTGCTTGTGCGAGTGTGCGAGTCGAAACCCTGCTCAAACCGGACAGAATCGTTGGAAGCCCGAGCCCTTAACAAGGAAGCAAGGTGTCCTGAGGGCGTGGGCAGGGCAGTTCGCCGTGAGCGTGACGGTGGTGATCTGGAGGACTTTGCGGTTGTGAAAGAGCTGCACCGACACCATGCAACTCATTGCAGCCAGGTGGTGCCCAGGAGATTCCTGAGTGTATTCAGTAATTGCATATGATACAAGCCATCCATGGCAAGGTTGTTTTCAGGTCCAACTAGAGACCGGCTGCAGGGGAGTGCTAGTTTATGCCCCGTTGAGCAAGTCTGATCACGGGAGGGGCCCTCGGATTCTCGCAGGGCTGACGGTACAGGGGATAGTGGGGTAGATAGTGCCGTTATTACAATGACAGCCATGTCGAAGAAGACTTGCTCAATGCCGGACGTGAAGAATGGTCACGTTCCAATCCGCTGTTTGTAAGCAGCTCACATGCTAGGAGAACTGCTGTCATTCTGCACCTACCCGAAGGAGACACCGCATTAGCACTCAGACTAGACTCTTCTCATTCTCCCTCATCCCGAACCCTTCTCCCTAACACCGCGATGCTTTGACCTAGACCCTGGACAGCCGTGCTTGTGCGAGTGTGCGAGTCGAAACCCTGCTCAAACCGGACAGAATCGTTGGAAGCCCGAGCCCTTAACAAGGAAGCAAAAGGTGTCCTGAGGGCGTGGGCAGGGCAGTTCGCCGTTAGCGTGACGCTGGTGATCTGGAGAACTCCACAGTCCATGCCAAGGCCAAGAACATGGCAGGGCACTTTGCGGTTGAGTCCATTGGTCAGCGAAAGGGCTGCACCGACACCATGCAACTCATTGCAGCCAGGTGGTGCCCAGGAGATTCCTGAGTGTATTCAGTAATTGCATATGATACAAGCCATCCATGGCAAGGTTGTTTTCAGGTCCAACTAGAGACCGGCTGCAGGGGAGTGCTAGTTTATGCCCCGTTGAGCAAGTCTGATCACGGGAGGGGCCCTCGGATTCTCGCAGGGCTGATGCTACAGGGGATAGTGGGGTAGATAGTGCCGCGATTACAATGAGACAGCCATGTCGAAGAAGACTTGCTCAATGCCGGACGTGAAGAATGGTCACGTTCCAATCCGCTGTTTGTGGGGAGCTCACATGCCAGGAGAACTGCTGTCATTCTGCACCTACCCGAAGGAGACACCGCATTAGCACCCAGACTAGACTCTTCTCCCTCATCCCGAACCCTTCTCCCTAAAACCGCGATCCTTGGCCCCTGGACCCTGATCAAGCCGTGCCTGCCTTGTGCGAGTGTGCGAGTCGAAACCCTGCTCAAACCGGACAGGATCGTTGAAAGCCCGAGGCCTTAGCAAGGAAGCAAGGTGTCCTGAGGGCGTGGGCAGGGCAGTTCGCCGTGAGCGTGACGGTGGTGATCTGGAGGACTTTGCGGTTGTGAAAGAGCTGCACCGGCACCATGCAACTCATTGCAGCCAGGTGGTGCCCAGGAGATTCCTGAGTGTATTCAGTAATTGCATATGATACAAGCCATCCATGGCAAGGTTGTTTTCAGGTCCAACTAGAGACCGGCTGCAGGGGAGTGCTAGTTTATGCCCCGTTGAGCAAGTCTGATCACGGGAGAGGCCCTCGGATTCTCGCAGGGCTGATGCTACAGGGGATAGTGGGGTAGATAGTGCCGCGATTACAATGAGACAGCCATGTCGAAGAAGACTTGCTCAAGGAGCTCACATGCTAGGAAAACTGCTGGCTTTCTGCACCTACCCGAAGGAGACAAGAGCACTACAAAGCACCCATGCACTCTGGCCCGACTTTGATGACAGCAAGTAGCGCTGTGGGATACCTGTCGATCCGGTTGTTAACCGGGCTTCCCTTTGAGCTTGGGTGCGAAAAAAAAGCTGCCTACGTCTCCTCCGTCTCATCTGAAAGGGCCAAGAGCTCAAACCAGGCCGCGCGCGGACGCATCGCCCAGTGCCTGGGTGAGCTGGAGCGGGCGGATCCCGACCTGCAGCTTGGCACACGAGACATTAGTGACATCAGTATTGTTCGGAGGTTGGGTGTTGGACTGTTTTCGAAGTTTCAACTATACCTTTTCTCCTTGTTGCATTCCCTGCCGAGGTACGACCTTGCCATGCTTGCGGCGGACGAGGTCGATGAGAAGATTATGTTGATCAGCTTTTATATATATACATATATATACACGATATGTTCATGTATGTATGTATATACGTACGTAGCTGTATGGTGTTATGGTATGGTATGGAATGGCAGGTATGTAAACATATACACTTACATCTATACATGCATGCAGACATGCATACATAATTACATACATACAGATACTAGATGCATGCAGATATTCTGATTTGCTTAGTTGCCATTCCCCTTTGCAAGTATGAACTCGTAGTTTGCACGGACTGAGACCTCTCGGAAATGAGGCCTGGAATCACCCCGGGCTTCTGAGGATCATCAAATCAAGCTTTAAAGGACTTTTTGCAATCGTGAGCAATGGAGTTCATTCATGCATTCCGTTGCTGAGCTTCAAACGCTTTGGTCGATTTATTTCAAGCTTCAGACTGATTGGCATTTCGCGGCACCGTCCCGCTGCCCTTGGGGGGAAGACTGTTTGATGACATGCTGCTGCTTTTCTGGCTTGATCCTACTGACGGGTGGAACTGTTTCAGCTGTGACTTTTGCCATCCTTTGCCCGGGTCCGTGGGCAACAATGTTGGACGAAGTCGTAACCTGTCTCGACCACTTCTTTTTCATGCCTGATTTGGTTGACGATAGTGCAGTTTACTTCTGGGAACTCATCACGCATTGTTGGAAGACGCACAGGAAGGAATTCAACATTCAGTCAGTGGTGCACGCATGAAGGGCGAATGTCATCAATGCAGCTCTGCCTGGGCAGCTCCACACGAGTGCTGCACTGGCGTCACTGTTTTATCATCCCCTTTTTCCGGGAAGGACGTGGGCGAGTTCATTGCCGCCTCGAGTGCTTCGAGTGGTCTTCCGCACGGCTGGGAGGCCGGACTTCATGGTTGGCAGAGGAAGCCCATTATAATTACCTATACTATCTTGTGGGTTCCTAAATATAGTTATAGTTTAATGATTAGTGGGCCCCAAAACCGTATAATAATTATTAAGGCCCTACATTACGTTCAGACAAGGACGTCCAGATGAAAGCACGAGAGGCTTTGACCGCTCACGTCCTGCACGAGCAGACAACTGCACCCCCCGAGCCGTTCAGAGCATTGTGCTTTCTCAGCAGCTTCATGCACTTGCACGGAGGCACTCTCTGCTGAAGATGGGGCTGTGTACTACCACAACCTTGTGTCAGGCAGGGGTTGAAACCTGCTGCAACGGACACTTCAGCCCAAAGAGGGCGTGTAGTTAGGGTTGACGGTTGCGAACGCTGCAGGAAGCGCCCGTTGTAGTGGTAACTCCGCATCAATCCAACCGAAGCCGTGCAAAGGCTGAACGCCGAACAACTAGGCAGCGGGGATTTCACCACGGCAAGGCACTACGCAGTGGGAGTTGCCGGTGCAGGATGCCGCGGTCTGCGCAGGATGGAGGCTCTTCCAAGCAGATGACGGAGGCGCTGTTGCGGAGCGTTGTGGAGTCAGGCTTCTGGTTATGTCAAGGCGGATGTGGTTTGCATTCGGTGCATAGACGTTCAGTTGCAGTTTGATCTGAGTTGACATGCGGCGGATGTACTGAGTGTGACTGCGATCAGAAGCATTGACCTCTCACGGTCTCTGGTGAGCTGTCGTCAGATGTTCTGATTTGCCACCCTCTGGACTTTGAAAGCATCCGTTCGAAACGACCGCTCCCTCGCCCTCTAAATGTATAACTGTGCAAACATGCTCGCGATCTCCAGGGTGGTTCTACCACAATCCCTACGATGGCCACGGCATTTGGTGGCCCGAGCTTCCGACGTATCCAGCAGCTCCTGACTCCCTCGACAGCCTGCGCAAGGAGGGGTGAAGGGTCACGCTGGTTTCGGATTTCTTGGAGACTGCCTTTGGGCCTTTGGGGTCTTGTTCCATTCGGACGAGTCACAATTGGCGAGTCACGATCCACTGATGTGCTTGGCCTGAGCTTGCTCGAATCCACAGAAGTAAGTGAAACCGTGCGAGCGGTGCCTCTGAATGTTGCCGCCAGGACGTCTCAGAGGATTGACATCTGCGACAGAACTGTGAAACCAAGGACGTCGTTTGATGTTTTATGCTCCGCTACGGCAGTGAGCTCGATAATGAAGTTGACTCGTGCATGCCGTGGATTGGGTGCTGGCCCATTTGAACGACAACCCCTTTTCTCCTGCTAAAGCACGAGACGCAAGATAGTGTGTCACCCAGGAAAATGGGCGGCAGTTGCTGGCCGTTGCCTGTCCATCACATTACACCTCACGAGGATTGGAGGGCATCTCTGTGTCAGGTCTACACCCGGGCTGCTACGCCAAACCTGTCATGAACTCGGAGTCAAGAGCTGTTCATCAAGCTGATTCACCCAGTGATACTCTCGGGCTTGGCCTCGTGCAAGCGCTACCTGTGCAAGGCGGTGGAGCTACCGCGGAGAGGACGAGGTGCAACCGAGAAAATGTCTGTATTAGACCCAGCCCGTTGCAGTCGTTTCCAAAAAGTCGAACGTCACTGACTTCGTCACACTGGCAGGTCGTCTTATGGGCTGATGAGGACATCCTGAGTGGCCGGGAGCTCACGGCTCCGGGCTCAGACTGTGAGTGAATGAAGGAACAAGAGACTCTATCGCTGCTGCTGCATGCTCATCTTCGCTATGTTTTCAAGCCCGACAAATTCCTGGCGGTCACAGCGCACAAAGAAAAGGGGGAGCGGGTACTCCTACAGTCTAGAGCATGCAATGCGGGAGCCACAGTTGCTGGCTCCTGCGGGAGAGAAGGTGAAGACGAGCCCACTGGTGTCAGTTCAGTCTTGCAGCATCGAAGCTTGCATATGTTCAGACTTCCTGGAAGAACAAGTACATATGTGTGACTTATGCGTGTGCACCAAGCATGTATGAGAGTCTGTCTGGCTGCAGCCTTGTGAATCTGGAGACATGAAAACTTGGAGCCACGCCTTTGAGGCTTCCCATCTGCTTGCGAAATATTTCGCTGCCATTGCATGAGGCGAGAAGAGTCGAGCTGAGCTGCTGAGCTCAGGTCGACTTCGGATCGGCCCCGGCGCCCTTGGGAGATGCGCGGCCACCTCCCTCGACGTGTCGCGGCCGAAGGGAGAGGAAGAGCAGCTTCAACAAGAAGCTCATCGAAACATAGCCCAGGGCTATCTTGCCCAAGCCACCTTCAGAACTGAGGTGGCAGGCGCCGCCGCCGAAGTCCGGGACCTTCAGCAGCGATCACTGCCTGATGCTGTTACGCATTGTGACTATTGTGACTTGCAGGTTCTGAAATCATTTCTCAGGCAGTGGCCGCATCTGTGGCTGAACATGTGCCAAACCAAGGGCCCCAAACGTTGCCACATGGCTGGAGGGCTTCCAAACCCTCTCGAACCGCTGGCATCAAACGGCAAGAAGTAAGAAGTCCGAAGTAGCCCTGGCCTCTCTGAAGTGGATGAAACTTTAAGGGTTTAAGGCTTGATCAAGCCCCAGACTGTGACTCAATCGGGTTCCTTCTTATAAGTATAGTATCGTGGGCCCAATTCTAACTATTAAGGCCCCCATTTTAAAGCCTCCTTGGCCCATGGCTCTCCGTCTTTGTCTCGGCCTTGGGCTTTTGACCGGCTTCTGGGAGGCCGGACGGGGGGGGGCACCTGAAGGAGAGGTTTTGCTGGGAAGTTACAGTGGCTCTAGTGACGTCGGATTTTGGAAAGTCCCTGTCGCAATGTGCATTACATTTCCAAGTCAGGCCGCTTCCCCGCTTTCCAGCGCCCATAGATTAGAAGAGGTAGCTCTGCTACTGCCGCGGAGCTACGGCCCTGCTCATCCGACCCAGGCCAGAGCGGTAGCCACCGGGAAGGTCTCCATTGCGAGTTCGGAAAAGTCGGATAATGCCAGCTGAACTACTGTCGAATAAGGCCTTTGCTGAAGCAAATCACTCTGAAATCGGAGCGGTATTTCGAGCAGAGGCTCTGCCACAAGCAAAGCCATGAAGAGTTTACATGTTGCGTTTGTGTAAACACAGATTCAGGTGTAGTCTCCGTACACAGGTGACTAGCTACGTAGATGCTACAGATACTGTGAAGTGAGGTGGAGGTCAAGCGCTGTCAAGAGGGATGTGCAAAGTTGACATGCCGGATCGTAAAGTCTGCAGGGACAAAGTTCCAACTCGATCGTGACAGGAAGCAGCCGCCAACATGTCTCAACGATTTCACCCGAAAAAGCGATGGTATGGATAAGTTCTGTGAGCAGACCCTTCGGTGTTGCTCACCGTGGCTTCCGGGCGGTTAGTCTGTGAGAGGTTGCTCAGGCCCAGCGCCCAGCGTTGGCAAGCAGAGAGAGAAACTCAGCCTTTGCGAATGCCGACGCTTCCACGACCAGGCGCCCGCGCGTCCATCCCGACGCTGCAGAGCAGAGAGCGACGTGGAGGAGGTGCTTTTCGTGTTGTAACTGGACCTTCAGGCAGCATCCCACATGTGATAGAGACCGAGAACGGCTGAGCCAAGTTCATGGCAAAAAAAAATGGAGCGGTAACTCGTGAGTGGCTTCATGTACAACAGCTCCTCTTTGCAAAGGGTCGATCATTCGCGTCATTTTTGGCTCAAGACCCCGGATCTTGGGGAGCAGGCGTCCCAGAACGCACCCCAGAGGCATGGCAATTGTCAAAGCCGAGGACCCGACAAGCGCGGGCCGTGGGCCGAAATCTTGACTCATGTGGACAACTTAACTTGTGGAGGAACGCCAGACTGGAGCCCAGCAACCATAACCTGCATTTGGCTGCAAGGAGAAGCCACTGGTTTCGGATCCGTCCACCCTGACCCCAGGGCAGGCCTGTCGCACAGTGCAGGGCTTTGCAGGACTGCTGCCTGCTTGAGCTGTGACTCGACTAGGGATCCACCGCAAATGCATCAAAGTGAGGCAAATCAGTACAGGTAGGCACACTGCAAGCGAGATTGATCGAGAGAAACAAACACAAGCACAGACAGAAGCTCGAACACACTCTTTCTCCCCCAGCTTTCTCGCTCTTCGATTTCATGCAGTGTTTGTTGTCAGTACGTTCTGTCTTCCTATCATGTCGGCGTGGCTGTGCCGCAATTCTTTGCTGCTGATCGAACATTGATGTTGTTTATCCGCCTTTCGGTCTCTGTTCGCTGAACGGGCAACCAGCATGATCACGTGCCTCACAACAAGAACACCACACCCCGGAAAGGTCCCCCCTGCATGGTAGAAGGGTTTGAAGTGTTCCATGTAGAGGCTCGCGAGACATGCAACCGTAGGCCCTAGGTTGTAAGATTGTACGCAGAGGGTTAAGCACTGCACACCCTGTTTGAGTCTCTCAGGCTACCCTACGCCCTTCTCAAGCACATCCTAAATTTGTAACCTACACCGTACTTACTCCGCCATCTGCTTCTCACCAAACTGCATCGACAGGCGTCACAGCTGGCAATCTACGAGTCTGACCTCTGGAAGAAGTCCTGCAGGTTGGATCGCTTTTCATTTTGCGTGTGGGTTTCCGGAAGTTTCGGGGCCCTCTTTGAATGAGGTCCTGCGGTCTAGAGTCTAATTTAAAGAGTCGATGTTGGGGTCCCTCATGTTCGGCAGTGTATGACATCTCTGAGAAACTATGATAATGAACTACCAGCAGCTGGATGCTGATGCAGCTTGCCGTCATTTGCAGTGGCAGCACGAACAGGAACTCGGCATACTTGTGCAAAGAGATCCACTACAACACCCTGGCGCGGGAGTGGCGCTGTATATGGAGCGAGGAGGATCAGAAGCGTTCTCTCACGGAACTGCAACGCGTCCTAGAGGACTCTGGGGGCTGAAACTTGGACGGTTGCATGGAGTTTATGTTACTTCTGTGCTGGAGCCCTCCTAGTGTCCTTTGGGAGGACGTTGCCGTGCCGGCGCTCCGAAGAGTGCCTGGCTTGTTAGGCGTGCAGCGAATCGTCTGTGGATGCAAAAAAGAGTTCAAGATCATATGCAGCTTGGCTCCCCCTCGCCCGACTTGACCTGGAGATCCACTAGTGAAATTCGAAAACCCACAACAAGCATCCAAGTTCTAGTCTGTGGAACAAGGTAAGCTCGGTCTCGATGCGTTCGAAGACTGGTCCGGCCAGCAGTTCTACCCCGAGGAAGAGACCCTTTTGCGGCACTTGGCAAGCTGTTTTGAGGATGTCTTCTTTGTTGTGCTGTTGGGCTTCTGTGCCATACTTGCAGAGTCGCTTGGGGTATGATCTCAGCCCGAGGATGGTCCAGAGGTGGCAAGCTATTGAAGGTGTCAGCAAGATCGAGGTCCAAACATTCAGCTTGGAACCTGTTTTTGGTCCTGGAAAGTGAGGGTACGAAGGACGTAGGCTAGGCCTTTCTTCCGAGTGCGCTGCCATGTTGACAGTCCCACAAACATGGACAGCATCTACTAGTACCATGCAGTTCAATGTTTAAAGCTGTGTATTCAACACCACCGAAAGCTTCTGGTTTTTGGAGATAGCGAGCTGCATACAAAACGATGATACTTTCGTACTTCGCACAGCGCGCCGGAGCTTCTCATCCCACATCGCGCCTGTTGCGTTGCCTCCTTAGCTGTGCACTGAGCAGTTGACATATGAGCGGCGTGGAGCAAAAGCGCGCTGCCCAGGCTGCCTGTGTCCTGCGAAGCACCAGAACCGCAGAGAGTGTGAGAATCCACAGGAGGGGGCCAGTTTGGAAGCCGCGAGCCTCCGGTCATCCGTTTTCCTGCAGGCGGCTCTCCTGGCCCGGCTTCGTGCCGCAGGGGACGCTGCAGCCGCCTCCGGCGAGGACTGGGGCCTGGGGGCATAATTCCCTGTACTAGTTACTAATACTCTGCTATTTTGGGGTTCCTTATAAGCATACTAGAATGGGCCCCAGAGTCTCTGGCGAGTCTGGGGGTCCAGTTGCGGCTGAGCTTATCTCCTTCGCAGGGTCTGCTGGCCCGTGAGTGTTACCAAGCCGCCGCAGGCCACTCTTCAGAAATCGGTTTCTCAAGATTTCCAGGGATGCCTCTTCTGTTGGAGCGCCATTTGCGAGTTTTACAGCGCACAGTGCATAAGGCAGGGGAGAGGGATGGGAGAAGTGGCGACGGCGTTTTTGCGGAGTCTCTTCGTCATTCGAGGCCTCCTGGAGGGCGACGACGCCTCCCAAGCCGAACGGGCCGAGGTCTTCATGAGGCGCACACGGCCCTGTCTCGGGGTAGCATATGCAGATGGTTCAGGGCGGCTGGTGGTCCACGAGTTTGAGAACAGATTTTGTTCGGCAGCTGATACAGTACTATGATGCAGGGCTCTGCCAAGACAATATGGCCGATTTCATGTGTCTTTATACAGTACGTAGGTCATAACCCCTCACGAACCTGCACATTTCAGGATCGGCGACACGTACGTGGATGAGCAGGTTGCAGACCGTGCTCTCGCGTCATGGTGAAATTGGAGTGGGATCTGCGGGAATCCGATGTTGCATGATTACTAGGCTCCTTTCGAGGGATATGGCATGTGAAGAAAGTCTTGCCCATGGCCTGACTTCCCTATACCCATGTTACACATGTTTATCGCGACGGTGGGAAGTTCACAGTCAAGTCTTATCCGAGCAAAGCCATAAACAGACCGATTGCTCGCTTCTGAAGGTCCCTCCTACTATTACTCCTGCCCCCACACCGACCCCGCCAGTATACGCGTACACTCTACACCCACTCCTACGCCTACTCCATCCTACTCCCACTCCTACTCCTCCTGCAGCTACTGTTGCCACTGCGAGGTAGCCACTGCTGATGCTGCTGATGCTGCTGCTGCTACTAGGCTGCTACTGCGACTGCTACGACTACTTTGACTACCACGACTACTCCGACGACTACGACTACGACTACGACGATAACGACCACCACCACCACCACCACTACTACTACTACTACTACTACTACTACTACTACTACTACTACTACTACTACTACGACTACTAAGAGCGTAGTGCATAATTGACGCTATGCATTTCCTCACTTCACATGCCCAAAACTCGAGTTTTAAGCACATTTCACTACTTCTCTGGGGGGCGTTGAATTCTGACAACCTTGACTTAGGAATTCTATCTTTGGGATTTGGGTTTCAGCTTGAGAGCGGGGATGTCTTTGTGCTTTGGGTTTGATGAGACCTTGGATTTCGTATGAGGGCCCTGGTGTTCGTATCAGGTCTATGGATTTCGTACGAGGGCCTTGCTTTTCCTATGAGGGCCTTGGAATAAATTTTCAGTACTTATTTTTGGCTTGGCTTGGCTTGGGGGGCTACTACTACTACTACTACTACTACTACTACTACTACTACTACTACTACTACTACTACTACTACTACTACTACTACTACTACTGCGACTGCGACTGCGACTGCGACTGCGACTGCGACTGCGACTGCGACTGCGACTACGACTACGACTACGACTACGACTACTACTGCTACTGTGCTGCTACTTCCTGAGGAATGGTTCGAGAAAGCTCAGCGAGAGCTTGACAAGGATTTGAGGTGCACGGTTTGTTTCGGCACTGTTATTACCACTCAATACTATGTGGCCTTGTTGCGGTGATGATGGCTGTCGGGCTAGGTTGCGGATTGTTGCAATACCATCACTCGTGCTAATTAGTGGTCTTGCTGTGCTGTCGTTCTGATGTGTTGACTTGTATCGGGGCTTAGCTATCGTGAGAGTCTGTGGAGGACTTCTTTGCTGGATGCAGGGGGTGTCGCGGTCGCCTAGGACGTCAAGTGCGCCACAGTAGATGGAATTCACAGGGCTATGGTCGAATCATCCACAAGCTTCAAGCCCCGGGAAGGTTGGCAGCCCCGCTCCGCGCGTCTCTGTTGGCCCGGCGGGCAGCAGCCATGGCGCAAGGAGCGAAGACGCGAGACGCAGGGGGTCCGCTCTGCGTCTTTGAGAGTTTCGCGAAATTAGGGTCCTTTGTTGAAGATCCCATCAATCAGGGTCAGCAATGTTCGAATTCTCTATTTAGAGGACCAGGATTCAGGAAAAGTTGGTGACTGGTGCTGCGAGTGTTGTGCCTTCATATAGATGACTTGTAGATAAAAAGACTTTGCGTCCGGTACAGGCGGCGATGTGCCGGAGGCGCTTGGCGAAGTGGAGGCGGCCATGAGACTCCTCCAAGGCCACTTGGAGGTTCATGGGTAGTTACATATGGGAGTTTCCGAAAATAGGGGATCCTAATATAGTCACCTAAACAGTAGGATCCTTATCATAAGGACCCCCAAACAAAGCACCCCTTTCGGAAACTCCCATATGGAGTTGTAGCTCCCCCAATATGGGTTAGTTATAACAGGAGTTACCGTACTAATAACCCCACTTATCACAATCTATGAACCTCCAATGCCAGGCGTTGGGATTAGTGTTTGAAGGGTTACTCCGCCCAGGCTAGGCATGTGGGCTGATTCCCTTGAGCTCTCCCCGATCTATCTGGCCTACATGCAGTTTCAATGCAACTGTGCTAGGTGAGTGACAAAGAAAGTGCATGATATCTGCACGGTTGCCTCATGGCAATACAATGCAAGCAATTTGATGTAATGTTCTGCAGCCTAGCGGGCCTGTCATATCGTGCACTATAATGCTTTTCGGTCAAAAAGAAGTTTTCCAGTACATACGCTGATACATATATATATATATATGTATAAGTATTCACAGCTCTCTCTCTCTCTCTGTCTCTCTCTCTCTCTCTCTCTCTCTCTCTCTCTCTCTCTCTCTCTCTCTCTATATATATATATATGTATGCCCTGAAGCCTCGCCTGCCCTGCCGAGTGCGAGTGACAAAAATTTGTATGTACACAGAGAGAACTAACGGTGCTTGTACGAATATGTGAACAGATACACGCATCAATCCAAATTCCAACATGAAACACACAAGTAGAAGCATAGGTAGAAATTAGCACATACTTTAACTAGAATGACGCTATATCAGTGAAGCAGTAAGCATTCGCGTATTTTAACACAGGCAACAAAGCATGACCATGTACGGTGACATGGGTACATAAACTCATACATGCATCACACATATTTACACACGTATATATATATATATATAGATACATAAATAGATTATATATATATATATATATCTATATGCATGCACATGTGTATGTGTGTATATATATATATATGGCATACATATGTACTGCATGTTTGGTTGCATGATGAAGCTTTATTGTTTTGCTCTGAGCGAAGCCCCCAGGCGACGGCGAGTCGCCAGAGGTAGCTTTGGTCCGGACGGTGCGCTCCGAGCTGCTGCTGAGGCCAAGCGTATTTCAGTGAAGACCGCGCAGCTGTGGGGGTTTGGGGTTTTCATGAAGTGGGCACGTGTTTTACCACGGTGAAGGCCCGATGCTAAAGGAAGAGTGTTATGTTGTGCCAAAGGTATTGGGTTCTTCCTCGGGAGCTGGAGCATTGGAGCATGGCAACAAAGAAAACTGCACAGAGTCGGGCCAGGTCATGTCTTCTCCGTAGTTGTCGTTGCTGGTTCGCGAAGGTGCGGTAGCTTCTGTTCCACTGTAATGGGTTTTCTTGATGGTTGCCGAGAGGACATACTGTGCCCCATCCGAACCTAAATATCCAACCCCTTCAGAAAGCTAACGAAAGTTTGGATTCGCCCCTGGCTCTCAAAGAAAACGACAACGAAACCATCGGAAGCCGAAGGCGAGGCAACGTCCATGTTTCATCACATCAGTTCGGACCCAGAGTCATTGTCGTGTAGCCTGGAAAGCTGGACCTAATATGCAGGGCCGGCAAGCCAGATGATGCGATCCAGGCATCGCTGCTTCTTCGTAGGGAGTTCTATCCGCTGATAGTGGGATCCACTGCAGAAGGACGAGAGGAATTTGACGTGTCAGCCCACCGGGCAAAACTCTAGTCTCATAGAGCGCGCATTTTCGATTTCATCCCCCTGCCCATACTTCTTCAGGAACCGTTCCCTCTCACTCAGCTCTTTTCTTGGTCGTGGCCACGTCGGACTCAAATTCGCCAGGAGCTGCGAAATGTGCGGCCCCGGTCGCCGCGGTCCTCAACAGCCTTGGGTGGGGCTGGGGCTTGCTGCCTCATGCGCAGAAATGAAACAAGTACAGATCAAAGCATACTCGACTTGTGCGTGTCTCTTCGTGTCGTGTCTAACTCTCAAGAGGAGTTCCGGTAAATCCCTGCCGCAGATTTTACACACACCGATTTCATTCTGTAGCATTCCTTTGGTGCGGGTACGATGCAGGGTTGCCTCAGGATTTACGGTGCCTGGCTGCTGGCAGGCATGGCCTACGTGGCAACGCAGAACTACTCTGAAGCCAGGGCTGTGTTGCAGGAAGCCATCGAGGGCTTCGAGGCCACTGCCCACTGCAGGAATCTGATTGAGTCGACGGAGCAGAGACCACAAATAGTGGCAGCGGCACGAATCAGAATTGCCATCAGTCGCCCGGAAGCTGCGTGCAGGCGCAAGAGGGCCAGGCCACCCTATTGGCCACGCGTGCCCTGCGCGGCCTCGGGGTCTGCTCCCCAAGGGGTTGGGGGCAGATAGCTTCGAGAGCTTCGAATCCGGAGCTGGAGAGACCTAGAGGCTGGGGCCTTGGGTTCGTAAGGCTCCTGTCCTGTTTAGGTTGTTCCTGCGATGAATACTTCAAGTTCGCCGGTAAGAAGCAGTGGAAATTCTGGGTAAGGTACGTTGATTCCGTCGTACATGCATGTGAACTTCATCTTAGAATCGCCGGAGCGCTTGCTCTTGATTCGTTCAGGCCGGGATCCCGGCTGTGGAACCGAAAGCAACATAAGCTTGAAACCTTGCGATGTTGTACCTTGACGAGTGCGGCCTAGCTGTGGAGATGAACGGAGAAAACGAACAGGCAGGGTTTGCGTCTGGAGTCGAGGGTTGTGATTCCAAGAGCCTGTGAAGCACACGCTGGACACCTGCTTTGACCGAAAGACTTGAACTCTTATTGCAATTGCTATCGCTTTGCTATTATGGTTGTATGGTTATTATTGTTTCTACTTCTACTGCTGCTACTGCTACTACTACGACGACTACTACTAATGCGTATTACTAATAATCATAATATAATAATGATAGTAATTATAATAGTTAGTCCTACTCACTCCTACTCACTACTCACTACCACTACTACTACTACTACTACGACGACGACTACTACTACTACTACTCCTGCTACTGCTACTGCTACTGCTACTGCTACTGCTACTGCTACTGCTACTGCTACTGCTACTGCTACTGCTACTGCTACTACTACTACTACTACTACTACTACTACTACTACTACTACTACTACTACTACTACTACTACTGAAGTACTGCTACTACTACTCCTTATCTTTAACTGTTTATCATTCATATCATTAATAATATTCTTATTACTATAGCTAGTTCTTCTTTCTTGTTACGATTACAGTTACTATCAATAAAGGCCTTGGAGCCTCCGAGCTGTCAGGTGGCTCAGCGCGAGCTCGGGGATGCCGCCCTGGCCAAAGAAACCCTGGAAACAGCGAGGACCTTAGAAGGGGCCCCCACCCCGTAATAGTGGTATAATAGGAATATGAAAATGTAATCCTTATAGTCACTATTACAGGGTGGGGGCAGCTTCTAACGAGGACCTTGAATCCACGGCCTAACATAAGGGCCTTGAAAATTGCCAATACTATCTTGGTAGTTCCCTATGAGTAGCATAGTAACTAGTATAATGGGCCTCCAAACCCGATTCGGTTAGGGGGGAAGGGTTTAGGGGATGCAAGGTTGAGTCTATTATTGATTGTTCGAAGTGTTTTTGCAAAAGCAGGGCTCATCATAATGTTTTTATGGGACACTGCGCAGTTGTGCTGTAGTGCTGCTCAGAGAGCATGGCGACAGAGTGGACAGTGGTCAAACTTCAGTGAGACCGGGTTGCAATAAACCTTTGCTTCATCCTTTGGAGATGCACAGCTGGAAGTAGGAAGGATCCCACTTGCTCCCACCAACATGAACCTCATCTCCCGAGCCCCCCTAGACTCTATACATGCTCGCAGCCCGCAGCGAGGAGCATCCTGGAGGCCCAGGGAAAGCTGAGCTCCGAGGAGGGCAGTCGCTGTTTGCTGGCGTTGGGGGATGCCTGCGTGGAGTTGGACGACTTCGAAGAGGCCGGGGAAATTCGTCCAAACTGAGGGCATAGACCGAGGGTGTTGGGTTCCGGCGGCCATTATTGAGTGAGTCTGGGGCTTTGGAGAATGTTTGGCAGGATTCGGTTGTCGCAAACTGCCAGGGTTCGAGATAGGTGACACTTCGTGACGCCGCATCTACATAAACGTAGAGCGGACGAGCCCTCTATATATTCGCATATGCTCTGGCTATGGCTTACAAGCTCAGGCAAAAAAAAACACAGTCGAAAGATTGCTTGAACTGGCGCATTGCCTTGATGTCAACGTCGGAGGAAGCTATATACCGGTTGATCGGGCAGATTACGACACTAAACCTGTGGATGGCATGGCAAGATTCATGACGTGCCGGTTGAAGTACAAGCGGCGCTCTAGCAAACGACTCGGACAATTTTTGGTGATTTGTGCGTCTGTGTGTGGTGGTGTGACTCATGAAGACTACCTGCGCTGGTCAGTTAGAAGCCGCGACATTAGTTTTGCCACTGCGAAGCCACAAGCATGTAATGCGCAGGAGGATTTCGAAAGACCGTCGCCAGATCCTTGCACATACGTAGTAGGACCAGATGTGCATGGCCTCTGCAGAGCACATTGGGTTTGCAACACCACTGAGGGCCAGCCACGCATGCCAGCAACTCCAGTCAGCCAGCAGCCCAATATTCTGGCAGCATCCTCCGGTTGGGCGGTTGGACGAGACGGAAATGTGCTGCACCATTCCAGACCAGCGAGTACCCTACCCTATGTACGCTACCCCACCCCACCCTCCTGTCAGTTGTATTATGCTTGTCGTTTGCGCATCCTGTCCGAAATCTTCCCTGCCATGCCATGCCGTGCCGTACATTTACTGCAAGCTAAATTCTCGTTCTATGTTTACTGCTTGCTGTACTACCCTATACGAACCCTCAGCAGAGGCCGTCGAGTGCTTTGAGCTCGTGCGCCTGAATGCGGAGGTTGGAAAAGCCAGCACGACGGCGGTCGTGTCCTGGCGACAGCAAGTTGTTGTGGGCGTGCAGAGTTCGACATGTGATTCTGCCTGAGGACGTGGATGACCTCTTCCAGAAGCTTGAAGAGGTGCCTCGCATCGCCCTGCTTCAGATGGCATCTATTGCACTCCGCTGCTCCGTTGCCGAATGGCCATCTTGTCGCTGAGCCTTGATTGTTCAGGCGCGCCGCCAGCTTCGCCATGGCGATGCCGAGAAGCTCTTCGGCCCGCCGGAGGAGCGGTTATTCGGAGTGACCCAAGCTCCGCTGTTTCTTTTGAGATATTTTTGGGTGATTCGTGAGGGCTTCCATGACAAGACCGTGGAGGTATTCCGAGCTTCTTGTCAGGGCAGAGTCCTTAGATCCCCAATGCTCAACCTTTAAACCTTTGGTGTTCTTTTGGCTTAGTAGGAATGAATCGGAAAGTTTAACCTTTCAACTCTGTGGCTTGTTGGAGAAGTAAGAGTGTGTATCCATCGAATTTTGAAGCTCGGTGGTTCAAACCATGGTTGTCGAAAGGGAACTCGTCGTAAGGAAGCCCTACCCTGCAGGAGAGCGACGACACCAAGCCGAAGAGAAAATCGATGTGCGTTTGCGAGCTGTACGGTTCAGCGTCTAGGTGAGACAGTCTAGTCTAATAGGTTTCCAGGTCCGTATTTGAGAAATGTGGGCTCATCTTGAGCAAGCTTCCTCCTTGCTTCTGGCGGTTTGGCAACATCCGTCCTATATATGTCCGGTCAAGTTGCGCGGCGATGACACAGTTCAGTACGAGGCACCTACCAAAGTTGAAATTCAATTCTGCAGAAAGCGGTTTTCCAGAGCCGGTTGGGACAGAATGCTACGTTCACCCAAGTAGCCCTGACGGTTACTGTGTCAGTGAGACGTTTACACCCGGTTCAGGGCTTGGGATCTGTGCAATGTTGGCGCTCTCCCCGCCTCTGCGGCCTCCTCAACCATGCCAGCTTGGCCTTGCCCACCCGCCGCGTGCCAGAGGCCACTACAGTAACATGAACATAATTGGGTACAGGGGAGGGCTGGGCTGCAGCGCTTGTTTCACTCGCGAGCACAGGAATGAAAGCACGTCAACATCCCACATCAGGGAAGGTTTCCAGAAGACTCCAGATCGCGCGCATTGCAGGACTTTGGGCTCAAGCGAAGCCTCCTGAGCGGCCCCGGCCCCAGCATGTAGAGGCCGCATCCAGGAGAAGTTGCCTTAAATGGGCGGCCGGGGATCGAAGAGCAGCGTTCAGCCCCTCTCCAGCACAGAGGATGTGGACGCGGCGCCAACCTCGCCCGCTGGCGCTGGGAGCCCCCGGAAGTCCATCTTCGGCCTAGACGGCCTGGATGCCTCGAAGGTCTTGACTCATCGGAAGACGCGGCAGATGCAGCCGCAGTCTGAAGATCTGCGTCAACTGGTGAGAAGTACAGAAAATGGTATGTGGGACATAGAAGACAATCAAGGCACCAGAAAGCCTTTACCACCCTTGGCCGTTACCTGGTTTAAGAACCGGAACCTGGAGGCTTTGCACGGCTCTCTGGCATTCGTGCCCTGGATCGTGCAACAGGCCTTTCGTGATCAAGCCGAGTAGAAGGGTGCTGCATAAGTGCATAGCAGAAATAATTTGTTCAATCATCATCGGAGAAGACTTGCTTGTAAAGTGTTGTCTTGAGGGCTCGTCCCGCACCGTAATTGGAGTGGATTTTCAACGACCTTCAAGTTTTGAACTCCAGATGGAGAATCCTTGGCCTGGCCAGGCCTATCTGCAGGGAGAAGTGGACGATGGAAACATTGTCCTTCATCGTGGCTCTGGTGCTGTGGTCTTTTCCGATGCCAGCGGCTTTACGGCCCTGACGGAGCGGCTCGCAAAGAAGACCAATGGGGCGGAGCTGCTGTCGCAGTGCCTGACCTCCTTCTTCACGCCGTTGATCCAGCTCCTCGGAATCAGGGAGGCCTGAGGAGCCCTTAGGAGCCTCGTACTTGCCCACTTTTGGCCGAGGCTGATCAATGCATACCGGGGCGATGTCATCAAGTTCAGTGGAGATGCGCTCATGATCTATTTTCCTGCAGTGGACGACACAGAGGTTGGGGACCAGAGCAAGTTCAAGGTGCCCCCGCACGGCTCATACCACCAGCCGGACCGCAGTGCAGTGCCCCTGCCGTCAGCATTCAAAATGAAACCACTCGCGACGTAATGCTTCAGCTTAAAGTGGAAGAGTTGAGTGCCGGGTTGCATGAAGCCACTGAAGTTACTGAGCCGACTACAGTGTCATGAATTGGGATGATGCAGGACATTGGGCCCATGGCGACTGCAGTGCTCAGAGCTTGCGCATGCTGCATAGAGAGACTCTTCTTGAACTGCATTACGGTGTGGGAGTCCATGTCGACATTGATAGAGCGGGCGTCAAGTCCCGAAGATGTGTGCAGCTGCCATTGCTCGCACAAAGGTGGAAGTCAGGCTTGAGTTTGTCCTTGAGGGCTGCTAGTTGTTTTGAGCAAGGATCCAGAAACGGCTGCATATGTTCGACACGGGCGTCGACGGGGTCCGCCTGTGCCTTCACATTGGCCTGGGATGCGGCGAGGTCCATCTGGCTTGTTTGAGAGACTTGGGCGAGCTGCAGGACAGTGAGGCTTCCTGAAACCGTTAGGAAGGTGCCTATAAAGCTGAGCAAAGCCCGCGTCCCATCCCTGGAACCGTGCTGGCAGCCAACACCTGCCAGATTGCAATTCTGCAAGTGGGCGGCGTGGAGCCGCCGGAAATTGCTATCCCCCGCTGCGAGTACATCATCGCAGGCCAGATCTTTGAAATAACATGTGGCGAATCTTGCATGCGCTGGCATTTGCGAGGCGCAGTAGCCTTGTCTTTCGCGGTGTGTCGAGCGCTTTCAGCTGGGCAGTGCGAGGTGCCCCCTTGGAGCAGATCTCCATTGCTGAGCCTTTAGCCAAAAATGGAGAGACCTGCCTCAGTCCACAAGCCTGGGAGCATGTCCAGAATTATGTGGCTTGGCTGGGATCGGCAAGTTGGGCTTGAGCTTGTAATGATTGTAATGGCCTCCCAGAAGACTGAGTAGTGACCTGGTAGTAGCACAGTATTTAGTATGCAGCATGAACGGCAGAGTGGGCTGGAGCATAGCTTGAGATTTCCTGCGCTGGAGGTGATTCCGGACAAGAGTCGTCAGCTTGACAACGACAACTTCCACTTGCTCCTGAAATTGGACGAGTCGAAGTTTACCTTTCCGACTGTGAAAGCCTCCCGGCCGACACAGTGAAGTCGAGTTTAGTCAGTTTATCCGGGCCCTAACACCAGACAGCCGCTAATTGCTTGGACAACTCGCGACTGCTCTTTCTTCCCAAAAGAAAGAAGAGTGCAGGACCACCGATCCAGCTGCAGGCCTTGACAGCCCAGACTATGTCATAGTTATTAGAGTTGCTCTATATAGCTATAAAAGCTATTATAGCTATTATATACCGTCTATGAAGCCTGTGCCTGCCCCACAAAGAGACCAGGCTTCAGCGCAGGAGCGTGACACTCGGAAAGACTTGCAGTTCACCATCGCGGAGCTGGCTGCTCGTCTCACACTGGGTGGCTTGCTTTCTACTGCTTCACCTCGTTGTGCAGAGGTGGCACGAAGGGGGAACACCGGGTGAGACTTTGCTCGAAACAGGACATTATTCGAAAGTTTGTGCCCTCTGCCGTCTTCAAGCAGATCGAAGATGGCACCCTGACGTACGTGAACGAGATGAGCCCCCTTCTCGCAAGAAAGGCTGCAACGGGCATCAGCGCGTGCTGGCGTGCTCATGAGGCATGCGCTTTCGTCTTCAATGGTTCTCTCAGGAAACATCTCCACGCTGTTTATCTCCTGCTCTGGCGTCGATGTGTCGACTGATGAGGGTGCAGACACGGCTCAGGCAAACCTGTGTCAAGTCTCGCTCCTGAGCGACTATGCGGTAGCACGAAGGTTTCTAGGCTTAGCTGACATGAGGACAGAAGCAGATGCTTCATCTACATATTGGCAACTTGAAAACAGCCTGATCTCATATTGCAGGAGCTCATGGTGTCTGTGCAGCGCATCTGCTACGCCAACGACACGCAGCCGCAAAGGCGAAAGATGCACCTGCGTAGGCTTTGCGGCTTCGTCATGGTTCGAAGCAACATGCCTTGCTGCTGTTGTTCTTGCTCGTGGATATCCTCTCCTCTCAGGAAGGGACCTTGAACAAGTTCCTGATCGACGACAAGGGGATGCTGTTCTTGCTTGCCTACGGCCTGCCGCCCTTGGCCCCTCGGAGTTCACCTCTGTGTGTCTATGCTGGGCACTTTTGGCACGAAGCTCCCAGCGCAACTGTAGGTTCATACCGACGATGCCACGAGGGCTGTGCTTTCGTGCTTCGACATCGCAGCTCGGGGCGGAGAGGGGATTGAGGGTGTACGGGCCTGGGATGGTAATTATCTGTGTAACTGTGATCCGTGGCGACTTCCTTGAGATTCTTTCAGGAACATCCTTGGAAACACCGTGGCTGAACGGACTTGGGGTTCACTTAGTCTACATAGGACCAAGGCAGACTCTGTATGCTCCGAGACGTCGTTCAGGTGATCTTTGATGCCTCCATAACAGCTTACGATAATCACGAGCAGCAGAACCAGTAGCACCCCTAACACGAGCAGTGCGGTACTGGACCTGAACAAACTATAGGGGATCTATAAGGGTATAATATAGGGGCCTTGATGACTAGAATACAGGGTTCCTTTAAAGGGGGACTGTTAGGGGTACCTGAAGAGGTCCGCGCCTTCATCAAGCTGGGCCTCGTGGCCCGCTGCGGCGTCTCTACTGGCCGAGCCTACTGCGGAGTTTGCGGAAGCGCCGAGCGCTCCCCAGCCGCCAACAAAAAAGTAAAAGTCTGGGCTCTTTTAATAAAGGGATGTAGGTTAAGGTACCAGAAAAAGTCTGGGCTCTCTTTAAAATGAACGGGACGCAGTTTTAAGGTAATTGCTGTAGCAGCAGCAGAGAACACACACGATTCATAAATTATCTGCCAATGTATCTGCGATTATGGCAACTACAGCTCATCATATGGGTGGTTGTCAAGATTATGGTCCCTTTTTGCGTCCCTTATAGTAGGGCACCTCATATTTAGGGTACCCAAAAGGGACCATAATTTTGACAACCACCCATGTATCGTGACTTGGGGCTTTCAGCTTTGGGTTGAAGTGCTCGAGAAGCTTACCTTCTGGGGCTTGAGAGAGGCCCGGATGCGGCAGTGTCATACGCCCCGCTATATGTTGCGCGATAGCAAGACGATTGCAGTTGAGAAGAAATGGTAGTCTCAGCTTGGTAGTTCTGACCAAACTTCAGTGCAAGGAGTAAGGATTAGGCTGCTAAACCGGTTAGTAAGGCTGTGGACGCCTGCGTCTGGAGGGGCTATTCAAAGTAATTATCCAAGAGGGGAGCTGGAGCTTGGACTTGCCCAAGCACCGCGACCTAGTCATGGAATTGTCTTCATCTTTCTCCATTTCAATTTCTTTACCTCTGTCCATCTGCGTCTCCAGTCGTGGTGTGGGTGTCTGTTTGTTTGTTGCATTTGTGTGTGCCGCGCTGGTTCTACGGATCAGCGCCGAGAAGGGATGGCACTAGTACGTATGAGCAGTCACCGAACATCTGCGAGCCAAAGGCATGGAGTACACGGTCCTGGGTGATGCAGTCAACTTGTCTGCGCGGCTGATGGCCAACGCACCAGCGAACGGCATCCTCGTGGACGAAGAGACGAGGTGGCTTCGGGTCCAGGTCAAGAAATCGTAGCAGAAGTCAACCCACTAGCAGGTTAGCAGTAGCAGTCCTAGCTCGCCCCGACACGAAGTCACGCCGAATTTAGGACACGCTGCACGGTGGAGCTCAATTTCGAAGATCTGAAGCCCATCAAGGTCAAAGGAGACTTGTCACAGGAAAAAAGTGTCATCGGAGCTCGAATCCTGCTTTCGCGCCTGATGTTAAGTACGACTGCGACTTCTTAAGAAGCCGCATGTCAAACTTGGGCTTACCTGGATTACCTTGTGCAGACTAGATCAGAGCTCTGTCACGGCTGTCAGCCAAGGCAAGGAGCAGGCTGTGAAGATCTTCAGGCCGCAGCTGGCCATCACCAGTCCTCACATAGGCAGGGGCCGGGGTGGAAGCAAAGACAAGCAGACCTCTATTCGTTGCGGAGGTTGAAGGACCGGGACCTTCTCGTAAGCCGCACCGACATGTAGGTGATCCTGCGAAGAGATCGTAAGACAGCACCGGCTCATATTTTAGACCGAGACTGGCGAGCGCATGAGCCCACTCGCAGTCCTCGCCTGGTCCCCCGAGCTTCCAGAGTCGTAAACCAGAAAACTTACATACATAAACATCCATCAAGCAAGCGGCTTCTTCAGGTGTCGGGCCGGAGGGGAAGATTCTGTTTCCCTGGTACGAGCGCAGCTTGACGGCTGGTGCCCAGGGAGACAAGACGACCATCGCCGAGGTTCTACAGACAAACGTCATGAAGCTTTGTGGTCTGCCGGATTGGGATGGGGTCTGCAAGGTGCAAAGTTGGCTTGGTGGCTCCTATGACAAGGTCCTTCACCAAGAACCGCCTAGGGCTCCGTCTACACGACCCAGCAGGCTGGAGAACCCTCCATCCAACAGTCCTTTTTCCAGCGGTGGCTCCGTGGTGTTGCACGGCCCGGCAGGGTTGGGCAAGATTGAGCTGGCACAGCATGCTGTCGTCTATGCAGCACAAAAGTATTTTATGATGCCTGTTATTGGGACCATGGGCCCGCGGACGCAAGACCTGGCCCGAATGGGCGCCGAGCTGGTTCGGAGTTGCTTGGGAGCTTATCGCCATGCAGTTGATCCATCGCTTCCAGACGACGAAGGGCAGGCTTTGAGCAAGCTCCTTCCTCACCTGGAATCAGTGGACAAGCTTCCGGACCTTCTTCGAGATGCCTACGAAGGTGGCGTGCAGGAGGATACCCGCACCTGGGCACAACTTTTTGTAACGGTTTTTGAGAAGCCCAGAGCAACCTAGAAACAGACGCCGCGGCTTTCTTTGGAGCGCAACGAGGGTGTAGTCACGATCGTTGAAGAACCAAGACCACTTAGGAAAGGTGATGGTCAACAATTAAAATCAGTATGCCCGTCATGTCGGTCTATCCCAGGTGTGTCTGCGCTTCACGAGCTTGCAGATGTTGCTGCATCTCTTATAGATGCTGTGGCAGAAATACTGTAGGAGCCAGGTGGCTGCTGACCCGTAACCTTTTAATATGGGCGGTGTCGCTTTCGACCAGGACCTTCAGCTAGATACTGCCTATCTGGCCCGTTGCATTTAAGCTTTGTGAGTTTTTTTCGGACTGCAGCACTTGTTCCGCTCGCCCCGGCAGTGTAATCCTGTTCAGGGACATAGAATCGTTTTGCATGCAGCAGGCATTCCCGAACACACCTTCCCTTTGCTGCAGGAGCCCCAACGTGTAACTAGACCGAAACTGCGGCGAAGCTCTATGATGCCACAGCCAATCACTACGAAACTCTCAAACCAGAACCCTCACCCGACCCGCATAAAGGGATCAGTGCCCCGCTTTTTTAGGGCCCTGAGACTGGGGGGCTCACCATGGCACCGCTCTTGCTTCGACCTGCCCTTTGCAAGGAACGGCTGCGGAGCCACGTTGCTGTCATCATTGCCTCTTGTCAGCTCAGCGTCGTAGAGTCCTAGTTGGGGTTTAGGCCGGGTCTTGCGGGAGAAGAAGTCAGTGATGTTGCCCATGTGTCAGCAAAGTAGGCGTCCTTTTGCCCGAATTAGCCAGAGGTATGCCAGCTCGAGTTCGGCACCACGCTGTTCGACAAGACCCTGGGCGGCTTCAACTGCTTCTATGAGGTAGTGTCCAAGCAGCTTGCCTGCGGATCGAGGATGTTCATGAGCTCCATGTCTGGCTTTGCCGTGGCGATAGTGCTGAGCAGCTTTGGCTTGAAGCCAAAGCTGCCCTCTGCCTGGGAATCAATCGACCAGCCGAGGCTTCTGAGACTCGCGGAAGAGAAGACGAGCAACCCAGTTGTTCTCTTCACTCTCTGCAAGAATCCGGACACAAATCACGAGTTCGTGAAGGCCTGCCAAGGACGACTTCTCACGCTGCTCTTCGTCTTTGGCTAAGTTCTTGCATTGACGGGGAATCGCTTAGGTTTGGCCAATTTAATGGACCTGGGCTTAATTCGATCCAATACTGTAGTGAATCTGCGTCGTACTGAGGAGTGTGCCTTCGGCCGCGACATCCATTTGTCGCAGCAGCTGTAGCAGTAGCAGTAACAGTAGTAGCAGTAGTAGCAGCAGTAGGGGCAGCAGCAGTTAGTAGCAGTCGTAGTCGAAGTTGCAGTCGTCATCGACGTCTCAGTTGTAGTACGTCGAAGTCGTAGTGGAAGTCGATGTCGTCGGGGTCGTTGTCGCGTATTTGCAGGAGCCCCAGGCGTAATTCTATTGTTAGAATGAATGCTGGAGCTCTTGCACCGTACCCAGTCGTATGCCCCAAGCACTAAGTAGCAGCGGTAGGCAGAAGCGTCCCTTTAGCTGACGTGTCCGGAGGCATCAGCTGCCCGAAACTGGGTCGTGGAGCTCACGGGTCTGTCGGAGGACATCTGCCAGGACCGAACTTGGCAATGTGAGCTCTGACCGGGTTTTCTTGAGAAGATGTTGGGCAGTATGTACGCTAGCATACTATGTATATACCCAGTCCTCAAAGAGGGCGCAAGGCAGCTTCAGCCGAACGGAAAGCTAGATCCGAACCCCGAACCACAAAGATGACCACATTGAAATCTGACCAGTCTCAGGAGTATATGGCCGCCCACTTGGAGGCGTGTTCCTTGAGCTGTGGTCACTCTTAGCCTTAGACCTGTGACCCCCAAAGATACTAGTAATCGCGCGTAGCTGCGGCTAGTGAGCGTATGTTGTCTGCGAAAGCTTCGCCGATGTATCCAGAGCGCCAGAGAGACTCCGAGATGCAATCCAATTGCACTGACTGTGTCCCCTTTCGTGCCAGGTGCCCATGTCGTCCATACCCGACAGCGTGACCAACTTTGTGTCCAAAATTTCACTGGGAAATCCGCTGTACATTCGCGTAACTTGGCAGCAGGTGCCCAACAGTTTGGCAGACAGCCAGGCCAGCGTGTTCCTTCCATGTGTCTCTTTCCCGGACGTGCAAGGAAAAGCACGTTGCAGTTTAGGCTTTCTGCGCGCAAGTTCTACCAGACTAGCCTAGCTACTGTCATATAAGACATGAGCGGATGCGATTATGCACAAGAGCCAGTTCGACACTTGGCATCACATGCAACTTGTTGTGATGAGAGCCAATGTAGAAGTGCGAACATCGCTCGTTCGTGATCCCCATCGTGATTAATTTATAAAGGGCAAAACGCGCGTAGATACATGGGATGCACGCAGACGGACGGACACGCGCGGATGCACGCACAGGTGCACGGCTGCACAGAGGTGCATACATACATACATACATACATACACGAGCACGAGTTTAGAGAGATGGGAACTTTAATGAATCAAGCAAAACCAGCTTTCCGTGTCTGCGGCCTGAGCACATCCCGAACTTCCAGGAATCCTTGGGTCAACTCTTCCTGGACGGCCACCTCAAGGCCGATTGCGATGTCAGGGCTCGCCATAGAGTGATGCCTAGAGACGCAATGCTGAGACTTGGGGTTTGCTTTGCACGATCTCTGTAGAGACCTTGCTATCAGCACCTGTTCGAGGTGGAGCGAGAAGCCGACACGGATCCTTTGTTGTACCAGAACACTGAGGAGCATAGACAGTGCATTGTCCGACGTGCTTTTCTTGTGGTGTCTTACTTGAATGTGCACCAAAAATATCTCTTCGGCAATGCTAGGCTGGGCAGTGCAGCTGGTCGGTCGAATTTCTGCGGTCCTCCCCCCATAACCAATGGTGCCATATGATAGCCATAAAATTCAGTCAGTGCAAGACGATTTCTTTCGTAGGATCTTGAGACGGTTGATATTGCGACGTGGCCACAGCCTCAGGTCACTCAAGTGTCTTTGTGCCGGGCGGAAGCACGGCACAGGAGCAGTCTATAAACCTTTGTGGTGTTCTTCTTGCTACTGCCGTATCCGCAGCACAGACAGGAAGCCGAGGCTTGTCCAGGCTCCCAGCTGTGCTTACGACTTTGGCTCCGAAGCCTACGCCCCTAAGTCTTTAAACTAGGTGGCAATTTGGGAAGCTTTTTAATTTCCCTTATGGTTCCTATAGAGGTACCTATTACTACCCATTCATATATACTTGTCAGAGCCCCAAAACTACAACTCAGTTAAGTTCACCTACTTAGATCCCTTATGGCCTCGAGGGTCAATGGCGTTCTTCCTGAGGTCGCACACAGCAATGGTCGGAGAGACCATGTGTCTCCTAGAGTCCTTGGACCCTCTGGAGGCAGGGGTCCACTTCGGTGAAGACTGTTTCAGGCCAAGGGCTCTGGAGAAGTCTCAACATGCCGGTTCCTCGCAGCTGCCCGGCTTCTCTCTCTTTGCCCTTTTCAAAAGGCGGCCGTGGTGAAGATGAGCACCGTCTTCTCCAGCAGCTTCTCCCTCTCTGACCTGGCCTCGAGCACCTGCTCCAGGTCAATCTCCCTTCTGCACCAGAGCCGAGAGCTGGCTTTTGGATGCTTTTGGGAGCTTTCCGTGCTTGCACTCATAGTAGATTCATGGTAGAGCCGTGAGCGATCCCCACAGGCTTTTGCGACGATGTATGCAAAGAGTTCAAGGGCTGAGGGGATTGATCGTCCTCGGCCTCTCCACGGCAGGTGGTCTGGCTCCAACTTTTTCGACTACATGCGTCTCTTCCATGCAGTGCAGGCATGAGGGCATGGGGAGTGCAAGCATAGAGTGCTTACGGACTCCGTAGAAACTTGCACTTCCTTGTGCCTTATTGTGGGATCTCGCGCAGCTAGATAGGGTGGGGGGATAATGAGGAGAACTTTCCATGCAATTCGAATGGGATGGCCAGTTTTTGTAGCCCGACAGGAACAACACGTAATCGTCCTGTCAAGTGACTTGCGGTGCCGTTCACGCATTGGAGCCCTGTGGAACCCTCCTTCCTTGAGTCGCATCCCACGCCTATCCTGCTGTGGAGGACCTGGAGAAGCGCGGAATTGTCCAGAAGATTGCAGTGGCGCGGAAAGTGGAAACGACACAACTTTTGGTCAGGCTATCTGAACTTTGTTTCGCTTGATGTGGTTCCGGGTGGGTGTGTGTCCGTTCCAGTTGAAAATAGACTGCACTACCCGGTGCAAACTCCAATGCCAAGAGCACCAGCAGGGTGCTTGCGTTGGATGTCCACAGAAACCAACAATCAAGCGTGTGCTCCGGGAGAGACAGAAACCTGAAAGAGAGTTTGGCGAGCAGTTTAGCAATCATTTGTCGGTCTTTTCTGCTCCAGCTCTGGCATGAACATTTATGTGTAATACAAAAAATACATCTAAATAAATCAATAAGTGAAGAAATACATAAGCAAATGAATATATATATATATATATATATATATATATATAGGTATATATAGATATACAGATACATATCATGCTTGGGCTCTTTTTCCTCGTGATTGTTTGTTCGTGCTGTCAGCGTAGGGTAGGCTTACACATCTGGCTGCTCCTCAAAGCAGTCATGCCTTGCCTGCCGTGTGCGAATGTGAGCATCGAAATGCAGTCATGATTGCCACCAGGAGTATCATCATCATCATCATCATCATCATCATCATCATCTTCATTATCATTTTCATCACCAGCATTCTTATGCTTGTTGCTAGTGTCTGCCATGCCCAGTGTTTGATGACAGGAGCCACTCCGTGCTGACCGGCCGGCGAGGCAGCAAGCAGGATGAGAAGCCCAAGGGAAGGAAATCTCTGAAGGACACTTCGGCCCGGGGGGACTCTGGTTTCTCGTTGCTACGGTTCAGGCCATGCTTGAGAAGGGGTGCCGTGCTGCGGCTCAAGTGGGCGCAATGAGTTGGTTTCTGAGAAGCTAGAGGTACGACCAGTATAGTCGTAGCATCGATTGGCAGCTGCAAACACCCCTTGTGACCCAGAAGCTTCGCGGAGAAGCCTGCAGCCTACAGCTACTCAATTCCTACACGGCCTGCGGCAATGTCTTTCATCAACGTGCGGCTCCAGTCAGCTTCGCAGCCGGATTTGCCGGCTGCGATGGCAGAAGTGCGAACAGCGCGGTGTGTCCGCGAGCTGCGTTGCCAGCTGGCGCAGCGTTGGGATGTGAGGAGCAGCATCATCATCCTTAGAAGCACCACGGGCGCAAAGGTGCTACTTGACAGCGAAATGCTGGAGGACAACATGACTGTTGAAGTGAGCCTTCAGGGCCAGGACACGGAAGATCAGACGCGCCGCCTGATACAGGGAATCCAACCTCATCCATGAGGCTCTGTGCCCCTGACCCCCTGTAGTGCGCAACGGCAGGCGGCAGGGTAGACTGATGGCTGTGGGCTCTCGGCAAGACATGTGTGGAAATTCAAAGGTTCCAGGGTGCGCCCCTGGCTTGTGCGCCCAATTCGTATGCATGCAAGAGAGCCCTAAACTCTCAGCACTGAAAGGGCCTTCGATCCCAAGCCGAGTTCGTTACCGTGGATGGCGACGAAGCTCAACATTCAGCATAAGCGCTACCATCAGAAAGTTTGTCGCGATCCTGGTCCTAACCCTAACCATCTTTAGAGCTTTGCTGTTATAATGTTTCGTGTCGTAATGACACCGTTTTGATGGGACAGTCCTTTGCAGGCCACTCTTTCGAGCAAAATGCCTTCGTTCCAGTTCTGTGAAGTATTGAAGGAACAATCGGAGTGTACGCCCTTTAAAGCGCGAACTCTGAAATCTTGTAAGTCCCGGACCTCTCATCGGCACGTTCGTCTACCTCAATGTCCATCTTATGGTAACTTCGCGTACGATGATCCTTCAATGCACAGGTTTCAAAAACATGTTTCGTGCCTGGGCTGATGCACCTCGAACCACATGCGTGCAAGACCGCATGGCTTGCCGGGGTGTTTGGTCTTCGGCTAGCAGGGATGCCAATATCAGGCACAAAGCATGAGGCGGCCCCGGACCCCCAAAGCCCTAGGCCCTAGACCCTGCGGGGTATCTTGTCGGGTCATAGTCAGTTTAGATCCTTTGAGTCCGGTTTACCTGCTCGCCCCTCATGTCGCCTATTGAAATGGCAATGGCATCCCTGTTATTTATGTTGTTTTTCGGCTTAACCAGAACAAGAGAGATCGTCTCTGTTTCCTGTGTACAGCGGAGGAACTTAAAGAGACCACGCTCACGTTGTACTGAAAAAGCTGCTTGCCTTGCCTTGCCCCTGCGGTGTTTCCTTAACTTGCTTTGCCTACAGCGATTTTGCCCCCTGCTGCCTACTGCCCTGGCTGATGTTGATGGTAGTGGATGATGTGATGATCCTGCTCGGACCCATGGCACTGTGCAAGGCTTGCTGACGGGCCAGTTGACGGTTTACTCTGTCACGAGTGTTGCATAGCCATGACGCGGTCGGGCACAACATGTACATGTCCAGATACATCTGAGCCACTAAACCTGAAACCCTCGTTGCCTTATTTGGTGTTGTATCGTTGGTTCTTGGGCTGTTCGCTTTCTGCTTTGAAGCCTGTTCCCTGTAGTGTAACAGTAGCAAGCTCAACCGACCTGAGACCATGCCTGCTTGTGAGCGGGTGTGTGAGTCGAAACCCTCATTGAGCAGTTAGAGGCACATCCATCTGAGACGCTTCGCCTGGATTGCCCAAGCTGTGAGAGTCGAAACCCTAGGCCTTGGCTTGTCCCAGCAGCGAGTGCTGAAACCCTAGGCCCTAGACCCTGTGTCCGAGTCACGGGAGCCCGATGAAAACCCTGGAAGCCTCCAGGACACCAAGGAGAGCTCTTCAGCCCGATTCTTGCCTTCAAAAGGGGCTTGGGGTGGGGGTTTCGGGCATCCGACGGAATGGGGGAGTGTAGCCACACCAAGCCGGGGAGTAGTCGACCTGAAGTCAGATGCCCAAAGGCCTGGCGGCTGATGCATTCGGATTGCGGCGGTCCTTAAAGCCGCCCGAACCCTTCAGAAGATGCCACCAACCTTAGCAGTCCTGGCTCAGGGGAGCTGCAGATGTTCGCCATGAACAATGTGCTGATCCGCAAAGTCGGAAGCTCCATGCTGCTAGAGGCGCAGAAGAAGAAAGTCAAAAGGCAGGCGTGCCATGGCTGAAGTTGATGGAGATACGGGCTATGTGTTCTATCCGCAGTGATCGCAGGATCATGGCAGAAGTCTTCAAGTTTAGGTGGCAAGTGCACCGTCGAGCGAATGAAGCGTCAAGACTCCGCTTCAAATTCTCCACCCGAGGTTGATTGAGCGTGCTTTGATTCGAGATCTGCCAGCTCGCATAGAAGAGCTTCAGAAGAAGAAGAAGGAGCCGCACATCCCCTGGTTCCTCGGAGGGAGCAGATGGTGACACCGACACCCACTGAACCTCAAGGTCCTAACCCTCAGCGCAAGAAGTTCTGTGTATGACGCGACACTCCAGCTGGGTTCTTGTTAAGGGTCTTAATTTAAGTTACCATAATGGGGATCTACAGTAAATGTGGTTTCTGTGTTATGGTAGCTTAAATCAATTAAGTAAATCCTTTAACCAGAACCCAGGTACCCCTTAACCCCAGCCTTTAGCCCTTAACCCCCCTAACCCAGGTACTACGAGAACATCTTGACCAGGAGTTGAGCTCTCCTCTGTTTCACTCCATCGCAGAAAGAGTGTATGCGAGGTTTAGGGCCCGTGGTGCGAACCGTGATCCTGAGGGGTACAGCATAAATGGCATAACTTGCAGCTGCAGTAGTTGGGATATTGTGGAACGGTGCAGCCGTCTAGAATCGCATTCTCAGCGCTGCCATTGACAGATGAAACTACCATTATGGCAGCCTGCTGTTTCACACCCAGGAAGCCGTTGTATTGTGTACATCTTTGTGCGCCGTTTCTCCTCGGGAGTATGCTCAAGGCATGCGCAATCGGTGATCAATCTGGGTTCTTGTGAGAAACAACGGCGATGGGACTCTCCTGCTGAAGGGCAGTAGGGGCCGTAAATCCTCACTTCTGGAAGGTCGAGTGCTTGGGCGTCGGCGCGCTGGCACGGAGAAGGAGGCCAAGCCAACCAGCATGGCCGACGCTCAGATGACGGAGGCTACGAGTTCTAGTACGTATTCTAGTGGCTCAGAACAATGGAAAGCAAAACGTGAGGCGGGTAATCCCAAAAGGGTTGAGGTCTTTCATAAAGGCCAAGTGGCTGAGGTCAGGCGAGAGCTTGTTTCATCCCGTAGTGAAGCCGAGCATATGTCACTGTCCTGGTCTGAATCCCAAAAAGGGCTCAACAACCCTGGATTGCAGCAGCCTGGGATGATGGACGCCGGTTCTAGAAACATTGGATGTTCTGCCCAATTCCATGCTTCACTCCCGCTGAGGAACTGCTGCGGTTTGCCTTGCCTGCTTTGGGGATCAGCCCCTCGGCCTTCCTCGAGTCAGTCGGAATGGCGGAGACCCACTCAGATGCCGCCAACCCCACCAAACCACACCCGAAATGACGTATGCTCGTGATGTTGCATGCTCACCTTGGGATCGGTGAATCTGTGCAAGATTCCCGGTAAGAGGTTTCGGGTACAATTGGTATCTTAATTGTCAAGCAGTTTTCCTTGGCGGTCGGGGCGGCTTCCCTGCCCACGTGCTTTTGCATCTTGTCTTATGCAAAGCCGCTAGCTTTTCCCTGCTACCTGCTGCTGCCAGCACATGTTTCTCCTACATCTCCGCAGTTACAAACCGAGGGTCATCACATCTCTTATGACTTATGGTCCCAACTTGATTTGCGGAGCAGATCCTCGTGAAATCTGAAAGTGCTTGTTGGGGCCTGCGCCCCAGGAAGGAACCCCTATCGTAGGGTCGGGATTTTAATCCCATCCCTTCCTGACCAGGCTTGCAGCTGCAAGTGTATGTCGTAGTTCAGTCATGAGATTGCTATGACGGAACTAAAGGGAGTAGTCGCATCTCCGTGCCACAGGCTCTCGGCCTCTCAACAAGGCCCGTAGCAGCCATGCCTTGATTTTCGAAAACTCCCGAATGGCCTCTCATCCTAAGGTCCCAAGGGCTGATAGAATTTGCCCTTCCCAAACTCAACACTAATTGAAGAAGCCGGGTCGAAACATCCCCGCGCCAAGGCTTGTCTGGGCCGATTCTCAGCATCTCGGCGTTTGGAGTCCGGGCTCAGCTCTCACAGGGCTTTTCTTCATCTGACCCAAGGCCTGAGCCCTGCAAAATCTCACCTCCGGTGAGAGCTCATGTAGAGTACAGAAGGGCTGTACTTGGGCTTCCCCGGCTGAAGCCATATCTACCCGACTTAAGACCTGGGGCTTGTAGCTACAGGTAAATGCCGCCCACGATGCTTGAAGCATCCGAAGCATAGCCAAATCCTTCACACAAAGTCTTGAACTCCACAGCCTTGCAGAGACGGGGCATAATTTGTTTGAGGAACGTTGGCCTCCCTGGCACGTTCAAGCGAGTACCTTGTAGGCCCCATGCCCATCGCTGAGCCAAGTCGAAACCAGTCCAAACAAGAAAAGCCCTCAGTGAGTAAAGCAGAAATCAGGCAACATTGACAATGCCTTTGTGGGAAGACTTACCGGGCCAGAAGGTCGGTGGTCATCGCCCCCCCTAATAGAGCTTACAGCGGAGGGTTTGGCTTGTCGGAATTTCGGATGTTTGGGGGGAAACTCGGAGTTTGGCTTAGGCGGCTCGCGGTGCTAAGAGCTCCAACCGGAAGTTCGAGTGGTGTGCAGGTTGCAACCAGGATCCCCTTTGACACTTGCTGGGTTTGCACTGGGAAGCTTGGCGCCAGTGTTGAAGCGAGGAACTTGTGTTTCAACAGTCTTTCACGCTGCCGCCCTGCCGTTGATCTCGGTGGTTCCGTGGCCCGAGACGCAGTCAGTGCAGCCTTCCAGGCTTCTGCAGGACGCTTCCCACTAGGACACATAGCAACTTATGAGATTCGGGAGGCCTGGCTGCGCTTAGTCCGGGCACTGTCGTGGCTGACTACATGCTGCGCCTTGGCAGAATGGAGCAGCAAGTTTGGCGGGCAGAAAGTGGCACGCCCATCCACTCAAACACTGTTTGGTGTCTTACTGCTCATGAAGAAAGATCGTAATCGTCGTAATGCAGTATCCACTAGTAGTTCCAGAGCAAGTTTACTTGTAAGCACAAGAATAGCAAGTAGTGAGTACACGAATCAGCTAAAAACCATGATCATAGCCTCATAGCATCCCTCAGAGCACAGTGTTTATGCGTTCATGGGTAGTTGACGGTAGTTGCTGTACTTGTCGGGCTACGAAGGGTCGGCAGAACCCCTGCAGATGCTATGTCGGCTTCTGCTTGAAGAAAAGGGCTTCCTGAGGCTGCGTTTTGTCAGCCCTCTCCAACAAAAGCTTCCCGACCGCTCTTGCAGTAAAAGAACCCCACACGAGAAGCAGCAAGTGCGGAGCTTCAAGACGGACCGCGAGCTGTCGCCACGTGCTCACAACAACAGCTAAAAACCTGAGATGGCTTCTGGATGCCGATGCAAAACATGGGGAGCTGTGGTTCAGATTCAGTGCGCAGCTTGTCGAGGTATTTGCTCGTCTTTCTGCCGCGTGCAACTGTCGGGCTCGTGTCACGGGCCTTCGCTAGCGGTGGAGCAAAGGTGACTCGGCGGACTTTATGCTTGCGCTTCCATCGCACTCTCATCAAGCCATCAAGTCGAATTGCTTGTTTTGCGACCGCAGTGTGCCGCAGGGCAGTGAGTTGCCAGATTTTTGTTATCAGAATGTCTGCGTCGATGCTTCAAAGCATGAGCGCAGCCGGTGAGGCCGCCCAGCCAGAGCTGCAGCGGGCCCTCAGCGTGGCGATGCCAATCGGCGTCACCCTCTCCGTCGTCTACTTGACTTGCACGGTGCCGCAACGCGAAGCAGAGCCGTGAAGGGTTTTACGGGTTTACCATAAGTGACTAGTCACTACCGGCGCAGAGACATGTTAAAATCAAGCAAGGCATGAGAGTCAAGTTGGTTTGCCAAGCATGTTCCGCAGCAGTCTTGCTCGGTGGGATCTTGTGGCTCCTCTGCACCGTGTCTGAACTTGAAGTGCTGCAAGTGGTAGACATGTTTATGTTTGTCAGAGGAGTTTAAGTGGTGGTTTCGTCCGGCACGCCTCCTTGGACGTGCACTCGGCAGGAGTCAATCCTCAAGATGTTGCACGTCGCTCCAAACCTCATTCCTTACGCTGCGACCTACGCTCGCGTGCCCCTGGACAGCAGCTGTACGCAGCAGCGTCTGAAAGAGCAGAGGCCAATGAGTGTTTTTCGGAGGCATCGGATGTATGGCATTTCACAGTGCAGTCTTGAAGATACAGTAGCTCTACACATCCACACTGTGGCTTCAACAGGCTCACAGCCGTGCACCATCCTGAACTTCCCTGAACCTGAAGCTTTAAGAGGTCAGTTTTTCAAACGACTTGCTGCAAGCAGAGGCGGGGCGCAGTCACCTGGGCTGCTTTGAGTCAGACCGCCACTTGCCCGAAATGAGGGAGAGATTGACAAATGTATATTCCCTCCAGTAGACACGCGTATTGATGCACTTTGCATGAGAACACAAGCACAAACCATGCATGGATACATACACAGCATTCGCAGCGCGCACACATGCCGCCATGCTTGCCGCAGCATGGCATGCCATGTGAGAGGACTAGGCGGGCACTGCATGTTTTCGACTTTGAAGCTGCAGCATGCTGCAGCCAAGGTTTGCCTTTCCGCGCTTCTGGCAACCAAAGATTCGTGGACACCTCTGAAGGCCCGTGATGACGTGATGTGTATCGAGTGTCGATTTAAGCTTGAATTCTTGTCCTTACTTCTGAACTATGAGTGGCAGCGCCTCCCCCCACGGAATATTGTTTCCCGGAGTTCCGGAGGGCTCGTGGCTTCTCCAGGTTGTCGGAGTAGCCGCTGTTGCCAACTGCTGCGGAGATTTCGCTCTCTGTGCATCTCGGCTGTGCTGCTCTGGGAGGTGTTTTTGCTATTGTGGTTGAACCTGACACTCATCATAGCCTGCAGTGGTAGGACCGTGCGAAAAAAATCTGTGTACGTGAAGATATCGCGAAATCTCGATCTTTGAAGAGGTTCCTTGTCGTATCATTGAGCTCAAGTTTCAGGTGTGGCCCTTCCGTTTGGGAGTCGGGGGCGCCGCTGCAGCCACGTCGATTGCAACGCTGTGTCTCGTCGCAGAGTTGAAGCTTCAAGACTAAGTAAGCATCAGCTCGAGCCGTGACGTCGTCTACTTTATCGTCAATTGCACTTACCAACGAAAACTTGGACTCAACACCTTCAGCAAAAGCTGTCAAATGCTCTTTGTCATGTCAGATTGTGTGCCGCGTAGCGGCTTCGACCTAACACTCTCGGAGGCGAATGGGTATGGGAGGGCAGAGGGCCTGTAGCTTTCGTAGGGACTGTCCGCAGATGGATAGAGACGGAGAGAGTGAATCGCAGTCGATGCTTCGTGTTCAGGCTGAGCTTTGCGCTGATGGTGCGTGCACTGAGGGCTAAGGAGCAGCCGAGCAGTCAAGACTGGGTGTGTCTGAGACGTTGGTGTTTGTTTGGCATTGACTTGCAAGATGCACCTGAGACCGCAACTGCCACATAGGGTCAGGCATGTTGGCAACATGTCTTCGATCAGGAGCTGCTTCCAAAGAAGTGGTTCCGACTCCCGTCCTCAGTGCCAGGCTTAGCAAAGGCTGCAGGACTGGAGGGTCAACGGTCCAGGAGAAGCTACCACTGCGCGTGATTCTAAGGCACGTTACCTCGCGCCCTTGATGGAGTATGCAGGTGGGCTGTAACGGGACGACAACTGCTGGTGGTTCGGTGTTCCTGCAGCAGCATGAAAGCGCTTAAGTCCAGCATGACTGGCTTTGCACGTTGATGGCTTTTGTGAGTACACTAGCATGGGCCTTTCATTTTTGAGTGTTCTGTCGGAAGAACTGGAGACATACCATAGACGCAGGGCCCCTCCTGATCGTCGTCGCTACGAGGATGGTCAGCCTTTCTGCCATGGATCCTCTGCTAGATTCGGACCGGATTGCCTTCTTGGATGAACAACCCGTCCCCGAGCCACCTGCCAACAACATTTTTGATAGACATGATTACATAATGATTACAAAAGTTTCAATTCACCGGAGAACCGGACAACTAGGGGCATCGCAGGCTGCACATTGCCTCGCAAACCCTAAACCTTCGCTGCCACCTACTTGTAGTTCAGTCAATGTACTTGTGGACCTTGAGCCCTCGCGAGTTGCAAGAGCGTAAACCCGAAGGCTTAAATAAATAAATAAATAAATAAATAAATAAATATATATATATATATATAGATAGTTCTCAGTGATGTAACCCGAAGCTTCACAGCTGGAGCAGATTTGAGGCGCTATCTGCGGCTGCTCTCGGAACCACGGCACTGGCAGGATATCAGGTGGGCTTTTTAGTCTACTTCGCATCGATCTTTGATCCGGGGAGCTTTGTGGGTTCTCGGGTTCCGGGAGAATTTGGACATGTTGTTGGCGAATGACTAAAGAGTGGTCCTGTTTATCAGCTGCAGAAGTTTTTATGTGGTTGAACATGTAGGTCTTTAGAGCGCTATACTGCGGCTTATCTGGGGGTCTTTAGAAGGTGGGCTCGTCCTCCCCGAGTTATCTACGCAGGAGGTGCTGAGGCTTTTCCTGACACCTCTAAGCAGGAAAAGCTTTATCGAGGCTTCTAAAGGTTGAAAGTAGACGGCATATTGGCATTGCCTGAATGTCTGCGTTTCTCTCAGGAATCATCTCATGGTAATGCCAGAGCGGTTAGCTAATTTCACCATCCTCGGTACAGCACATCATTTTATCAACATGGCTACTTGCGTGATGCCATTCAGATATCTCGACTCCAAAAAGTGGATGAAGTGCCTGTTCTCAGATTCTCATCAACCTCTTCACACTGTTCGCCTTGGTCGGGGAGCCACTGAGCCAAGCGGCGCAGGCGCCGACAAACCTCAACCCCCAACTTTAGTCTAGCGAAACAGGTTTGAAGAGTTGCGCCGGTAGCTAGATGACCTTGAGCCGCGTCGGGTTCACAGCTTTGGAATCTTTGCATATCGATCTTAACCGCCCAAGCCTGATAAAACAATGGCTGCTGCTGCTGCTGCTGATGCTCTTGCTACTGCTGCTACTGCTGGACTACTCCTACTAGTACGTCTGCTGCTACTTGCTGGTACTAGTTCTAGTACTGCGACGACTACTATACTACTATTAGCCACCGCCACCGCCACGACTACTGCTACTGCTATTGCCACAGTTGGGCTAAGGGCAAGGCAGCTGTATAATGTTCCGAATGCCGGAGGCGCTGCTGCCTCCGCTTCTGGAGAAGAAGGCATCACAGCAGCTACCGGCATCAACAGCGGTTTCTTCGAAGCTTCTGTTGGCCAACACTGCGTTCGTCGGTGTGCTGCGGAGGGGCGGTGCCGGCGGAGTATAAGCAGCCATCGCACATGAATGAAGTTGTCAAGCTCTGCAAGAGCAGAGTTTTTCTGAAGGACCTCATGCCATGTCCCGGTTTTTGCAAGGACACGGCCGGAGCCAGGCGGGCGACGAAGCAGCTTCGCTCATGCTTAGCTTAGACCACGAAGTTGCAGAGGGGGACGCTCACATTGAGTTGAAGACATGGTCGACAGTCGGACTGTAATTCCAGAACTCATTAGGCTGATCCTGGATTTATGTCGCGATTTGGTCAGCTTGGCAGCCGAAGCTCAGGAGCCTACTGTTCTTGGGCCTCTCTGCTGGCGCCGTGGCGGGCGCAGGGTCCTTCGCCTGCGCGGCGTTTGGTGGTGGCACCTTCTCGGCCGGGATAGATGTTGGTTGCGACACTGACATTTTTTCATGGATGTCGTTGCATGCCAAGGGTCCACCTCTGGAGCTTCACCGCGCATCTGCTGATAGTGCTCCTGTGCAGGGCGATAGTGCAGTCATCGACGTCGTCCATCGCAGCGCGCCGGTATTGATGTTTGCAGTGGCAGCACTCGCCACTCGATGGGATTGGATTCTTGAAAGGCCTCGGAATCCTTGAGGAAGGCGCAGGCCATGTTTTCAGGCGTGTTACAGTCGAAAGCAGAAGTTAGATGAAGACACTCTGCACATGCGGAAACTGAGGTCTTCGCATACCCCGTGGATGGCGCAATGCTTGCGACCAAGGCACTTGTTTGATTGAGTTGCCACTGATTGTGTAATGGTCCGCAGGTGGCAGAGTCACCCGAATGCATGCGAACCTTTGTGCATATAGTACTCCATATTTGTCGAGCACGAGTGACAAAAAAGTACTCCATATTTAACTGCAACAATCCATGTTTAGTAACCCTCAATACGAAAAATATGAACTATGATAAGCCATATATGGTAACCATTAATACTTATAGCATAATCTGTAGTAACCCTTATTTAGCAACCCTTGATGTATAGTAACCATATATTATAAACTACAGGCTTGTCCGAGATGCGAGAGCGTAAACTACAGTATGCCACACTATGGCAACCCTCAGTACTTTATAGTACTCCATATTCTAGATATTTGTACTCTATAATAATCCAGAAAAGCAACCTTCATAGAATACTTTATGGTAATGTAGGAGCCTGATTAAGAAACCGTGGCCCTATGACCACAAAATAGTAGGATTCATATATGGAACCCTAATAAAGGCCCAGGGTTTCTTAATCAGGTTCCTACAGTAGCCCTTGTGGCGAGCCCTCTGCCAGAACTTCCGAGTGCTCATCGCTTTGTCCATCTTTGGCCTCGTGGCACAGCTTCCAGCTTTGCAGCACCTTGGCTTCAACAAAACCCTGTATAGTAAGTATAATATCCTGTTGCGTAATGACATAGGGTATATAATGATATCTATGTATATATGTACACATGTATATATGATACCTTATGATATAACAGAATACCCGATATATATATATATATATATATGTATATATATAGAGAGAGAGAGAGAGAGAGAGAGAGAGAGAGAGAGAGACAGAGAGAGAGAGAGAGAGAGATAGATGTAGTTTCTATGATATTGTATATCGAAGGTCACTTGCTCTGGTGCCCGGCAACGGTGCATATGTCTTGAGCTGTCGTTTGGCCATGGCGACTTTTTGAGCCTGCTCTGGCTGGGCTTTTGAAATTGGTTGATAATTAATAGGGCTTATAGGGTATATGCAATACAAAGAGATATGTAGAATAGCGTCTGAGGTTGATCACACGGTCCTTCAGTGGAACTCGGCAACCGGCTCTGGCTTTGAAGTTGCTGAGCCCTGGATGCGCTGTCGGACGTCTGCGCATCGGCCCCACGAGTTGAGCTCCGCCCTGCCTGCACTGAGGATGATGACGATGTTTGTGCGTGAGGCGCTTAGGTTGGTGAGACCAACATTCCGAAGGGTTTGTTTGACAATTTCGCACAGACACCCAGAGCCACATGCAGACCACAAGTATCCACAATTTCGACACGCTGCACGGCTGAGGCCTGCTGACGCTGTCGCTCTTCTCTTTGGCACGACTTTGGGCAGACCTTCAGGTGAAGCCTGCTACAGATGGCGAAGAACGCCAGTGATCCTCGCTGGACCCTCTCATGTATTGCCCCAGGTAGTTTCCGAGCAGCAGAATCCTGCTGCCGCTTGAGCCTCCGGGATCTGGCAACGACTGCCTGAAGGAGGGAGATCCTAAAGCGGAGCCCTCCAGCGGACCCACCGCTCCCGGCCAGTCGCGTTCCAAAAGGCTCGAAGATCGAACTTTGGCACCTTTCGTTGAACAGGAAATTCATGGGTGCATTCGTGGAGTTAAATACGTGGAGAACGAGTTCGGGTTAGGTGCCGCCACGAGGTTATGTATGATATAGAGAGGGGTTCTTCACAAGCCATCCCAAACCCGAAACTTTCACCAAGACCCGAGCTTCTCACCTACGCTCGAGTCACGTGACTCTTCATCCCAGGTCAGGGAAGCTCGAGAGTTCTGGCTTCATTCTTCACGGGGACAGCGTTCATGGAAGCTTGCCGTGAGCGAGAGGCTATGTCCGAATGGAATGATGTACATTTGTGGATACTATACCGGATATGCATATCTGTACTACTCTGTGAATCTGCATCTACCTACGTCACATTTTCCGGCAGAGCCTTATCTTCGTGTTCGCCGCGTTGTTGTGCTTCTTTTGTTTCCTATTTGATGGGAAGGGCGGTATTAACGTTGTGGAGGTCTGGCGGTAGACTCCCTTCCTGCGTATGGTGCTGGAGAGATGGATGTGCGACACCCTGCGAGATCCTCCCAACATACACTGTCATGTAGCATTGGAAGATCCTCAAGTCTGGATTGCAAGTCAAGAGGACTCCAAACGTGGAAGTGTCAAAGCCTTGACCTCGCAAAGCCTTCAAGCGCACAGCGAAGCATTCCGCGAGAGTTGCCTCGGCGAGGAGTCCTGCATCCATGGACGGGGCGTCTTCACGACCAAGGCACGACATGCGTTCTTCGGATTTCAGACAAAATTGAAACCTCATCCTGCGCTGTTGCAGGAGTTGTCCAAGGGACAGCTGATCGAAAGTTGCCCTGCAATCGTCATGGTCCGGCTGCTCAGTCCTTTCCGTCGCACGCGGATGATTCGCTCTCCTCGCGACAGGAAAATGGAAAAGTGCAGTCGTGTAATGTAGGAACCGGATCAAGAAACCATGGGCCTATAAACTCAAAATTTTAGGGTTCATACAAGGAACCCTAATAAAGGCCCAAGGTTTCTGAATCAGGTTCCTACATGAGACATCTGTCGTCATCCCTGGGATGCTCCGTTTTTGGATGCGTCATCGCAAGGATGCCGGGGCCGCGGAAGCGATGTTCGAGCCTCAGGGCCTCCTTCTGTACACTGTACACACGCAGAGCGCCGCCCTCGTCGAAAAGTTCAGCACTAAACATATCGGGACAATTTTTTTGGCAATATGTTTAGTGTCTCCGCCAAAAAAACGGATATTTCTTGTTGGCAGCTCGTCGGCTCGACCATCCGGCTGAGGTTCAGCTACCGCTGGGGAGCGGAGCTCAGTTCACAAGACCCGTGCATCCTCTGTCGAACATTCGAGCATCTCCGCTGAAGCCCCCAAGAACCTGCAACGACTCAGCCGGTTTCGAAGTTAAAGGGCGCTGTGTTTGCGTCGGCGGCTTGGAACTCGAGGTCTGAAAGATGACCCGAGCAGCAAGGACTTCTACCTTCCCTTGGGCCAGCTGCCTATCGTATTGCCAGGAGTCGGAGTGCGTCTACTCTGAGATGTCGAAGAACTTAGAAGCCTTACCTGGAAATCTAGAGTCTTGAGTCTGGAGCGTCGAGAGTTTAGGGCGCGGGCCGTGGAGTGGGAAGCCAAAGGCCTTGGCTCAAGCTTAAGGTTCGGGAGAGGGGAGCCTGTCTGCAGCCATGCAGGAAGTGCGCGAAGCCTTCAAGCAGACGGTTGGAGAAAGCATCCGAAGCGATGATCTCGCAGCCGTTCTGAAGACCTGCGGCGTGGACGAGGCTTCCGTGGAGTTCCTCCTCCACCAGGCCAAGGACTTCTCCGAGAACGAGGTCGTTTCCGTCCGTGGCTTCTGCGACTCGCTTCGCATGTCCGCACCGCGAACGCTCTCCCTTGGCAAGGCCGTGGCACAGGTCAGTGGCGTTGAGGCCTGGAATCTTCACCATGATGACTTGAAGCAGCTTGCTGCTATGTTGAGCGGTATGTGCAAGGCCACCACAGTGGCAGAGGCCCTCAAAGAGGTCCATTCGCTTCTGTCACTGGGCCATGACTTATGGGTCTATGCCTACATGCGAAAGCTCTATGATCGCAGCCCTGACCTTTACTTTGCCACCATTGCAGCAGAGCCCGCAAAGCTGCTGCCAGCTGTATACACGCCCACCGTCGGTGAGGCATGCCAAAAATTTGGCAAGATGCCCCTCTACCGACGAGGCTGCTACCTTTGCATATCCGACCGTGGCCACTTCAAAGAAGTGCTGCGCGAGTATGCCGAGGCCGAGCTGGAGAAGGACGCCAAGGGCAACTACCTCTGTGATTGCATTGTCTTCTCTGACGGAGGCCGCATTTTGGGGCTGGGAGACCTGGGCGCGTGGGGCATGGGCATCCCCATAGGCAAGCTGGATCTCTACACCGTCTGTGCGGGCTTCGACCCTTCCCGAACCATCCCGCTAATCATCGATGCCGGCTGCTCCGGCCCCGAAGGCAACACCGATCGCTTGGTCATCCGAGATAGCCCAGTCTACACAGGCATGAAGCAGGCACGTGTCACACATAAGTCCGCGGGAGGAACTGTCGTGAACACCGCCTACTATGGCGAAGGGAATGTTATCGAGGAATTCATGAAAGCTGCAACCGAGCTCTTCGGTGAGAGATGCCTGCTCCAGTTTGAGGATTTCAACTCCAACGATGCCTTCCCTTTGTTGGCGGAGTATCGCAACAAGTATCTGACCTACAACGACGACATCCAGGGCACCGCCGCCGTAGCGCTGGCGGCGCTCCTGGGTTCCATGCGCCTTCGCGACCCCAAGTGCGACCTGAGGGCGACGCTGCTGAAGCAGACCTTCCTCTTCCACGGGGCGGGATCCGCGAACATCGGCTTGATGCGGCTCCTGCACGAAGAGGCTGGGGTACCGCTCTCCTCCATCTTCGTCACCAACTCCAGGGGCTTGATTTGGTGCTCCGCGGATGGCACCATGGGCAGCTTCCGCAACCAGGAACAGAAGGCTTTTGCCCAGGTCGGCGAACCAACTTTCGATTCCAAGGACTTGGCTACCTTGGTCGAGCATGTCAAACCCACCTGCGTGGTGGGAGCAGTTGGTGTGACACCGAACTGCTTCAAGAAGCCAATGGTGGAGGCCTTGCTACGAATCTCGGAGCGCCCCGTAATCTTCGCCCTCTCTAATCCGAAGACTCAGGCAGAGATCACCGCTAACGATGCCTACGAGTGGTCCCAGGGCAAGGTGATCTTCGGTTCTGGGACCTGGTTTGCTCCGGTGGAGATGAACGGGAAAACCTTCGCACCAGGGCAGGTGAACAACGTCTACATCTTTCCGGGCATGTCTTTCGGTGCAGTCTGTTGCCAGGCATCGAGCATACCAGAGCGGCTGTTCTTGGCAGCTGCAGAGGCCGTGGCCAACAGCCTGGGTGACGAGGAGATGGCTTTGGACATGGTGGTGCCCAAGCGCGACCGCATCCAGGAGGTGTCCCTGAACGTGGCAACTGCCGTGGTTTTGGAGGCCCAAGCCCTGGGCCTCGCCGGTCGCAACTTGGGCGCAGATTGGGCCACGGTCCAAGCAACCTTGGAGGCCATGCGCTGGACACCGAAGCCCTGAGGCTTTCTCCCCGGGTCTCAGTGCCTTTCTGTGCCTCGAGGAAAGCGCATGCTGGGGTGGTTTCCCGCGGCGCTTCATCCCCTGCAGCAAGGCATGTCCCTGCTTCCGTGAGCTCAAAGTGGTTCCCTGAGCCTTGGTTTGGGCGGTTGCTCCCCATCGCAACATGCTCTGCCTGGATGTCATCAATGGATATCAGCCCTCAAGCAAGCCGGGTCTAGAGTTTCACCATGCCGCCGCTTTGCTTTGGCCAGAAGGTCGCAGACCGGCACCTCGAGGCCTCCAAAGAGGACAGATGCAAAAAGTCGGATAGGGATATCACAAATCCTCTCATCATGAAGCCCAAGGGGCTCGGGATACCCCTCTAAAACGCAGGCACGTATGTCCTTTTTGGGCGCCTCTTTAGATTCTCTCAGGGTTCCCGCCGCCACGGGCCTAAAGGCCGAGGTGGCCCCGGACCTTGAGTGCTCAAAGAAAGGAGGGGAGGGGAGCGGGGGGGGGGGGGGGGGGGGGAGGGGGTAATATGGGGGTCTTAGTAGTTACCTGTACTATTTTGGTATAATGGCCGCCTTCAAACCCTGTTCTAGTTATGAAGGCCCCTAGATGAGGGTTCTTTGCTGGGAGGTATCCTGGCTCATGATCGGCGATCGGTAGTTCGTGAAAAGTGTACGTGCTCGGGTCGTGCCGTATTGTATACGTCTATGATGTCTCTGTTTATGTATTTGTACATACATGTGTGTAAATGTCATGTGTCACTTTTCAGAAACCCTTTGTTCATTTTCATGTTAAGTTTCTTCCATGGTTCGCTCCGAGTGGATTTCAAGGTCTCGGCTCGCTGTACAACCACTCCGAGACGCCGCCGGCCTCCCATTTTTGCGCTTCTAGTATGGCTAGTTTCGAAGAGTGCGGGGGAAAGGGACTGATGCGCACATGCCTGCTATGTTGACGTGGTTATTCGTTCCCAGACAAGCTCCTCTCCTTCAGTCACATCACTCGAAAGTCGGATGCCATGCTATCCACAAGCTCACAATATTTCCTGCTTCGGCAGTCGAAAGATCTTTGGTTCCTGAGCTGAGCTGTGTTTGGCAGGAGTTCGTTCAAGCCTGTTTCTGCACACCTGAGACTGTGCTGCTCAAGCGAGCAAGGAACGCCCACGGGCAGCTGGATGTTAAAAGGTGTGCCCTCACCTCAGAGCCGCAGCAAATGGACACATGTCAGTCTCAGCGAAGAAGTCTTCCACCGGGTTTCTGGTGCCCTGTCTCTGGCATTGCCTTGCGGCTTAAAGCATCGGAGTTGATCTGTTGCATCCGCAGCACAGATAAGACACGATTGTTCCCATATGCCGTGTGCGAGTGTGAGCGTCGAAACCCAAGCTGCCTAGAAGCACCCTGTCCACGGAAGCGGTTTGAGACAGCGATCGTTAAGTTCGCTCTCGAGAGATGATAGATGGTGGTGCAGCATCGTTAAGTTTCACGTGAAGCCGATGGAGGGGAGGGGGCGCGTAGCCAGCTGGAGACAGGGAGGCGCTGTCAGATGCATGTCACTGTGCTCTTGAATGAGGGACCCCGGCCAAAACAAGGATACTTGACAAGGAACAACACACCCCGCAAGTAGGATCCCTGAAGAAGTCTTTTTTTGCTTCGCCTTGGCGTGTCCTGCGTCTTACCTTGCCTGGGTAACTGGACGCTTCTTCTTCATGCTCAGCTGCCCAAGCCATCTCAAGCCTCAAGCCCGCAGTTCCGGGTTAGCCCCGGAGCTGTGCAGCATGTTTTCTTTGAGATCTTCATTCCTTGTGCTTCCGGCCTTACTGGTCTACGCTTCAGCAGAAGATGCTGATAGGCGCCTGATCTACAGCCTGGCACTCGGCATCGAGTTTAGCTTGCAGAGTTCATGAACGGAAAATGTTCTATGGGCTGAACACAAGCCCTGCAGTGCCTCTCAGGTTACGATAACTCGGACAGCTCCTTGGCAACATCTAGCTGTGGATCCATGTCATGGCCCCCAAAGGACGCAGGAATCAGTAGGAACCCGAGGCAATTGCTCGAAAGAAGCCAACGCCTAGACCCGCTCGCTCTTAGGGCGGTGGCGCGGGTCCAAAAGCCGAATCTCGTTTCTCTGTCAGTTTGGCGAGAAGAAGCGGAGGCGGAGAGGGCCTGAGCCGCGAGTCAAACTGGGAACTGGCACCGGCAGCACGAAACAGAGGTCTCATGAAAGCCACGGGAGCAGCCTGTGCAGCTGTGGGTGAGGCAAGCAAATGCCATCTGCCAACGATGGGGGCTTTTCAAGACAAGAGAGGTGTTTACTCTGCCAACTGCCAACATGCAGCAGCTCAGAGTTTGGTCGGGTTGCTTGTAGAAGTCGGTGTCACCGGAACCTCTTCGATGTTTTGACTGAGGCCAAACACCCTGGGGCCGTTTCGCAGGCGGATTTCCTTACCTTGTCTCCATCCGGTACAATGGCAATCACCAGTGTGGAGGGACCGCTTTTCATAGGTCATAGGAGGAGGGCCTTTTTGGATACCATTCATAATATAGTAGGCATATATAAATATAGCTTGCTAGTACTTTGTTATGGACCATGGCTCCTCGAAGACCTGCCATGAAACCAAAAATTTCTTGCAGAGTCTGATACCATGTCCGTAGCAGGACCTTGATCCGTGGCAACTGGGTGCTCACTGCTGCGCACTGCTTCTACAGTTCCCCCAACCAGGTCTCCAAGTTTCAGGCGGGGAACTGAGTCTGTGATACAGCCCCTGATGCTCACCGTATCTCCCCGCTCGCACACGCAAGCAGGTGTGCAAGTGTGGGTACATGCGCATGTGTAGGAATGCATCCTTCCAACATCATGTGCCGATGCAGAGTACAGGGTGGAGGAGAAGCATAAATGAGTCCCTGACGGTAGCAGCACTGCACGCATTTCTTAAGGACTTCCATGCGACTCGTGTGACACGGCTTCGGTCCTTAGGTTTCCGGGATTTGCGAAAGGTGCGATATTTGGCATCTACGACGGCCAACGATTACACTTTGACGAACATTGACCGGATCGAAGCTTGCCAGAAAGCAGATTGGGGGGTGTTGAGTGCCTCAAGATGAGCGTGCCGGACGACCGACGTGCCGAACATGTGTTCCAGGTCGTGCACCCGAGCTACCACATGGTGACCTTGGACGATGATATCGCACCACGACTGTGTTGGACATAAAGCTCCTGCGGCTGATCGGGACCAAGTTCGTGCAATTTAATTTCTTCCCTGAACAGTTGTAGTCTTCATGCAGTTGTCGTCGAATGTTGCTTTCACTCGTCGGGCCTTTGTTGTCCCTGTCGTGAGAACTGAGGCCCTGATTCGGTTGTCGACATCCGTCCCGTCAACGATGCCACTTGCGCAGCTCCTGGGACCGTTACAGACTCTGTAGTTGAGAAGTTTGAGTTTCACACTCGTTGCTGCTTGTGGGATCGGTTGGTTGTATGGCGTTATCCTGAAGAGTCTCGCTAACTGGAAACCCTATGGAGCATCTGGTCACAGAGGCCTGGGCGTGATCGACACGAAATTCTACTAGTTGACGGCCAAGACCACGTCAGAACTGATAAAACAGTTGAGCTGATGCCGCTTTTGCGGGTTCGTTGATGGCATTGACGGACGCTCTTGTGATCTGTTGTGGTCGTGGTTGTCGGCTTCACGTTCTTGTTGAGTCTTGTGCATCTATATGCTTGCACTTCGTGCAATGTCATAGTGCGAATTCCGTGAAGTACACGGTAAACTATAGTTTCATTCTTATGTGGAGCCTTGCCTGCCTTGTGCGAGTGTGAGCGTCGAAACCCTGAACCCGGGTTGTCCGTGTGTGAGCGCCGAAACCCTACTTGCGAGAGACCTCGTCTGGCAGTGTCCGAGTTGCGAGTGTGTAAACCCTAAGTAGCTGTTCGAGTTGCGAGAGCGTAAACCCTAAGTAGCTTGTGCCAAGAGTCGAGTAGTTTGAGTTGGTTGTGCGCCCGAACACTGAGACCTCGTCTGGCGAATCCGAGTTGCGAGAGCGTATGGTCAGAGTGAGAGACGAAACCCTAAGCAGCTTTGAGCCATTGCTCGGGGGCTGATTCGAGCTTTGACTTCAGTTCCTGTGTGCCGAACTGGCAGTCCCGGAGGCTTGAGCAAACCTACACCGATCACAGTGGGAAGCAGGCTTGTCGCCCTCAGTTGTCAGTACTTGGAGGTTCATGGGTAGTTACAAGATGTTACAAGTGGGGTTTTAAGTAGGGTAGCTGATAAGCCATATTAGGGAACTTATAACTCCATTTATAACTGCCCATGAACCTCCAAGTAGCACCTACTTCAAGTCGTATCTGGTTCTGGAGGATTCCGACGGGGCTTGCTTTACGGAGACTGGCATTGCGCGAGGCACTTATCGCAGGCTGGGGAAGCCTCGATGCTGCGGGTACCCAGCTTCTTGGCCGACAATTGTTGGAACAGTCTGTGGGATGGGGTTTTGCCATTGCAGCTGGGCCCCCCTGCAGTGATAGGTACGCGGATATCTTGAAGGAGGGGCCAACCCAAATTGTGGCGCTTACGCAGTGTCAAGCAAGCAGCCAGCTGCTTGGCAAAGACTGCCAGAGGGACAAGGGCAAGGTGGCGGTGCTCAAAAGCGCCTTTGCGGATCTTTTCGGACGGGTTTTAGGAAGACTCAACGACTCAAAGGAAGCGTAGCTCAGAGCTAAAAACAGACAGGAAACCTCTCTTCCTTAACTTCAACCTTCCGGAAAGACAACTTCGAGCTGGCAGCAGGACAACAGCCGACAGCTTTCTGTAGTGTTTGGCAGATCCACCCACCGACACCTGAACCAGGGAAGCAGCCCCAAAGCCCAAGCTGTCCCCGAAGCTCAAGTATGGACCTCTCAAACTCAGCCCGGAGACAAGCATCGATTTCAGGACGTGCGCCAAAAGTCGAACAAACGGCTAGGTTCTAGTCACGATTTGTGTATTCCTTCCATACTTCCTGTGATACTTGACAAGGGCCACGGGCTCAGATTTCAGATGTCAGAATCGAACCAGTGCCCCACATCGTCAACGTTCAGCCTGACATGATACATTTTTTATGTATGGAGAACTCTGTGTACTTGCGTATACTGCGTTTTCATCGATGTCCTTGAGCCCGCCGACATGTGTACTGTTTGGCAGTATGGCGCTCACGTCATGCGAGGGGCCAAACTAAAGAGAGTGTGCGTGCAGTGCTTTGCAAAGGAAGTTCAATGGTACCGCGTTCATCTGCAACGACCTGATCAACCAGTCCGGCATCGCGTCCCCCAAGGACCACTCGTTGCCAAGAGCCACATGTAGCAACGCCATCGTCATCATCACCACCACGAGCAGCAACAAGAACAAGGTACGTGCAGAGAGTGTGCTTACAATGTTCCGGCATTGTGCAGAAAACATGTACCACCCCAGTTCAGACAGTATGCTTCGCTTGCGTGGAGCATTCTTAGACAGATGTTGGACGGTGTTGCTCATACATGCTAGGCTATCGTTGTTCGGGTTGTGGTGGTGGTTGTTGCTGCTGTTGCTGATGTACAAGTAGCAGCTGCTGCTGCCGCTGTTGCTGCTGTAGCTGCTGTTGCTGCTGCTGCTGCTGCTGTTGCTGTTACTGTTGCTGTTGCTGTTGCTGTTCTTCTTCTTGCTCGTGCTGCTGCTGTTGTTGTTGTTGTTGTTGCTGCTGCTGCTTGTGTTGTGGATGTGGTTGTGGTTGTTGTTGTGGTTGTTGTTGTGGTGGCTGTGGTTGTCGTGGTTGTCGTGGTTGTCGTGGTTGTCGTGGTTGTCGTGGTTGTCGTGGTGGTGGTGGTGGTGGTGGTGGTGGTGGTGGTGGTGCTGCTGCTGCTGCTTCTGCTGCTACTTGTACCAGTCGTCGCTATAGCAGTAGTACTGGGAGCAGCAGTGCAGTCGTGGTGCTTCATCAGGTGCTAGTATGTGTAGTCGGAGCAGCATGAACCGCAGCAGGACCATCACCACTCTACAAGCACGACAAACACCAGAAACCAGTTACTACTGCCGCTGCTGCTCCTCCTCCTCCTACTGCTGCTACTACTACTGCTATCGCTACTGCCACTGCTGCCACTGCTGATGCTGCTGCTGCTACTCCTGCTCCTGCTCCTTCTACTATTACCACGGCTACCGCTACCACCCCAACTACCACTGCTCCGATGCTGCTGCTGTGCACATACCCACCTACCTACCTGCCTACCTCATGTTCTTGCCAACTTTCTCCGCTACCTGTACCTCTGCCTCCCACGTCCACTTCGACTACTACTGCTACCATCACGGCTTCTGCTGGCGCTGCGACTACTACGACTACTAGTGCTACTGCTGCCACTGCTGACTGCGATTGCGGCTACTGTTGTGTTGCTGCTGCTACTTCGAATCACTGTCGATGAGCATCCCATACGTCGCACTGCATTAAAAACCTCTCAGCTGAGAACTCACGTTATCGTCACTCCTATCGTCGCCACCATCGCCACCGCACCATCATCACCATCTCCATCATCGTCATCATCATCAGCATCATCATCATCACCACAACCTATGGTTGTCCTCTTTTTCATAATCGTGGCTTTTATCTGATGTTTAGGTTGAGATATTTGACTTTGTTTTCACTGCCATACTCATCATCATGATGACGCTGGTCAGAGCACAGCCGAAGTTTGCCCTGAGTCGAAAGATGGTCGTATCTGCTGGCAGCAGCAGCCAGCGAGCTCGCAAACGTGACGCCAAAGCAGAATGCTTTTATGAGGGAAACTGCGTCGCAGTCCCGGGCCCAAACACGTGTGAATGTTTCGAACAGCACACGATCGACAACTGGGAGGAAAATCACTCCGAAGTCCCTGAACAAACCATGGTGATACCCGCGCCTTCACCAGTCGTCGGCAATAGGTTCGCATGGCCTGTAAAGACTTGGAACAGTAGCAGCCGCAGCAATGCAACTAGCATCTAACGTCTCAGCTGGCCGCAGACCTTCCCAAGACAGGAGGGACCCGAGCGGTATGCCCTACCTGCCCAGGACATATCCGGCGCTGGCAGCGGTGACAGTGGCGGGCCTTTGTTCGTCAATGACACTGAGATGGGTACATATAGGAAGTTTGTTGAATGACAGGTGCAGTGCACTCCGGACTTCCATGGCTTGAGCAAGCGGCGCTCGCCGGGCGTAAACACCTCGAGATGAATGCAACAGCCTTCCGCAGCTAAGGACACCACCAACGGATTGATTCAGGTTGGGTTGGTGTCCCACACGGTGTGGGGGCGCGACATCTTTATACGCGTGCCACCTGTCTGCCACTGGCTGCTGCAATGTCTCCGAAAGAACGAACTGTGCCGAAGAACATCAGCACCAACCCCGCTCCTGAATTTCAGGGTTGTCGGTCTGGTCAGCAAGTCTCAGGTCTACATACTATGACTGGATGACAGGCATCATGAACTCTCCACCCACAACCAGCATGTTCGTGCCGCCCCTGTGCCAGGGCTCTTGTCACTTGGCCGAATGGATCAGAGAAAGTTTTCTCCTTCTGCAAATTGCCTCGGCAGCCAGCGAGGCTGCGACGATGGAACGTACGAAGATCCGAATGGTGCAGAATGTGGGACAGCCCGGCCGAAACTCACCATCACGGCACATGTCATGCTGCGATTTTTCAGTCATACCATTCCGGGCCGTTGCAGCCAGTGGACATCCGCACGCGGGAAATACCGCCAGCCGACCCACGAGCTGGTGCCAACTGCCTGCGCTCCGAGTCTTCACGCTTTAGCACATCAGAAAGGGGGTGCGTGTCTGAACAGAAGCTGACTGCAGGCTCATCGTCGTGAGATGCTGACGCTTCTGGCTGAACCGTCTTCCGGTTTACTTAACTGTTCCCCTTCCTGTTCTAGCCAAATGCACAATGGACCAAGACAACGGCTCGGGTTGCGCCGGATGCTTGGAGGTTCCACACGCGCTACTGATGAACGAGAGATGCTGGATATCCCTCCTACCGAAGTCTTAGCGTGTTATCGTCGCCCGCAAGCTGAAGCAATCCACGCAAAAGGTTTTTCTTCAGTCGTCCTGCTTGGGAAGTTGTTGCCGGAAGATGTCGGAACATGATTAATTAGTTACTCTTCATCGATACATGTGTTGCTGCAGTCGCAATGAACATCAGCTACACACTACGGTCCGCTAAACTAGGTCACGCAGTCGTTCTTGGCCCCGTGGATTTTGCGTGCAAAATCGCATTTATCCTTCGAACAGTAGTATTGTTTGTGGTAGGTGCATTTTACGCATGTGTCTTTTTCATTCTTTTCTTGCGTAACAAAAGTGACACGCTTGCCAGTGTTGTCAAGGGTTCGGAGGTGTGTGGTTTGGACGATCCATTTTACACTTCGTGCGTCTTTTGAAGTTGATTTTGAGGTTTATGCAGGAGAAGTCGTACAGTAGTAGTCGTAGTAGTAGTCGTCGTCGTAATCGTAGTCGTAGTAGTGGTAGTAGTACTGGTAGTAGTAGTGATAGTAGTAGTAGTAGTAGTAGCAGTAGTAGTAGTAGTAGTAGTAGTAGTAGTAGTAGTAGCTGGCTCCAATTAAATGCTCAAATATGTTTCAACTAATATTCGTTCCTCACGAACAGCTTGAGGGCGGACCCGGTAGAGGCGCTGCAGACCGGATGCAAAAAAGAAGTAGTAGTAGTAGTAGTAGTAGTAGTAGTAGTAGTAGTAGTAGTCGTAGTAGCAGTAGTACCTGCAGCAGGGAGGAGGAGACGGAGGAGGAGGAGTAGTAGTAGTGGTAGTACAGTCTGCCGGCAAACGAGGCCCGATGTTTGACCAAGTTTGTATGCCGATGTCGTAATCGTGGTTTTGCAAAATTGGTGTGCAAGCTTGCCAAAAGCATTTGCACCGCCTGAACCACTCGCACCACTTGACTTGGGGCGGGGGGAGGGTGGGGGCAATCTTACTCATTTTGCCTTGCGCCACTTGCACCACTTGGCGACCAAGATTGCAACACTAGCAAAATTTTGGTCAAAAGCAGCGGCCCTCGTTTCACAGCACGTAGTAGTAGTAGTAGTAGTAGTAGTAGTAGTAGTAGTAGTAGTAGTAGTAGTAGTAGTAGTAGTAGTAGTAGTAGTAGTAGTAGTAGTAGTAGTAGTAGGTAGTAGTAGTAGTAGTAGTAGTAGTAGTAGTAGTAGTAGTAGTAGTAGTAGTAGTAGTAAGTAGTAGTAGTAGTAGTAGTAGTAGTAGTAGTAGTAGTAGTAGTAGTAGTAGTAGTAGTAGTAGTAGTAGTAGTAGTAGTAGTAGTAGTAGTAGTAGTAGTAGTAGTAGTAGTAGTAGTAGTAGTAGTAGTAGTAGTAGTAGTGTTAGTAGTAGTGTAGTAGTAGTAGTAGTAGTAGTAGTAGTAGTAGTAGTAGTAGTAGTAGTAGTAGTAGTAGTAGTAGTTGTAGTAGTAGTAGTAGTAGCAGTAGTAGTAGTAGCTGGCTCCAATTAAATGCTCAAATATGTTTCAACTAATATTCGTTCCTCACGAACAAGCTTGAGGGCGGACCGGCGGACTCCCAAACCAGGATCTCGAAAAACCACCATCGAAGATTGGACCCGCAGCCTTCACACTGCCGCGGACTTGCTGCGCGGAGTCGCGGGGGATATGCAGGCCTACCCAGAACGCTTTCTCGAGGAATGCCCATTCCCGAGGCCCCCGCCGCCTTAAAGCAGCTGGGACAATGTCCGCCACTGTCATCACGATGGCGACAATGTCGTCCTGGCGCTGTATCGGCCGGTACTCAAATTTTTATTTCTCCATGAGCCTGCAGGCTAGCACGCCGTTGTTCTTTAACACGGCCCCTTTCTTTTCGGACGACGCTGCCATGCAAATTGCAGTCACGGTACGAAATAACCGGTCAGTTGGCAAGTGCTACACTAGTCGTCTGTGCAGAACCAGGCGAGATTTGGCACCCAGACACTCAGCTCCTACATTTATCTGCAGCCACTAAACATGACTGTGCTTGTCGGCTCTCAGACCCAGATAGCCGGTCTGGACGTCCCGGACCCAGCATCGCCACGAAGCGAGCACAAGCGATGTGGCGACTCCGTAGTAGCTCGGGATGCATTCCCATGGACCTGGACGGGTCTGATGAGGAGGCCCCGGAGCCGGCGCAGAAGTGTCGCCGCCCGACACTAACGACACCAACAGTTCAGAGAACTCTTAAGTCGGCCTTCCTGACGGCTCAAGAGGAAGCGGCACAAGAAGAGGAACGACAAGGCTCTGTCTGCTCAGCGCTGTGTTTGTATGCCCCACAGGCTCAGGCGCCAGGCATATGTCTCCATCTCCCTCCTGACATGGACGAAATGGAGCACAAGTTCACTCTGTGTGCCGTGGAACAGGCTGCTGCGGACTACCTACATCGCCGATGGGTCACCTTTGAGCAACTGGATGCCCTGCTGGACATGATGCCCACCACCTCGGCCTGTCGCAATGCATCGGTGGCACTGCCACAGTCTACGGACCAACAAATTGTCACATTAGGAGCATACCAGCAGGGGCCAATGGCCGGCCTGAGGACACAGACTCACCGTTTTCCGATGGCGACGTGTCTCCTCAACACGGTCGTGCACACCATGGCTGGACGCCATCCACGCACGACCCTCTTCCTGGCGCGTAACATGGCCTCTGGATTGCACACAGACAACAACCAAAAAGGGGTGAACAACCTCCTGATCCCACTTTCCAACTTCGAGGGTGGCCACCTCTTTGTGGAGGACGACGCCGGGGACTACGTACTGGACTCCGTTGGACCCAAAGGTCAAGTTCTCCCCGTGACCCTGCCCTACCTCAGCTTCGACGCCTCACGAAGACATCTGGTACTGCCGTGGACGGGACGCTGTCTCATACTCGGCACTTATCACATTCGAGATGCGGACAAGCTCTCCGCACATTCCGCTGTATACCTGCAGTATCTAGGATTTGAGGTGCGTCGCACAGCTACCAGCTCCTCTAGCTCGCAGCGGCAGCACAGCTGATATGTAGCCGCGAGCTGGCATGGAGGGGGCAATGCCCGACAAATTTTTTAGCTCAAGTTCTGGAGGCAGCTGCCTATCCCTCCAAGCAGGACAAGAGCACGTCCATAGGCTCTCTCGATTTTGACCCACAGCCTCGGCTGACGTCATCTGCCCAGGAATGTTAGGAGATCTGAAATGAATGCGGATGCACACTGCACATGTGCCTGCGAGAGCCACAACGGCTAACACATGTCTACGCTTGCCAATGCTGGCAAACTGTCTCTGAGGTCAGACGACACTCTCCCGGCTGTCTCCGCTGGTGCCGATCTTCTGGCATGGCCGGACCAGTGCCCCTATCCGCCTGCACAAGCACAGTTTAGCTCCACATTGCAGCTTCAGTATGACAAAAGCCGAAGCATTGTTCTGATGCGCAGCCGGGTTCAAGATCACCGACGGCACCAAACAACACTAGGCTGACACTGCAGCTAGCTTAGCCCAGGGCACTAACTTTTCTACTCTTGCGCACTTTCTTCGCCTCCCCCTCTCTCCTAAGACTAGTCACGGACGTGTCGCTCCAAGAGCACCGGCTTTTGGGAATGGCAGCCACACCGACTACGCCGAAGCCCTTTTTGGTGCTCAGCGACAGCACCTTGCAACACTTGCTATGGCAGGGGGCCAATGGCCAATCATACGGTATCATCGACATGAACCGGGGTGCAATGCACGGCTATGTCATCTCCTGCCCGGGTACGACCCTCACAGCTGAGTACACGGGTGCGCAGCCACCCAACCCCGCAGTGTTGGAGGTGCTGGCCTGGCAATTCATCCGCGTCCTCGGAGAGACGCGCACTTTCCCAGCAGAGAGCCAAGCACTGATCAACTTCCTCCGCGACCACTACTATGACGAGGTCAGCGTGCGCATGATCCCCATTCGCCAAAGTTTATTGCCCCACAAGCAGCAGTCCTATGATGATTGGATCGCGGAGCTCAGGGACCAATATGGCCCAGGCCGGTACGAGCTCAGCGATGAAACCATCATGAGCCTCCAAGGCCCCCATCCTCTGGTCGATCAAATCTACAACCAGTACAACTGTCACCTTCGGCCGGTGGTGGCGGATCGAGTAATTGGCTTGTTGGTGTCTCGCTCAATTCGAACGATGAGACGCTTGAAGCCCAACGCGATCCACGTTCTGGTTGTCTGTTCATGGAACTGCAAGGGGGACAATGTCCACAAGGAGATGAATGCCACGTTTGACCTATGCAACGCGGAGACACTGTCGGAAGTTGGAGCGGTGGCCGCTCGCCACACGGGAAAGGCATGGGCTTTTCGGCCATTCCTTGAGCCGAATGCAAGTCGCCGGCCAATGCCCCGTACCCTGTTTCAGACATACATGCATGACGACCACCCCGGTCCCAAGAGCATGTGCCGGGAATTCCTGGCCGATTTCGAGCGCACCTTCTGCAACGATGAGATTTTGCTCGAGACCCTTCAAGTGCACGCTGGAGACAGCGGTGAAAACTTGATCAGAAGCCTGAGGCAGCCTGCTCACAAGACTGATGTCTTCAGATACGTCTACCACTATTATCATGCATGGTGGCCTGTACCTGGACATCAAGATGGCGCTACGAATGCCCTTCGATGCAATTCTGGGGCTCCTCGCATCAGAATGGGACAATGTCCAAGTTCGCAAGAGCAAAGAGCTGGGGCACTGCCCAAATGGCGTGGAAGGGGTTCTGCCCCGGGAATACCTGATCATGGGCATTGGGGTCAAAAACGACCACATTTTCCAAGGCATCATCTATGGCCAGCCGCGCCATCCATTGATTCTCTGCGCTATCAACCACGCTTTCAGCAGGCAGATCCTCACATCGGTCGCCAATCTTGACTACATGATTTTCTGCAAGGAGCTCTGGAAGCTCCTCTCCAATGACATGGGCCACAAACCAGTGCCGGGATGGACTCAGACGAAACAATGTGGACCGGTGTATCTGCTCCGTGAGCGCCATTCGGCCCAGCTCACCAAATCCAAGGAGCTCGAGTCCGATGGTCACTACTTTGAGACCAGCAGGCAGGTTCGCGTTGCCTTCACCCGCTGCTGGAGCTGGCGCAAGGGCTTCAAGGGAGACCCCAGGGCAGCTCAACGAAATGAAAATTCTCTCATGCAGAGCGTGCCCCAAATAGTCTCGGAGGTCATTGAAGCCGGTGGCGCTGCCTCTGCAGCACCCCATTCAGCACAGGCGGGAGCAATGCTCACCAATGCAGGCGTCCGAGTTGTCGGCGAGACCGTGCTCAGCAGCCTTGAGCGAGGTGACTTTGACGCGATCATGGCAGCGGTCGAGAAGGAGCCGCAGTACAACGGCATCTCGGCCGAGGCTGTCCTTCGCAACATCCCCCGCGGCCTGTGCCTCCACCCTGAAGACCAAGATTGGCTTTCCTGCCGCTACTGCGAGCGCAATGGCAGGCGCTTGAAATTCCCCAATGAGTTGGGGGTAACACACCACTTCATGCAATCCAAGCATGACCGATCCGCGCCTGAGCCACCTGGACCGCCACCACGCAACAGCATGTGGTCACAGCGCCCGGCAGAGCCTGCTGACCCTCCCTCAGCTGCGGCTACAGCAGAGGCAAGCCAGGCCCCACCACCACCAGAACCCACGGCGGACCGCCCGCCCCAGTGGGCACGCTTTGGGCTTGGACTCCCTCCCATTCCGCCAGGCCCTAGCCCCCCTGAGCAGGGCCACCGGCCACTTGCCGTGAAAGAAGAACAAGGGGTCAATGACCAGCCGGCAGAAATCAAGGATGAGTCACCGGCCACTGGTCACTACGACCAAGCTAGTGGAGTACAGTGTCAACCCCTCTCCAGAGCAAGAGGCAAGTCAGCTGCCCAAGCGAGATCAGATTGTCCACATATGCCAATCCGACCAGATGCTGGAGTGGGTTCACGCCTTCGCGACCATCTCCATTATGAAGGAGCAGGCCATAGTGGGCGGCCTCACTGCCTCCGAGCAGGTCTACCTGTGGACCAATCGGTTTCGGGCACTAGGAAAAGTGCCATGGATCTTTGCCCCGATCAAGAAGGTCGCCACTGACAAGGATGCCAACTGGCTTGACATCACGCAAGCGCGGCTCATGGTCGGGGCCAATGGCCAATTCACACTATCAATTGGCCAAGATGATCGCTACACCGAGCTCAAGTCCACCACGACCTACTATGGCATAGTGCACGCCCTCTTCCAGAAAATGTGGGATCACTCGGACATGAATGCATTGCTCGAAACGGACGACAACTTCGAGATTGTGGCCTCTACCTTCAAATGCATTTACGACCAGTCCTCCAGAAAGAGTGGAGGCCAAAATCGTGCCATTTTCTACCAGCCCCGGGATGGACAAGTTGTCCGCAAGCTTCGTATCGAGCATAACAAGGGCGACACGGCCACCTACCAATGGCACCGTCAGCGCGAGCTGCGCGAGCAGCGCGAACAGCGGGACAAGCGCTCTGGAGAAGAGACACAGTCTCACACAGACAAGCGCCACAGGGACGGTGACGCCTGGAACCGAGGAGGTTGGTGGAATCGGGGATCGGACTCCGGGACCAGTGGCAGCCGCTCCTGGCATCAGTGAGTTCTGCCCACGACCAATGGTGCCAGTGGCAGACTACGCAATAAACTGCGGAGGCCATGCCTGCTTTTCCTCTTCGTCTCTTCCGGAACGGACTGACAGCCTTTCTGCCGGATGCCGCAGCTGTCAGTTGGAAAACAAGCCCTAGCCTGCCGCCGGTCGCGTTACTGCTGCTCTGCTATCCGCAATGCAGAATCACTATCCATGTTCAGGTACATACAACGATCTGAAGCTCGATGCCTAGCAGCCTGCAAACTCGCTTTGGCTGATTCCTGCCAGTTAGTTCAAAGCCTGTAGGCCGCCAACATCCAAAGGTCTTTGACCTGGGCTGATCAGCTATAGGGTCTGAGTCAGTTTCACACCAAGTGAGTGCACCGCGGCAATTGCCCGCTATGTGCTGAGCCCGCTCGCACAGCGTTCAATTGAAAATAGTAGTAGTAGTAGTAGTAGTAGTAGTAGTAGTAGTAGTAGTAGTAGTAGTAGTAGTAGTAGTAGTAGTAGTGGTAGTAGTCGCAGCAGTAGTAGTAGAAGAAGAAGAAGTAGAAGTAGAAGTAGAAGTAGAAGTAGTAGTAGTAGTAGTAGTCGTCGTCGTCGGGGTGGAAATAGGAGTAGTCGTCGTCGTCGTAGTCGTAGCAGTAGTAGTAGTAGTAGTAGCAGCAGTGGCCGCCATCCTGCTCCTATGACCTCCTGAACTGGCTTTACAGCACCAAAAGGCTGAGGAAGACTATGACTTTAAAGGAGCAGGCCGGATACTACTACTACTACTACTACTACTACTACTACTACTTCTACTACTACTACTACTACTACTAGTACTACTACTACGGCTACTACTACTTTACAGGGGCAGGTGGTGGAGTACTTCTGCTGCCGTGGAGGAGCAGGCGGCGGAAAACCAGTGCTACTTTAGAGGCGAGGCGGGCGATCACTTAGACGTTTAATGCTACTATTACTGAAAGGTTGCAGGGTGATGAAACCAACAATGTGTGTCAGCAAGCCCACCCCCCACACCCCACCCTTTGGAAGCACGGAATGTTGAAGCAAGAAACGCGAAAAGCCTGAAAACACGCATTTCGCATGGGGCCGCGAGAGGTTGCCTGAGCCTAGGCCTAAACTAGATGTCATCAAGAACATGTCTTGGCAATGCATGCTGACGTTGACAGCGGCACGCCGATTCAGTGTTCATGCATTACTCCCATTCGCCTACTTGGATCAGCCAGTGATAGCCAGTGCGCACATTGTCGACATTTGGTTCTCCGATGTTGTGTGAAAATTTATTGCTCTGGAACTTGCAACCGTTCGCCAAGTCGCCAAAGCCTTGGAGAACGAACAAGAACTGGACTTGGCTGGATGTCCGTACATGAGACGGTTGCAGTGTGGGCATGAGCTTGGCTCCATATGCAGGCATCATCTTCTTCTCAGCCCTGTGCACTTGAAACGCTCAGAGACACTTCTTATAGTTTGGGACGAAAGCCAGATCAACGCATTTAAACCGCTCAAGATGCACGCGTCACGCGGACTTGTTTCTTGGGCAGCGCTTGCTTGCGCCAGGGAACGCGTAGCTGTGTGCAAACAGCATGCCCAAAACAGGCAAGGGTTCTGCTACTATAGGGGCCTTAAAGCTTTAATAATTACCTATACCATGTTGGGGAATCCATAATTTTTTGTAATCATAGTAAAACGGGCCCTGTTTTAATTATTGTAAGGTCCCTATATTAGCTTGCTCCGGGATGGTGCCTGCTCAAGCTCTCTGGGCATGCCCACGTCGTGGTTGTGTGTCGGTGTTTGCTCCAAATTTTGAGCTACTTATGTGACAGAATATGACATGGTGACGAGAAGCAGTGTCGAGCTTCTGGAAATGGGACTTCTGCTACATGTGTGACATGAGCCCACGCTCTGCCTCTTCGGAGTTCCTGCCAACAGGAGCTACGCTTCCAAAGAGCCACAGCTCAACATTAGAAGCTGTTAGGGAGTTCTAGCTGTGACAGCAAGGGCCCATAGCCGAAGACTTGAAGAGTGACTTGCCAGTTCCTTAGTTTCTTTATCTTATCTGTCTTTAACTTCTGACAATGGCGTGGTCCAGCCTGGCAGGCGCCAGGTGAGGGATGTTTCTGCCCACACCTGAACCCTGCGCACTAAACCGGCCCAAGCCCTGAACTCCTTTGAGCAAGAGACCTCATCTGGCGAGTCCGAGTTGTGAGAGAAACTTATGGCAACAACCCTGGAAGTACCCGTATACAGTACCTTATCCCACCTGAACCTATTTGTTTTGTAGAGTCCCTATAAAGTTCATATGAAGGTTCACAATAAGAACCTAAAAAAGTAAGTTATGGTAGGTTAAGGTAACCATGTGCCCAGACCATGCCGAGGATTGCAGTGCATCAGCGACGGGCTTCACGCTTACGGAAACAGCAGCTCAGCCTGACAACTTGTGAGCTCTTTCGTCTCCCCAGAAGTATGCCAGGGGTTATGGGTAGTTGTCAAAATTATGATTGGGTACCCTAAATATTATCATAATTTTGACCACCACCTTTATCCAGCCCATAGCAAGTCAAGATAAGAGTAGTTGTATGCGGCGGTAGTATGGGGCTACGGGTACTTCAAGGGGTGCTATACGGGCATCAACTGTAGGGGGTAGTGTCCCGGTATTGTGGGATATTACAAACCATAAGGGTACCATCGCATATTAAAAAATATTACTGACAAGGCTGCTACTTTAAGGGGCACTCTCAGGGTTCTATGGGGGGTAGGGGGAGTTACCGATTCCAACGGGTAACATAGGGCTTTATCAGGCATTATACGGAGTACTGTAAAAGGTATTACAAGGTTATAAGGAGTATTGTAAGGCGTGTTATCGGGGTATTGTGGGGTGTTGTCAAGCGTACCGCAAGTGTACTATGGCGTACTGCATGCAGAGTCATAAGTATAAGGTTACTATGGGGTAATATGAGGTGCTGTGAAGGGTGCTGGATGGGCATTTTAAGGCGCACGATAAGCGGCATTTATGCAGGTTGCTTTATGGGCGAGGGTTACCATGAGTAATTGCTCCTCCGGTCAGGAGAGGCTTCGGTTCTCTGAGTTTCAATCGCCAGACTTCCACGAGCCATTTAACCCACAAGTATTTGCTTTGGCTGCATGTGAGCCCGGGCGCAGTGTAAGGATGCGCTGCTGAACGCATGCCTCTCCAGCTGCGATGGATGTGCTGTTTGCGAGGCGTGCTTTCTTGGGCAAGAGCAGCTCAGTACCAGATGAGTGAGAGCTGTTGAGCGAAAGTTTTCTTGAGCCTGTCGGGGACCGCAAGCGAAGTCCAGCTATGCACAGTGCAGGCGACGAACACCAGTTGCTGTGACAAAGTGGACTTTACAACGACCTCAGGCCCGGTCCGGTGCTCGGTTACGCCGAGGTGGCAGACTACGTGGGCTTGTCATTCTCGACTTCTTCAGCAATGCTGGGAGGTTTAGGTTTGGACTGATCTCCCTCCTTGCTCGGTTACTTCTTGTTCCCGTCCTGCCTTGCAGGCAAAACGTGTGCACAATTTCGAGGCCGGCTGCAGAGAGGTGGGTTACTATAGGGGCCTCAATAATTACCAATGCTATTTTCTTGGGGGGAGTTCCTTCTTATACTAGTATACTGGGCCCCAAAACCCTATTCTAATTATTAAGGGCCGTCTAGTGTCTCGAAGCCATGTGTAGAATGTATTCGCAGGTGAACCTCTCCCTGCAATGTGTGCTGCAGTGTTGAGTTGCGGGGCTCAAGAAGTTCCAGGATTCCAGCATACCGTAAAAACTGGCATGATTTAAGTCTTGTTCAGGACAAAGACTCCTTGGCTGGCGACACCAATGCTCGAAATAAGTACATTCTCCCACCCTGCAGTCTTTGCACCCAAATCTTCGGCCTGCTTGGCCTCAGACTTGTCGTGAAGCCTTGCCTGCCGTGAAACCCGAAGTGATTCTAGCTGCTCCGGAGCCCCGATAACTTGCAGGCGTCGACTGTGCAAGTGGCTCTGCTGCAAACATGACATGTGCTTGGCCACCTTTGCCACGGTATCTCACGTTGAGTGTCGTTGTCACCTGCAGAGACCCGTGAAGGCGTCTGAAATGGATGCTGCATCTCAGAACTTGGATATGTTGCCATCAGTAACGGTTGCAGAACTTCTAGCATAGAGCGGCGCGATGATCAGTTCCGAAAAAGGTGGATTCTAGGCAAGGTAGACACAGCTGAGTCGCACGCGCAAGAGACGCCGTAGTAGGTAGGGCAGCATTGAAGAAGGTAGTGAGAAACAAACATCCAGCTAAGAGCCAGCGAATAGAGATATTTCGTACAATTGGGACGGTAGCAGTAGAAGATAGTAGGAGCCCATGCGTCGACCAAGCACGAGAAGACGCAGTCGATGACTTGACTTGCCAAGCAATGATGCTGAGTTCGGTAATCCAGCTTATTCCCTCAAGATATCCTGCGACTGTGTCTGCGCACCGTGTGCCCCGCCTCACACCAGGTGACGCGGAAGCGGCCGAGATACGCGTAAACTGCCAATTTACTTGCGGATTCTGCACGAGCGGAAGCTTGGCTTATGTTTCCCCCGGAGCAGGGTTTCAACGACTCAATCGCCAGTGTTGCCTGTAGCCATTCAGCCTAACATGCCATGTGACGACCAGGGAGCCAAGGGTTCAGGCATCACAGCTTCGTAGAGTCCTGAAGCTCGTACTTCATAAACGCCACTACGTAGCATCTTAGTACCGACTCTTAGTCTGGTTGGGAGTTTCCGAACATAGGGGACCTTAATACAGCACCCTAGATAGTAGGATCCTCATGATAAGGGCCCCAGAATAAGGTACCCCGAATTTTCGGAAACTCGCACTTGGAGAGCACCAGTGCGGCCTTGAAGCCCAGCAGAGAGTCCTAAGCTCTCCCCGCGGCTGACACTGCCACTTTTTGAAGCCGAGATGTACGTGTCTTGAAGTTGCCTGTGTGAACCCGCCACGGCTCAAGCTGTGCAGCTCGTAAGCTCGTCACTTGTGACGCTGTTGCTACGCTGATCCCCTTTCCTCCTCACGCCTTAAGATGGCGAAAGTCGAGCCAGACATCGGTAACGTGGAGGATGACGATGAGATGCCGCAGATCGAGGCTAAGACTGAGATAGCAGAAAAGAAGCCGGTGAAGATTCCGCCTGCCTCAATTTGCAAGCTCTTTTCCAAGATGGACACTTTAGAGGTGATTGTGCTTCTTGTGGGCTGTCTGGGTGCTATCGGCAACGGCTTGTCACAGCCCTTGCTCTGCATTGTCTTCGGCGATCTAATTGACGGCATGGGGTCCTCGACCGGTAACATGGCAACGATGACCCCCGAAGAGATGGCTGCGGGAATGGTGGGCATGATGAGCCAGATGGAGGAACTCTGCATCACCATGATGCTGGTTGGTGTCGGCGCGACCTTCGCAGCATTCCTGCAGGGAGCCTGCTTCAAGATCTTCGCCGAGAAGCAGGCATTCAAGTTCCGAGTCCTCTACTTCGACTCTGTGCTCCACCAGGACGTGGGCTGGTTCGACACGAAGGAGGTTGCAGCTTTGCCGGCGGAGATCAACGATGACTTGGAGAAGATCCAGGATGCCTTCGGCGACAAGTTTGGCAACGGAGTCATGGCTGCAGCGGCATTCCTCGGCGGCTTCGGATGTGCTTTCGGAATGGGCTGGCTGATTGCTTTGGTGATGTGCCGGGGCTTTGGAGTACCATGCTTTCATATTTGATTTCTTAAAGAAACCATCATGAGATAAAGGTTTCTGCGTTTTTCTCACTACTTAAAAGCCGAGGTGCTCTATTCTGCCCTTCATGGGTGTCGGGGCCGCCTTGATGGGCAAAGCTGTCCAGGAGATCCAGAACGAGTCGCAGAGCTGGTATGCCAAAGCCTCTGCGGTCGTCGAGGAGTGCCTCCATGCAATGAGAGCCTTAGTAGCTGAGTGAACACACTTTGGCACTTTTTTGGAGAATACTATACCCACTATAAACAACTAAAAGTGTGCACTTTTTGAGGCTTAGGAACTCAGCAGCTAAGGAACGGTGGTCGCTTTCGGTGGCGAGCACCGAGAGCTCAAGAAGTTCTCTGCAGCCCTTGTCCAGACTCGCCGCGGCGGCGTCAGGAACGGCTTCAAGGTGGGGGCTGGCATGGGATACACCATGTGCATCGTCTTCCTGGGATACGGCTTGGCCTTCTGGTTTGGCATGACATTGAAATACAACGACGAGATCAATCCTGCCACGGGTCGGGAGTGGGAGCCAGGCACAATCATGGCCATCTTCTTCTGCATCTTCATTGGCAGCTTCATGATCGGCAACTTGGATCCCAGCATCAAGGCCATGAAGGCTGCCCAGACTGCTGCTGGTCGCTTCTTCCAGGCCGTGGAGAACAAGCCAGACATTCAGTGCCGAGACCAAGATACGCGTGAGAACATCACGAGCATCGAGCAGTTCGATTTCGAGTCGGTACACTTCACTTATCCTGCAAGGCCCGATGTGAAGGTGCTGAACGGCTTGTCTTTGACCATCCAGCGAGGCAAGAAGGTCGCCGTGGTCGGTGAGTCGGGCTCCGGAAAGAGTACCGTCATGGCTCTGCTGGAGCGTTTCTACGACCCGGACTCTGGAGCTGTTCTGGTGAATGGGCAGAACATGAAGACCTTCAAGATTGCCGCCTTGCGCAGGTGCATTGGCTACGTGGGTCAGGAGCCGGTGCTTTTCGCCTCGAGCATCCGCCACAACATCATGCAGGGCAACCCCTCGGCCAGCAAGGAGGACTTCGCCAAGGCCTGCGCCGACGCCCAGCTCAGCTTCGTGGAGAATCTGCCGGACAAGTACAACACCTTCGTAGGCAGTGGCGGCGGCCAGCTCTCAGGAGGTCAGAAGCAGCGAATTGCCATCGCCCGAGCATTGCTGAAGAAGGCCTCCTTCCTCTTCTTGGACGAGGCGACCAGTGCCCTCGACAACACGTCCGAGAAGATGATCCAGGCCACGATTGACAGCATCAGTGCCAACACCACAGACGGTCTCGGAATTGTCAGCATCGCCCACCGTCTCAGCACCGTGAAAAATTCGGATCTCATTTATGTGCTCAGTCGGGGTACATTGGTGGAGAAGGGCAACCACGCCTCCCTCATGGAGAAGAAGGGCACTTACTATGCATTGGTCGCAGCCCAGGAGTCCTCCACCAAAGCCGATGAGGAAGAAGAGACTGACAATGCGCCGGCAGTGCCCCACGACCAGACTTTGCAGATGGTGGTGAAGCGCTCGTCGACGAATTCGGGGGAGTCGGAAAGCGACCGTGTGAAGCGCGAGAAGGAGGCGGAAGCTAATCGCGAGAAGGACATCGCCAAGAACTATAAGGTACCGATGCGGCGGCTCCTCAGCTACAACAAGCCTGAATGGCCCTTCTTCGTCCCTGCTATTCTCGGCGCCATGGTGGATGGCTCTGCCATGCCGGTTTGCACGATCGCGCTTGTCGGATCCATGGAGGGCTTCTTCAAAATAGACAAGGAGGAGATGAGGGCCGACCTCGAACAGATGGCTTTGATCTTCGTCATCATTGGCGTGAGCGTCCTCGTGGGCTCGACCATCTCCCACGGTTGCTTCTCCATCCTCGGCGAGGCCATGACGCAGCGTCTCCGTGTGGCAATCCTGACCGGCATGTTCCGCCAGGAGGTCGTTTTTTTCGAATGAGTGGGTTTCTGACATGTAAGACCACGTGAGCTCAGAAACGCCCTACTGATACTACCGCCATGCCATAAAGGGATCTGCAAGCAAGCCTAACTTAGAGCAACACCCCCAGGTGGGATTCCACGATGATCCGGCCAACACCCCGGGAATGCTGTCCAAGGCCCTGGAGCTCTGGGCTTTCCGCGTGGCCACCTTGTGCAAGTCCGTTCAGGCCTGGGGTGGAGACTGATGGACCTCACAAGCCCCCGAAGTCCTGAACAACTAGACTAGGGCCTAGGATTTGGGGGTATATCCGCGGGTATATGATACCATCATTATAGTAAGGAGCCCCCCCCAAACTAGAGTTCCAAGTCCTAAAGCCTGCCCATCTCTGCCGGAATGGTCGCTTGCTTACGATCCCTTTAGAGATCAGGCCAAGGCTGCGGCCATGAGTTCCCTGGTTGTTGGTCTCGTGATCGCCTTCGTCTACTGCTGGCAGATGTCCCTGGTGATGCTGGGCTCCATCCCGATCATGATCGCAGCGCAGGCACTTCAGATGTTGGTGCTCTTGGGCGCTTCGAAGAACGAGAACGAGAACATTACGAATGCCAACCAGATTGTGGTGGACTCCGTCATGAACGCTCGCACGGTGCAGGCACTGGGTGTGGAGAAAGGCCTCGTGGGCATGTATGTGGGCTGGGTCGAGAAGTCCTTGGTGGGCATGTGGAGGCGCAACATCCTTGCTGGCCTGGGCTTCGGTGTCTCCAACGGTATCATGTTCTTTATCATGGCAGGAGGCTTCTACGTTGCTTCCATCCTGATCAAGGAGGGGATCGCCGACTTCCAGGGGGTGATGATGGCTTTTATGGGAATTTTCTATGCGGGTATGGGGGCAGGCCAGGCGGCTGTCATGGTTGGCGACGCGACCAAGGCCAAGGTGGCCTGCCACGACATGTTTCAGCTTATGGATCGCATCTCCGCCATTGACGGCCTGGAGCCAACTGGTGAGACCCCAAAGCAGCTGGAGGCTGGGCAGATCGAGTTCCATGACGTCAAGTTCTTCTACCCTTTCCGTCCGGAGGTCCAGGTGCTCAAGGGCATCAACTTCAGCATCTCCGCCGGGCAGTCTGTCGGTCTTGTGGGCCCATCCGGTGGTGGCAAGAGCACGGTGATGTCCCTGATCCAGCGCTTCTACGATCCTCAGGAAGGACAGGTCTTCATTGGCCACGACCGCGTCGCACTGAACACCGTCAACATCCGCTGGTGGCGTCGGCAAATTGGTTTCGTGGGTCAGGAGCCGATCCTCTTCAACACCACCGTTCGCGCCAACATTATGTACGGCCTCGACGATGGCGAGACTGTCAGCGATGAGTACGTCAGCCAGTGCGAGAAGATGTCCAACCTCGCATTCTTGTACAAGAATGGCAACAAGGGCCTGGACACGGAGGTTGGTCCCCGAGGAGGCCGACTCTCGGGTGGCCAGAAGCAGCGCGTGGCCATCTGCAGGGCACTTATCCGAAACCCACCGGTTATGCTGCTGGATGAGGCCACCAGTGCCCTGGACACTCAGAGCGAGGCCATCGTGCAGAAGGCTCTGGAAGCGGCGCGGGAGGGGCGTACTTCTTTCGCCATCGCACACCGCCTTTCCACTATCCAAGGTTGTGATATCATCCTTGTAAACGCTGACGGGCGCGTGGTGGAGAAGGGAAACCACGAAGAGCTGATGGCGCAGAAGGGAGTGTACTACAAGCTGCAGATGCAGGCGCAGAAATGAGCAGAGTTGGTGCAGGAAGTTCTTGCCTGGTTCAACCCGCGCACGTTGTCGCTTGGGGGACCGGCATTTTGTTCACAGTTTCTTTACGTTCTCAAACTCTCAGCCGCAAAGCAAATCAAGGCCGCTCTTCAACTGCCAAGCAGTTGCGGGCGCGTGGTCTGAGCGTAGAGACGACGTCCCTTCTTCTCACATGCTTCTTCATGCACTTCTTCATGCACTTGTGCATGCAACTGGAGGTGCTTAGTGCTGACCGAATACCACTGGTATCGATTTGTTTGCTTCGGCGCTCCCGGTTGGCCTTAGCGGATTGTTGAAGGTCGCCGGGTGCCCGTAGGTTCAGAGACGCCTTCACATATCTTCACATGGGCGCCTCTGGGGCTGCGGACGCGCCCTACGGATTGTAGGCGCGGAGTGGTCTCGAGGGCCGATGTGGAGAACTCGCGGCTTGGGCTTCAGGCTCGAGATCATTGCCTTTTTTACATAGCGATGACAAAGGAGTGCTTGTTAGTGTAGCTCACCTGCTTGATACGAAGCCGCCGCGGAGACGTCATCTAGAGACCCTTAAGCTTCAGCTTCCGTCCCGGATCTTTGTTTGAGAGATTCCTTCCCCTTTGCATGTTGAAGGCTCCTCTGTACAGTGTGGAGGACGCGGATGCTTGAACCCAGAAGGGCCGCAAGCACCTAGCCTTTGCTTCTCAGTATAGGTAGCGATACTTGACATTGCATCTCCAAAAATGGTGCGAAGCTCGCTAGCCTCTAGCCCGAGATGAAGGAGGGGCTCGTTAACGGAGTCTATAAGGGAGTTCGCAAGAGACAGAAAAACGAGAAGTCAGGAATGCAGCTGAAAGAAACAGGCAGGAAATCCGCCTCAGAGCAGCTTGGGTACCGGATCTCATACTGAGCCGTTCGGCTGGGCAGGTAGCTCCATTTGTACCGACGCCGTAGCACTGCCCTTACAAGTGGTCTGAGCTCGAACCACGGCCTAAGACCGCGCAGTTGTGGAGAGAGAGACGAGAGATGAAGAGAGAGAAGCCAGATTAGCGCCGCAACCATGGAAGTTGCTTCATGCTGACGGGACTTGATGGACATTCGCGTAGGGCGAGCGCCCAGAAGTAGGGTTTCTTTCAAACCACCAACCACCCCAAAAGTGATGCAAGCAAGCACTCATGCACGAGAGCGAGCGAGCAAGCAAGCCAGACTGACAGATAGACAAAAACAGACACACAGACAGACGCCGAGATAATTTCCGGTATTAAAGCATCTACTGAGCGCAAGACTGAAGTGCGTGCGACCGAGGTACAGATTGCACAGACGTAGCATATTTCGAGGACGCTAAGCGCAGCTTGGATGCACAAGCTACGTGCTAACACGATCACTGAGGCGCAGCGTTGTTGTCGGGCTTTGTGGTTTCGCGGAGAGAGACCAGGTTTTTTGAGGCTGATTCGCACTCCGGTCAGTTGGCTATAGGCCAGGGCCATGCCGGAGCTTCCACTCCAGGCCTCATTTATCCTTCTCCCCTGCTTAGCTTCGCATTCCGAGGTTACACATGCCCTCAATGGCCTCTCGGCAGTGCAAGTTTCATTTCCTTCCTGGTGCAACATCTTGAAGCTTCAGTTGTTTTGATCATTTTGGATCGTCCGAGTGTCTGCTTTGGCGTCCCCTACTTGTACGGACCTCCCTTGGCGCAGCACGATCAATGCGCCCCCCCTGCTTTGCACTCCGATCCGAACCTCAGGAGGGGATACGATTGCTCCCGGGCCTCAGAGACTTGGCATGTATAATTCTACTCGTATTTTAATGCTGACAGTAGAAATAAACAGTAATACGAATGTTAATGACCGGAGTGATAATGACCATAGAAGAAGAACTACAGAAGCTATATCTATATACATACGTTTATATGATGGTTTTGAGCCGAATCAGCTGCAATGCTCCTAGAAACAATCGGTTTAAGCATGAGCATCGATGTAAGTCCTCTCAACTGTCCTCCGTATAGCCAGATAGAAGACACTACCCAGTTCTGTTGTGGCATCATGAAAGGTTCTTCGGGGCGAGGCTTGCCAAATGGGCTCTATTTTAACATGATCTTCGGTATACGGTCCTAGGGCCAAGAGTTTCTAGTTATATAGGTGTAGGTTCCCATATATCAGAATTCCGCGCTACGATGACTTCCGGTCGAGGAGCAGATTCGCGACTCCGCAGGCGCCCTGCCGCCGAACCCCTTGCACAATGAAGCCTTCCTGGTCTGACAACATGAACAACAGGAAAGGATACCCCAGCAAGTTGCACGTGGTGTGTGGTTCCCCCGCATTCCTGCTCAGGAGGACTACGGTGACTCGGCTCAAAATGGGGATTGATTCTGGCTGCAGACTGCAGATAGCACATGGGACAAGGGAGCTCATGATCATTTCGGGGACTGTTCGTATTGCGGGATGTTGTCCATCGTGGAGTTTTCCAGATGAAGACTCCACGTGTGTCTTTGGACGCAGGCTACGCCCAAGCAGACGAAGACCTGTTGCTGCAGTTCTGCCTCTTGGTGGCATGAAGGGGTCTTTTTGGATTGGGGGGTTTTAGGGACTAGGGTTGCGAAGTGCCGGATGTTGCCCTTCCATGGCCCTTCCATGTCCTTGCAGAACTCGGGGCTGAACTTGTGAAGATGTTCTTCTGCACAGGTCCCCTCAGCTGCGGTACTTGCCCGAGCCATGGCGACAATTTGCTGGAGCCAGACTGGTTAAACTTCCTGCAGATGCGCGAGTTACGATTCCGTCGTACTAACCTCCACTGTAAACCCCGATGTCAGTAGCCATAAGTGCGTTTTGTGTGTGAGTGTGTGAGACGCGCGTCATGGGTGTCTTTCCTGCTTGTGAAGCCGGATCTCGTTGAAGCACGGTTTCGTGTCAGATGCGGATGTGCAGAGTACAAGACATTCCAGATGCCTATGTGAGGTCAACGGCGCAGGCGAGGCACAGATTTTGCAGCTGTCTTTCTTTCAATCACTACGTAGAATGGCTCTGGGGTACATTATGCTATAACCTACGACCGCATACTATAAGATCCTGTGTTTGGCCCATGGCCCCTCATGCCTTCTGTGTCATCCCCCATCAGGCTTCGACTACGTTGGGGGATGGCCTCTCGGCGAGCATCCTGGCGAAAGCAAGTGCCGTGCGCAGGGGTTGAGGGGGTTGTGCGAAGCGCTTCTTTGCAGCTCAGCTTGCAGTGATTATACTGTACTCGTATCATATACTCTTTGAGTCTGCTTTTTGCAGGCATCAGCGCTTCCGGAACGACATCGCTGATGATGGCCCTACTGACCATGCCAGCACTAGCATAGCTGAAAGCATCGACTTTCAACCACTGTTAGCGAACGGTGTCCGAACTGTGGAGCCAGAATCGCTGGTCATGATCTTAAGGACAGGACCTTACTCGCCACATGCCACATGTAGCGCAGATAAGCACCCGGGACCATTCTGGACGACGGGCACGTTCTGCGTTGGATTTTGGTTCCAGCCCGGTCGGGCCTGTAACCAGCACCACGAAAGGTCAGCTTCCCGTGAAGAGCCTGGCTCTAAATGAGCCCTTGAAGTTTGAAGATTCTTTCTCCCGCTTGCATGTGCATGGCCACCTTCTGCAGCCAAGTTTCATCAACTTTAGCAATAGAGGCTCCTGGAACTTGGCCGTCTTCTGCTTGTCCCGCCTGGGTATTCGCTGCATAGGGAGGCCTGAAGCAGCAGGAATTTCTTGCACCACACCCTTTGCTGCTGTGCAATAGCAGAGATCCAAAAGAGATCAGCGCATGTTCTCTGTACTCCCAATCCTGGCGTGATGGACATGTCGGGAAGCTTTCAGTGACGTTGTGTTTCCGATCCTCGGATCTCTTTCTCCAGGAAGTTAGGCTCAAGGCTCCACTGCGCGAGCACAGGGCAGCTCGCGAGATGCCTCGTGGCCTCTCGTTGCTCCTGGGCCTTTGTGTCTGCAGCGTCGCAGTGGACGACAGGCGCCTGGTTTACAGCCTGGCCCTGAGTGTGCTGGGTCAGTTGCCGCCTGGAGCCCTAGAGTAGAATCTCAGTGCCTGAGGCTATGACGGCTCGGACAGCCGCTTGGTGAACATAAAGAGACAACTGATAGACACGTTGCCCTTTTATCATAAACGTCTCGGCGTGTCTTCGAGACGCACTCAGGGCAGCCCTTAGTATCCTTGGACAAGCCTTGGACCGTAGACCCGTTCCTCAAGACCTGAATCGTCATCTTGGCTTTGTGGAGGGAGCCTCCATGTTGTCGCGTGCTAGGACAAGTGGACTGGAGTCGATTTGCAGATGTCTTCCCCTACCTGGTGTCATTGCAGTTTGCGAGCAGCTCGACCCACATCTGCGGAGGGACCTCCAATTGGGGGGGGGGGGGTTCTTTGATGCCCTGATAGCGCACATGTTGCAAACAGTGGTGCCGACACATACCACAAAACTGACAGCAGGACCTTAATTCGAGATCGCTGGGTGCTGACTGCGGCGCATTGCTTCGGAACTGCGAAGGATTCAGTCCAAAGCTACGAGGCACCTCCTGCATGCTGTCTTACTACTTTTCTTTGGGGACTTTGAAGGCTTTTTGTGAAGGTGCGGCAGAAGAGCAGCGGATTGATATCACAGGATGGCAAACCTCAGTCCTACACACACACACACAAAGAATTTGGCAGGTTTGGTCTTTGGCATCCAGGGATCAAGATTCCTGGAACAAGAAGGGCATCGACTTAATGGTTGCTTGGCCACAGCTTTCGTCACACGTCACATGCCTGGGACGCGGACCGACCATCCGCATGCAGAGAGGAGTCGCAATGCCGTGCCGAGAGATTGTGCGCTTCATGGGTGAATTTCACGGTCTCACACGTGCCTCATACGTAGATAGGCAATGGCAGCGGTTGGCTGACCAGGGGACCCTTCACTGGGACCTCGCAACACATGGATGCGTCCGAGTGTGAGAGATGTAGCGGGTGAAGTGACGCAAGCCTGCCTGACTAGCGCCTTTCTCAATCGGCACTGGCCGCCCACATACAGATGACAGATTCATGGATGGCCATAGATGGCTCGAGGCTGTTTGCGGCTCTGAGTCTCCAAGGTGGTGCACCCCGGGTATGACATGAGCAGCCTGGACAATGACATCGCCCCTTCGTCTTGCATACAGCATCTTTCTTTAAGCAGGGAGGGCACGGCTGTAAAATGCAAAGACATGCCAAGAACTGGCTTCAGCCATGTCTCATCGATGATTGTGGCCTGCCAATACTGTCTGTGCAATAAGAAGCCACTTCTGAGTTTATAGCGGCATATATCGAGGTTGAACTTGTGAGCTTGCTTCGGTCGCAGATTGGGAGGTATTCGGCCGAATCCTGGGCACATAAATGTTGCTGGTTAGGATCCACGCCGCGCGCTTTTCAGCGAAGGCTTTGCTTCGATTGTCCGAGTCCCTTCCAAGCGTACCGCTGGTACAGCTGCTTGCCTGAAAGATCTAATGATACTACATGAATATACACAATAAGGTGTGTGTGTGTGTATATATATATGTATATGTAATGTACACATACATGTGTATGTATAGTATTACATAATGTATACGAATATGCGCACGATAAATATACATGTGTATACACACATGTACATGTATATATGCTACATAATAAGCAGCATACAATACAAAAAGCATAAAAACATAAGATGCAGGCGTGAAGGGGGCTGCCCGCCTTGTGCGAGCGTGAGAATCGAAATGGTTCTGCTTGACAGCTCCATGACTCAATCGTGGCTAAAGCCTTTTGCCACTCTGTTTTGCAGTACAGCGTTGGGCAAATGTGTGCTGACAATCCTGAAGCAGGTACGCTGAGACGCACCATCGGCAGAGTAGCTGCAACGACAACAGCAGCTACAATGAGCTACAACAACAACCACCACCACAACAAGAACAACAACACGAATACGGACACCCGCAGGAACAACAAGAATTAAACAGCAAAATAAGTCAGCATGTATCGATCACACATTGTTGTGTTGTGTTTTGTTCGCATGTTTGCGCAAACTGTCAACACTTGCAATGCGATAAGCATGCAGTTATTATTGTTTGGTAAAAGCAGACATATATACAGGCATGTATGCGCACAGACGCATACGTGAACAGATCATGCTTAACAGCTACATACGTAGTACTTAACTTCCAGTTCCGTCTGGCAGGCTGGAGAGTTCCGACACCCGCCACAATGGTTCGCAGGCAGATCCATCACTTGGAGATTTTGTTTTGACAACCGGGCGCGATGATCGGAAAGGACTTGATATTAGGAGGGTGGTGAGGTCTGCTCTAGCTGATCATGTGCTCCGCACCGGAGGTTCGACCAGAGGCAGAACATGCGACCCTGTTACTTACGCCTCTCTCGATCGAAAGTCTTGAAATTTGCGCTGCCGAGCGCTGAGGAACTGTCTGCCTGTGGGCATGAGCCGCTTAGGCGATTGGTTAAAGTTAAAGCCTTCGGCTTGGCATGTGCTGATCTCGCCTCGGAAGGCACTCCTCGCTGGATGGGGAAGCATTGACGAGGCATGCCAGCAGACTCCCGCTTGCACCGAAGACCAACATGACAGTGATCGCACCGATTTGAATTCCAGCAGCATGTGACAACATCGAACCACCATCCCAACGACGGCCACCACAGAGTGCAGCATGACTGGCTTGCTGTCATCGCCATAATCGTTCTGCCCATCGCCACAACCACCTTCGTCGTACATCTTCATCCTTATGGTCATCACATTGCAGGCAGGACAGCATCCCGAGGTACCCGCATTTTTGTTCTTTGAGGAGGGCGTCTGATGAGGGGAGAAGAGTAGATTGGGCGAGTCTCTTAAGTCGTTGGCAGGGACTTTCGCAGGATGCAAGCTAATGCCAGTACATATGTCTGGCAATGGAAATGGCTACTTCCGGTTCTCGCGCAAGATCGGATTTGTGAGTAATACTCTGGGTGTAGGGCAGTAGTTCTGACGGAGGTTTCTTCCCTGCCTCTGTCACTGTGTGATGGGGAGCTGTGAGACTTCGAGGAAGCCAGGTTTTAGTGACGTTGAGCTTTGCTGGGTTTCCTGTAGGAACCCCTTCAAAGGAGACCTTTACTAGTTATCAAGGCCCCTGTATTATAGTACCCTTATAGATCGATACCTTATAGTAACCCTTATAGACCTGGCTCAGGTATGAGTTCATCCTCAAGGAGGGTGATTCTCACATTGTGGACCGGGCGCCCTGCGCACAGAGCGGCCAGCTTCTCTGCTAAAAGGATTGGTATAAAGCATTTGCAAGCATCACACGACCTCCAAAATGGCACTGGAAAACGAGAGACAAGAACGACACCAGTGTGTCAGAAATGGATGGGTGAGCAGCAAAGAAGTTTTCCACCATCTGCCTCCACAGCAGTTTTGACGACAGGCAGAGATCATGATTTCAACTCTGGGTGACGGCAAAGGTGCTGGCTGAAAGATACAGCTTTACAGTTCTGATAGGACTGATAGGATTGGCCCGAGGCTGCAATGCAGGCAGTTGGCAGGGGTGCTTCCCTGACTCGTTGAGGAATCTGGATTTAAAATGAGCAAGGCCCAGACACAACCCTGCTTTGGTGAGACTGCACTAGTCTAGGGGATCTTCGGCGAGGTTCTTCAACTGGACTAAGCTCATCTGCGCAGAGCACATCAACGCCACAGACAAGGATCCTCGGCAATTTGATTCCGGGGTGTCTCGATTTTTTCAGCAGAACAGGAGGCGGTGGCTTAGTCAACATGTTTCCAAGCCTCGACACCGGCTGCATGACCACCCGTTGTTCACGTGCCACTGTAGAGGATCTATGATGGTATGTCGCAAGTCATGTTCTTGCAGGATGTGGCAGGTGCTGGCTGTGGGGACAGTGGCGGGCCTTTGTTCGTGATGGACACTCAGGCTGCAACCGTTCATTAGCATGCCGGGCTGTCCAGTGACAGTGAGCCCAAGTCAGTTGTCGCTGACTGGAATAGGCCGCCTACGTACAAGCCCTTCCGCTATCTGCGTCTCAGGAAAACGACCAGTTGATACAGGTCGGGGTCGTTTCGTACACCGCAGCCGGCCGCGATGTATTCACGCGAGTGCCTTTCGACGAGCAGAGACGGCTTCTCACTCACCTAGCAGTGAATGCTGTGCCTAGTACGTAGCACTTCTGCTACCTAGGCACACCTTCCTGGACTGGATCAACGGAGTCCTGAATTCACCACCAGCTGATCATATGATGGTCCCACCATACTGCCATGGCTCGTGACGCTCGGCCGGACATCATAACATATACCATAAGTCACATAGTTTGAAGTCTGAAGCATAATCTAGTGCAGCATAGTTTAGTTAAGTATAGTATAGCAGAAGTTTCCAACACACACAATTAGTATAACATTCGACGGTATACGAAAATCTGGTACGAAAATGCTCTGTCATGTGAAACATGATATGTTTTCTTTCCGTTTCGGTTGCGTTGGTAGGATGTGCCTCGTCAAGGCTGTGACGATGCAGAATACAAAGATCGCTGGAACGAAGAATGCTGGACTGATTGACATGAGTCGTTTCCCATGATCTGACGATGGGGTCTCCTTGTGCACCCTTCTAAGAAGAGCTTGCTTTTGGAAGGCAGAGAAGAAGAGAGGTGGCTTCCTGTTCCCCCGAAACCCTAAGCCCTAACCCTTAAACCGGACTCTCAAGCTCGTCGGATCCTGCCTCCCCTGCAGGACCTGGCAGAACTACGCACCAAGGCTGCAGCATCAGAACTCGGCTACCGATTGCTTGCATACTTGGCACTGAATGCCGAAGAGGCATGAAAGCCAGATCTTTAGCATCAGACAGTGCCTACAGTGCCTACTCCAACAAGGAATGCGATGAGACCCAGCTGCCCTACTCGGAGAGGGCTCCGTGGCTGGAAACTGTGCCTGTTTGTGCTGAGGCAGAAGGCAGGTAAGTCTTGTGCAGTTCTGATTTGTGTCGCTACAGTGCAACTGCGTTCCCTGCTGCCTCAGCTCGGTGAGGGCAGTTGCTACTGAGGTAGATTTGATGGACAAGTGCAAAGCAAGTTGTATGCGTTGTCCTATTTGTGAGGCCTGCATCACCCACAGTGACTGCTTGTCATCGGAGATCACCGGAGTGTCCAGAACTGTATGATTTAGCATGCTTCAGCTCACTTTTTTGAGGCAGTCTGCAAACCGAGTAGTGCATCGGGAGGCAACGAACAGCAGCTGCTGTGACACCGTCGGGTTCACAAGTGGCAGAGGCGGTGACGAGCAGCTTCTTCCATACTCTGCCGTCATCACTAGATTGCCGGTTGCGTGAGGAAGTGTGCAACTGAGTGTAAGCTGCCAGGACATGCCTGTACTCAGTGGGCAGGCCAGGCTGGAACTGCTGCGATTTTGTCCTCTACTTGGCTGTTGATGGACATGTTCCTGGCAAGCTCAACCGTTTAGTCCAAGCAGGCACGGCCCCAAGATGCCGCCAGTGCCTTCAGACTTGAATGTCCAGGCGTTGACTGCACCACGGCGGTGGCCGACTACGGCTACAGCAGCTTGACGAGAAGTAGTGCTGTTGCGCAAACATTCTGCCGATGAGTCTTCCTGATGCTTGTAAATCAGTTTTATGATGGTCACACACAATTATCGGTAGTAGCACTGTGTAGAGCATCGCCATGTTGGCCACCCGGCACTTCGCGAAGCTTCCAAGTTTGCAGATGTCTCCAGGCTCCGAACAGATGGCGGAGCTTATAGAAAACTGCCCCTTCAGCTGTGGCGCCTGCCGTAGTGGAGCCTCGGCGAATCCTGAGACAAGGTCTTTTCCTTAAGAGGCCGCTAGACTTGAGGCGAGCAGTTGGAGATTAGGAGCTTATGCCGGGTCCGCAGGAGAAGAGCCCGAAGATAAACTGGAGCCTTGTTTCAGACACCTCCAACCAGGGGCTACCGAACAAGCAAGCCCTTCTCTTTGGATCATAGGTGGAGGTTCTCGGACCTGAAGATAGCTGGGACGAGGGTGATCGTTCTTAGAGGCGCTTTTGCATCCGGTTCGGATTGCGGTGTCATCCTCAATCAACCAAAATTGCCAAACCCATGATTCCCGAGGTCTGGCAGGTCCGAGTTGCGAAAGCGTAAACCCATGATTCCTATCATCGGTGAGAATCAAAAAATACGATTTTGAAGATGCGTGCGGTCCGAGACTGGCATCTAACTCTCCGGGCATCAACGGAACACATTCCGAGTAGAGGGAGCTGGCTGGTCCACGAGGCAAGCGTGATTCAGAAGGTGCATTTGACAACAACAACAATGATACTGGTTGAGGCATGTCGCAGAGCCGGGCATAATGGGCATAATGCAGATTAATGCAGTCTACAGGGGGGCACACCTCGGACCTCGATTTGCACAAGACCTGAGTGGATAGTTTTTCCATGATTGCCACTATCTACAATGCCATCCTAAGGTGGGGACTGCACAGACACGGCGTACTTCAAGGATCCATATGGCTGCTCAGGTTCAAAAGCAGTGTTGCAGCCGGCATGTGGCTTAACAGGTCATAAGTCCATGAACAGATGCTTTTGCAGGGATGAAGCCGCACGGCATTGCAGCAGCAAGGTGATAGTCGATGTTGTTGTGACAGTTGCTACACTGCTATTCTGGTTTTTCTTGCATTGGCTTTCTGTGGAACTGTTACTACTGTTGTCTTTGAAGCAGTCCTTCATCGACTTCGCTATTGTATTGGCTGTTCTCTTTTTTGTCTGCTAGTCCCAGTTGCTGCTGTACGGCTGTGTCAGCTAAGTCTTGTCATGATTCTGGACAGCTGCCTTTTTGGACGACACTGACTGCAAGTCATCCGGAAAGAACATGTGTACGTAGGCAAGCAACCAAGCAAGCAACTTGTTTGTCTGCCTCCAGAGAAAAGTAGTCTGGGGGCTACATATGCATATGTGCAGATGTTATGCGTATACACATGTATATATATATATATATGTATGTATGTATGTATGTATACGTATGTGTATGTGCATGGGTGTGTGTGTGTGTGTGTGTGTGTGTGTGTGCGTGTCTGTGTATGCGTGTGCGTTGTATGTGTGTGTGTGTGTGCGCGCGTGCGTGTTTTGTGTGTGTGTGTGTCTCCGTTTGCATGTGTGCGTGCAGTTAGGGAGCCATCGTCGACTAGCTTGCCAGAAATTGGATACATTCTAAGAGCTGGGCTTCATGAGAGCAGTTCTTTCCAGCATCTGAATGGGTCCTTTCGTTTTGGTTAAGTTACCTGTACCTCATACCTTTCACCGAGTGGACTGCCCTCCGGGCTAGGTTCTGCTGGGACTAGGTGGACAGCCCGTAGTAGTACTCGAAGCAGTGCCCGTGAGGTTAGTTATGTGTGAAGATGTTTTTTAGCAACGATTACTATGTAGTGACGTTTCGAAGTAGGGGCACGAATTTTGTGTATATCCGTAACAGGAGCATTTACATGTTGGCGTGTATCAAGCACAACAGTTCATTTATACATGATAACTTGCACTGGCCAACCATACTACGGCAATAAGCGCAAAGCTGAGGCTACCGATGCGATGGGTGGTGCCTTGGCTCTGCATATACGCATACACGCATTCACGCACGCATATGCTTACAAGCAAAACCACAACTAGCCACATACGTACACATAACATACATGCATTCACATATGTACATACATGCTCATTCGTGTACCCCGGTACCCCCAGAGATGACCGGCACACACACACACACAAGGATACTTGTAATACTTGTTGTCCGCTATGCCGTGTTGGAGTGTTACGGGATGCATTCCGTCCAGGCAACTGGTCCACGTGTGAAGCGAGGTGCAATGCTGATCCAGGCTTGTCGTGCTAATTGCAGTCTGACCGGCGCATTCCGAAAGAATTCATGTTATGCTTTCTTGGACCTGAGTTGCAAATCCGTGTCAACCATTTGCGGCAAAGCGAGCTGACCTCACTCGCACCCACGAAGGAATGGTTACGACTGCACGCAGGCTGTGGACACTTGGAGCTTGCAATGAACACTTGTCGCATCATGACATAGGCTCACTCGACTGATGTCCGAGAGATATGAAGACATGCGATGCTTCTTGTCATGTAGTGTTTTTGATTGTAACGATGCTTTTGCCCCAATCACTTATTTGCTGGGTCTGCTGTCTTGAAGAGTTCTTGCCTGGCCGACGGGTTTCGGCTTTCCGCGGCTTTTGCTCAGACTGCCCACGTCTCATGAAGACTGTGGTTTGTGTGGAGCGCTTGTTGCTTGTACGAGGGTTGCTGTCCCGGAACGGCAATGCCTCATGCTGACCAGCAAAAAAAATCCGTACTATTCCTAGAGCATACTGTCATAGAGTCATAGGCTACAAAGTGAGTACATTATACCATAGATATTCGTTTGCCTCTCAGGAAGTCTTCGGCCACTTGCCTCAGCACTTACATCGAGACTTCTGTTTGGCAAGCTGTCTGTTGTGGATCTGGATAGATGGCTCGTCGAGAACGGGCTGAGGCTATGAGCAAGTTGTCGAAGACATGGTGTTGAAGCACTGTTCCTCGGTCGGCCTTTAGGATTGGGACGGGATGGGAAATTCTTTTTGCTTCGTTTGATCTTCTGAAAAGTGTGGTGGAGCGGAGGGGGCCAAGATATGTGCAGATCCTCTTCATCGTGCATACCTAACACACAGCCAATATACACTAATATAGGGGCCTGAGTTTTTACCAATACTATTTTGGGGGTTCCTTAGTTCAATTATAGTATGTATGTATGTATGTGTATATATATATATATAGGGCCCCAAAACTTTATTCTAATGATGAAGGCCCCTATAATAAGTATACTAACCCCAGAGGATGGCCCTCTGAAAGTTGTTGTTTGGCTGACGGAAAAGAGTGGATCAGAAACGCTTGCAGGATGCCCCAACAAAAACTCCAGACAAAAGAACCCCGTGCCTCAAAACGGACCAGGTAGGAGGGAAAAAACGGACCACTGTGTTTGTTTTAACGTGCTCTAGTCGTATGTGTCCCAGCCATCCGTGCTTTTGAGCGTCACAGGCCCACTCTCTTGCGGCACCTGCACGCATCTGGGCGGCATGCTGCTATTCGAGAGTGGGATATCTGTGTCTACAGAGCGTTGGCAGCTGATCTGTATATACATGTAGGTTGTCCTAGTTTATGTGACGTGATGGTGAGGTAGTTGACCTTAGGGAAATCTGCTAGGAGCGATGTGCTGTCCAGGATGACGCAGCCGTGTGGCAAGCATACTTCGGACGATCTTCTGGGCATGCGAGTGCACAGGCCACCGTCGACTTCGACAACAACCACAAGCACGACATCGGGCGCCGGTGGAGATGAGCCATGTCTTGAAACTCCTTCCAGCTCATGTGATACTGGATGAAGAGGGTGCTGGAGTGGCTTGATGTTTCTACAAACTTGTCTTGCCATGCTTCTCTTTTCACCGCCCGAAAGCTTAGTGTCAGAACGTGGTGGGGAATGTTTAGGGGAGCTTTGGGTTGTGCTATCGTGGCCTGCATGATGCCACATGCGAAAACATTCTGTGCTACAGCATGCTGCGTTGGACTGCTGTGTTTGGATGTACATGAGTATAATTAATAAGCTATGTTGCGTTGGGCTGAATGACGCTTGTACTGTAAAACGTTCCGTGTTGTTGTGTTGAGGGTCCCTTTAAGCTTTTGCATTAAATAGCTGAGAGAAGTGAATGAGGAGCACCAGTGTTAGAAAGCATTTCATCTCGATACCTAATGGCATTCCGATATGACATAGAATGATCTTCATGTCGCCTTGTTGGGCAGCACTGCACGCACGTCCACCGCCACCATGACGGCACAGCTTCCATAGCGAACTTCTAGGTCTCTAGGTACCACTAAGACCAAGGCATCGACGCCAGCAGTCACATCGACAGCAGAGGAGGGACTGTCTGGAAGCTGCTCGACCCTGTCCAGATTGTCCAAGAACACATGGATGAATCCTTCTCGTCACGATCAATCTTGTGTAGACGCCATGCACATGCATGCACACACCAACATGTACAGACATGCACATATGCTGCATCGCGCAGTGGCCACATGTTTGAACGAGGAATGCTGCAGAAGATGCTTCAGTTCAGCAGCGAGCGGAGTAGGCAGTTTGTATGCATATCCTGCATCCCTCCCTTTCACGGCATGCTTCAGGCATCAGCTCGAGTGGTGCTGCTTCCTTGGCCATGGCGCTTGTTGCATGGGCCAGGTTCGTTTAAAATGATCCTTGGCTCACAGAACAATGATATCTATGCAAGTTTGCGGCTTGCAGCACGTTAACACGAGTAGTGGATATGTGAATTTTGGCTTGCTTGCTCTGCTAATTTCCTACAGGGACTTTTCCACCGGCCAGCAGCTGGCAAGGGTGGCAGAAGGCGCTTCTAAAGGAAGCAGAACTTCCGAAGAACGTTTCAATTGACATTCCTACGTTCTTCGAGTCCGCCGCTGCTTGGATGGTGACACTTTTCGCATGGTCTTTCGAAGCCCCGCGTTCAAGCGCTCGAGATACGGCGACGAGGCCATGAGTTGCAATTGAAGGGCGCGCTTTTGGCAAGCAAGCCTCTGGCAGTCAGGGGTGTCGGGACACCTGGGCCTCAACACTCCCACCTGTCTGGCCTGCACTTGGGTTGTGGACGCTGGGAACCTGCGTCTACATCCTTCTTGCGCCCGGTAGAATCAGAGTGCTGAGGGTGCACACCGAAGTCAGGAAAAGGACGGCCATCACCAGAGATCATCCAGCCTGAGTCATCCCGCATTAGCCTAAGTCATCCCGTATCGGCCTCCCCTACCAAATGCTTCAATGGTACTTCATAGTAGTGCTTCTGCCGATGCTGCTGCTACTATTACTGCCAATGCCACTGTCACTGCCACCACCACCACCACCACCACCACCACCACCACGAGTACTAGTACTAGTACTAGTACTACTACTACTACTACTACTACTACTACTACTACTACTACTACTACTACTAGCCCCCCCCCCTCCCAACTACACTTGTTCCATCCGGGCTGGGCAGCGGTAGCTGCTAGGCGCCTTAACTGCGATAGTTGCAGAAGATGCACGGGCTCAGGCTCCTTATCTGTGACAGCTGCAGAAGTTGCAGAGGCTCAGTTTCCTTAACTGTCACAGCCGGTGAAGTTGCAGGGGCTCAGGCCCCAAAACTGCGACAGCAGCTGGAGTTGCAAGCTCGACGGGGAAGAAACTGATAAACCCCAGGTGGTCGGATAGTACGAAAACGCTGTAAATACCGTGCAAAACCAGGTGCTGCCAAGAAGGGTTTAACATTTCTAAAACCTGAAGCGCAACATCTTCTAAACATCAAAAACAAAGATGCCAGCTGTACGTGGGAGGGGCTCGCCAACACCCCTACCGCCCAACCTCTGCGTAGGAGGGTCTGTTTTTGAAGTGGTGTGTGTGGTGTGTGCGCGCTTGAGTGTGGAAATATTGTTCAGGGTGTCCGCAAAACAGTGTCGTGATCATCCCCGAAGAAGCTTTCCCCCACCCAATTTCGAGTTTTTTTGCAAACAGTTCCAAACAGCAAAGTTTAATGCGCATCGTCGAGAAGTAGGGGCTCAGAATATGTAACAAAGTCTGACATCACGAAAGTACCGTAAATACCGAGTGAAACGGCTCTTGTGGTGATACTGCTGGGTGTGTTCGCGTAACACTGTCGTCATCATCCCCGCCCCCACCCCCCCGCCCACCCCCACAAGCAAGTCCAAAATCAAGAGCCCGAGTTTGCAAACTCGACAAGTCGATTTTTAGGCCTCTTAGGATGATCGCACATGACGAAAGTGCCGTAAATACCGAGTAAAATGGATCTTGCCTTAACATGGTTGAGAGCAAGTGTAGTTGGTAGGGGGGGGGTGCCTACTACTACTACTAAAAAAAACTACTACTACTACTACTACTACTACTACTGCTACTACTGCTGCTGCTGCTGCTGCTCCTGCTCCTGCTCCTGCTGCTGCTACTACTACTACTACTACCAACCACTACTCCTGCTGCTACTACTGCTTCTACTACTACTACTACTACTACTACTACTACTACTACTACTACCACTTCCACTACCACTACCTACTACCTACTACCTACTACCTACTACCTACTAGCTACTACCTACTACCTACTACCTATTACCTACTACTACTTCTGCTGCTGCTACTACTACTGTTACACTACTACTACCTACTCCTACTCCTACTCCTACTCCTACTCCTACTCCTACTCCTACTACTACGACTACTACGACTACTACTCCTCCTCCTCCTACTACTACTACTACTACTACTACTAGTATTACTACTACTACTACTACTACTACTACTACTACTACTACTACTACTACTACTACTACTACTACTACTACTACTACTACTACTACTATATACTACTACTACTACTACTACTACTACTACTACTACTACTACTACTACTACTACTACTACTACTACTACTACTACTACTACTACTACTACTACTACTCCTGCTAATACTGCTACTACTACGACGAAAACTAAGAATACTGCTGCTACTTCTGCGGAGCTGCTGCTACTACTGCGTGCAACATCTACTATTACCCATGCAGCATTTGAGCTATCAGTGTTCATGCTACCATTATGGGAGCTATTATTTCGCGGGGAAGTGGTCGTAGTGGTGGTAGTGTAGTCGTAGTGGTAGTAGTCGTCGTCGCAGTAGAAGTAGCAGTAGCGTTCTTAGTAGTAGTGGTGGTAGTAGTAGTAGTAGTAGGAGGCGGAGGAGGAGGAGGAGGAGAAGGAGTAGGAGTCGGAGTAGCAGTGGGAGTGGGAGGAGAAGGAGTAGGCGGAGCAGGAGTAGTAGGGGTAGTGGGAGTAGGAGTGAGGGAAAGGTGTAGGAGTAGGTGGCAATGACGATCCTGGCAGGGGCTGCCGGCACAGTTCTTCGCCATGTGCAGCACGCGGAGCTGCGGCCGTGCGAGTTCAGTTGAACGATACTCTCAGAGCTGGGCAAGACCTGCCCTTAATTTCGATCTATTGTGAAAGGATAAATTTCAGCGGCCACCACCACGTGTGGAAAAGTCTAATTAGGAAATCGTAATACTGCATTGAGCTCAGCGTGGATCAAAATGGCTTGGGTTGACTTCCGGACTGCAGTCACTGACCTCGAGACACTGCGCATGCCGAGAGGGAGAAAGGAGGTAAGTGTGTACAGTGACGTTCTGAGTCTTAAGTGTTGTGGCGCTAAGATCAGCAAACTAGCTTGTTGATTTGCCGAGCAAAGCTGCGCAGCAATGTAGCTCCCATTCATTGAGTAGGTGTGATGTTTGTACCGTGTTGTACCCCAGCCCACCAGCACAATGGTCGACAAGCGGGTGCAGTTGTATTTTCTACTGGTATGGGATAAGCACACAGTCAAGGGCCAAATCAGAACATCGTGCGGGAGTCGTCCAGTCTGTTCGAGCTGAAATAGGCCGCATGCACCCATCCACCCAGCATCAGCAGTATGTCTAAGTAGGGTATAGATGAGCGACATACTGCAATGCAATGCGTGGAGTGCGGCTACAGCTATTGCTGGCTGTGTCGGTCACCCTGGCAGAAGAGGTGTTTGACAGATACCGCTGCTCGGGCCAACTAGTTACAGCTTGTCGTTCCAGATGAGGGCTATTGTGTTGTCTTTGTGGAAGGTACGTGAAGCCGGAGCTGACCTCCTGACCCCCCCACCCCCCGCCAGACAAAGAGAGATGGAGACAGAGGCGCAGCGTACCAGTGCAGGGGATGGATGGGGAGCGCCACCGTCACACACCTCGCAGGCAACCAAGCAAACAGAGACAGAGATAGACACAAACAATAAACCAACAGCCAGGCAGCGGTTGGGTGAGGGTGGTGCTGGTTCAGGGAGGCTGAGGTCGCCAAACCCCTGCTGTTGCCTTGTGTTGCGATGCATGGCTGGTCTAGAGCGTTGCGTCTTCCCTGGACAATGAAGCCCTGCTTTATCTGTGCACTGGTGACACCTGAGTTGCTAACCGCTACCTGTGGCAACTTGGTGACAAATAGAGCATCTGGGCATGACCAACGGCTATTCTTGCAGCAGTCTGTCGATGTCAATGAAATCCTCGACACGACGACGAGGCGACCCATAGCCCGTTGCAGCAGCTGCTGCTTTTCTTGCGCCCGGCACTTCAAACATCCTGGCTTTCCACGCCAGGGTTGCCTTTGTGCTTGTTTCCGGGAGTCGAGGTGTGTCGAACGGGCCTCCCCACCGCACAACTTGTCTACGTCTTCGGACTGCTTTCGCAGCTTCCTTTGTTGCGTCCACGTGAATATCGTCCTTAGGCTTCTGACATGCGCTCGTGTTTCCACCACTCGGAGGGCCCCGCAGGCACGCCAGCCTTCCTTGCAGCCACCAGTCGCCAACTTGGGTGTCGATTCCCGGCCCTACGTGTCCCGACCGAGGCCTCCGGGCAGCTGGAAGGCCGCGGCCCGACGATGCCTTCGATGCGACCGCAGCTGCAGCCTGGGTGGTGGTCGCCGCCGGGATACGGAACACTTTTGATTGAACATGCTTTGAACTTTTGTGGAGGACCTGTGTCAAGGACTTGAGCTTTATGTTGGGCTTCAAAGCGGTCGGCTGCAGTCTCTTATTCATGGGCAATCCAAACGAGCGTCGCGTGTTACCATATGGGTGGTTGTCAGAATCAAAATTATGGTGTCCCTATTTGGGTCCTTATTATAGTACGGCACCTAATATTTAGGGTACCCAAAAAGGGGCCATAATTTTGACAAGTACTCGAATGCAAAGTGTCAGAACCCCAACAGCATTGCAGATCTAAGCTGCCCGCAACTCTCACCCGAAACACTCCGAGGAGCTGCGATTCTATGCCGATGTAAACTGCTCGGAGCCCCTTGTTCCCCTGCAGCTCCTAAGCTCCCTGGGCGAGGTATTCAAGGCGCGAGGGTGGTTTTTTTTTGAGATTTTATCTGTGGGACTCCTCAGTGGTTTTAAGTTGGGGCGGTCAGGATCTGCAAGTAGCATCTTCAGTCTTCCGCAGCAAGTCCCTGCAGCATGCTTCCAGGGACATCAGGAGCTTCGGGTAGAAGGGTTAGAAGGTTGGCTCGAGATGGATAGAGCCAGTGGGCTGCCTGGCTACAAGTCATGTTGGAGGTGTTGTCGCTGCCACAATGTCCGCCGTTTAGCGGTCAGCTTTGCGACGACGATGTCCGTATTGCCCAGATGACCACAGCCTTGTTTCAAGAGGTGCATCGAACGGCTGAGTGGGCGCTTGCCCATGCCTACAGCCATCGAAAAGAGACAGCCGGAGGAGAGGTGTTGATCTTGGCGAAGGTTTTCGAGACATTGACGGCCTTGCGAGTGATGCTTTGTGCTACTCGGTTCATGGCTTGTGCAGCCGATGCGATGGGAGACCTACTGCTGGGATTGTGCTCCCGGTTCGGTGGATGCGACGATTTTCTACGAGATCCGTCGCTGTTTGTCCAAGGTGTTTTGGCAGAGACGCGGAGAACGCTTGAGCAAGACAGATTGCAGAAACTTGCTGTGACTCCTCCAAAGCAACTCGCGCTTCAAAGCATCTTCCTCCCCAAAGGGCTCTGTGACGTCTACGGGTTTCCCTGGCTGCAGCAAGGTCTGCCAGTGCGACCCCTACGGCTCCACCACTTTGCTCAAGTTCCGTTCCTAGGTGTGGATCCTTTTCAGGTGTTGCGCACCTTGAGGGATGGCGGCGTCGCGTCCAAGTGGGTGATCAACCTGGGCGCAGGCGATGGTTCTTGCGATGAGAATAAGGAGGACCTGGCCAACTGCCTCATAGAAGAGGGCTTTGGAGGAATTCAAGTAGAGGCCCATCCCTCCCTAGAAAGGGCATTGCGGAAATCGCTGCGACACCGACCGGACGTGGCAGTGCTAGGTCGCCTGGCTCCTGAGCAAGCCCTGGAGTCAATTCACAAGGCGAGGAGAGCCTTTTTGGATGCGCCGCCGGATCTTCTGAAGGTGGATGTGGATAACGGAGACTGCGACTTTTTGGAGGCGCTCCTTCCGCTGCGGCCGGCCATGATCCACGTGGAGGTTATGCTCATGGCCGTGCCGCCTCCCTTCGCGCTGAGGGTTCATTTCAACCAGGATGTGCAGTGCACAGCGGACGGGTGCGAGCGGGCGAGGAGCTGGCGAGACAACCTCAGGCGTCGCGGTTGCTCCCTGGCAGCTGTGGAGGAGACGCTTGGCGATAGGTATTTGCTCTTGGGTCTTGCAGAGCCTGGACACAATGTCATGTTTCTTCGATCTGACCTTGCTTGGGCTTTGCCAGAGCCAGCCATGAGTAGCTGGCAGCTGTGGCGGCAACACTATTTCTGTCATCCGCTTCGCGGCTTTGCCCATGGCTGGGAAATTTGGCATGGAATACGAACAGACCCAGCACGCTGGGTAAACCCGTCGAGGTCCGTCTGTGAGCGAGCCGAGGAGATAGGATCTTATTTCAAACAGGCTGCTTACAGCGAGAGTTGGTCACTTACTGTACTGCAGCCGTCCATGCACGAATGCAACTACTCTCTCGCCCATCAGTCCCTCGAGTCTTCAAAAGCCAGATATGCCTTGCCCTTATGCGTCCAATTCTTTTGCCTTTTCCCGCAGGCAGAGGACGGATGCACTTATAGTGCGTGCAACGACCATAGCCACAGGCTGCAGGTCACTAGCAGTTCTCGCAAGAATAGCCTAAGCCCAAAAGCCCTAAACCCCCCAGTTACTACGGACCATTGCTCCTAATGGTGTTTATAACGGTATGACCGTTACGATTCGTGGTATTATGAATAGTATTCTTGATAGAAATTACAGATCATAGTTGTCAGTTTCACACACTAACTAATAATGTACTTGATAAGGTTGTTCATCATGTCAGCTGCTTAGTCTGGCGTTGCATGACCAGGCCTTCGATGGAGATGTGAACTCGACCTGGGAGGCAGGGCCGGTTTGGTGGATTTACAGTTCCGGGCCAGACACCGGGTTCTGGGGATTCTACAAAAAGCAATCACCTTCGGAGACCTGGTGCCAGAGTTTCGGTAGAATGTGTCTTGCTTGGTTCTACTTGTGGCGGCTCCTAGCAAGCGCTCGTCAGCCGGGGGTCATGGCATCACTGGAGGCTGGGTAATGTAGCATAGTGTCCGTGTCGTGGGGATTATGCGGTACAACGCCTTGCAGGTGCCTCGTTCAGAAAAGCTGAGTCGGATCCCTGAAACCCCTCTTTCATACAGTATAAAAAACATGACCCATAGCATGTACTTACGAAAATACCTCTTAAGATCCCTTGAACTACGCTTGGGATGCCCTTGGAGCTGCTGGCCAAAGCTGAGTCGAGGCTCGCTGCCGGGCCGGCGTGGACTCAGCGCGTGAATGCGAGGACGTTGTGGGGCTTGAGTGTTTAACCTTGTACTGTAATTAACTGTAACATACTATCTTAATCTTGTCCTGTAACTGATGGGGGGTCAATACTCGAGGAGTATTGAGGGGGGGGGGTGGGCGGATTCTCGTCCGCGGCCTAAACGTGTTCGCCAACAAACAACAAGGAGAGAGTCGCACGAAAACGCCTCAGGGGGGTTAAAAGCGAAAGAAATGTGCAGTTGATCGTGAAGGATTTGGAAAGTTTCAACTGGGGAGGCTGCGCCCCCCCAATCCCACAGTTTTTCTTAGACTAAACTTCCCACTCTGTGAAACCGCAAATAAATGAATTAAAAACGTGTTCGCCAACACACAAGAAGGAGAAAGCCATGTCTTCTCCAATAGGAGAGAAATTATAATGACATGTGACATATGTGGAAAGTCGAAACACGAATAAAGGATGAAGAAAATCAACCGCGAAGGATTTGCAAGATTTGCAAATTGGGAGGGCTGCGACCCCCCCCCCCCAGCGCCCCGCCGCTTTGCTTGTCCTCTTCCAAGAATTCAGAGCAGCTTGTCCTTTTCTGAAAAGGACAAGCACGACTAAATGTAGAAATCTAGAATTTAGAGCTGCTTGCCTTCTGCCGAAACGGACAAGCGCGACTAAATGTAGAAATCTAAAGTTTAGAGCTGCTTGTCCTTGTCGCGGCAAGTCCTTTTCCGAGAACCAGAATTCGGAGCAGCTTCCGAAAAGGACAAGCACGACTAAGTGTAGAACTCTAGAATTTAGAGCTGCTTGCCTTCTGCCGAAACGGACAAGCGCGACTAAATGTAGAAATCTAAAGTTTAGAGCTGCTTGTCCTTGTCACGGCAAGTCCTTTTCCGAAAAAGGACACGCGCGACTAAATGTAGAAAACCTAGAATGTAGAGGTGAGTTTGAAGGGCAAGGGATCCTGATGTATAATGTGTCTGTATGTATGTACTTCGTATGTGTGTATATATATGTGCATGTGCGTAGGTGTGTGCACGCAGATGTACATAGATTTATGCATCCGTACATAAATACACAAGAACAAGCATGAACATTAGCAAACAATCAACATGCGCATGCGTAGCTAATTAATAAGCACATGAGCATACAAGTCAACATAAAGATGTAAGCAGACGCATCTATGAACATAACATAAGTACAAAATTTTGTGAGTCTTAGAATTGAAGTTCTAAGAAGCACTCCTAAACCCTAAACTGCAAGTGTGAATCGAAAGCCCAAACCCTAGAACTCCCAGAGGACTCCTGGGAGCTGGGCCCCTGGCTCGGCTGCGCCCTCGCGGCTCCAGCGGCCCTTGGCTGTGCAGAGCTCTGGGGGGAGGCCGAAGGGTTCCGAACGACGTGAAACTACATGTTTTTGCTTTTGCTTCCACTGCTTTTTACTGATTGAAATTCATGATATGGTTCTGTAGAGGGTTGTGGAGGGTGTTGCTGTTTTTGTGTTTCCCGTGTGATGCTGGCGGTCGAGACGGGTGATGTTTGGCTAGCGGATGGACAAGAATAAAACGGATACCAACAACGACGGAGATTTTTGGAGAGCCCATCTTCTTTCGCTGGAGCGTCTCTAAGATCCTGCTCGGGTCGTGTGGGGTGTCGAGACCCACGGCTTTGACGACTTCTGCCTTGCATTCAGGCTGTCAGCGGTGTCACGTTGGAAGGCTGGAGCAGCCAAGGCCATGGCTTTTTCCGGTCAAGCCTAGAAGTGAGTGATTACGAGATTTGCAGAGACTATCACTATCTGCAGCAGGATATGCCGTGCCTGCATGCGAACACCTCACCAGTCTCAAGCAGCACAACAGCAGAAAAACGGAACTGCCGAAGGCTCCTGGCAGACACTGCAGCGCTTCGGGGAACTGACGGCAGGATCTCTGCAGCTCAGGCCCTGTCAAAGTTTCGAAAAACGAGTTGCCTTTCGAAGCAGCTCCAACAGACAGGAGACAGTTCCCACTACTTTGGGGATCTTTGGGGGGCTGGGCTTCAGAAGTTCTGCTTTGTGGTCATTCCGAAACAGGGATCATGTTGTTGTGCTTTGCCATGACCAACGGCCCAGCAGGCTTTTGAAGGTTACAACCTCGCCTTGAGTCCTGCAAATCCTTCGGAACTATCCATGGTTCATGTGCTGGCCAGTGTGTCAGGATGCCTCCAGATGCAGCTTCTTCGCTGCATCTCCGACATCTTTGGTGCGAGTGAAGCCTCGGGTTTTCTTTCCTGCTTCGAAGGAGTCGAGAGTGACGAGGACCATGCCATGTTAGTGGACCCTCCGTTTGAAGCCCGAAACCACGGTAAGTGCTCACCGAGTCCAAGTTCTGATTACCGAAGGCCTGCAACCTGGAAGTGGCCAATGCCCAGGGGCCGGAGGGCCACTTGTCAGCAAAAGGCGCCAATCCCATGCCCCAGGCCGCACGCTACTGAGCGGTTTGTCACCGAATTGGAAGTTTGAATCGGCTTGGGCACGAGCTTGTGTCGTCTGGTGCAAAGGAGATGCGAATTCAGCGACCCTGCATTTGCAGGCACTCGACTACTCCCTAACTGTGCCGGACAAGCCCAGTGGAGGCTTCGAGCTCCGCTTGGTGCCTCTCGCCTGGAGTTCATGGGTCGGATGGCAACCATTGTGGCATGGACGCGAACCTTGGTGTGGGACAGTGACACCTTGCGTGATTCCGCAACGCATATATATATATATATATATATATATATATATATATTCGGGTTATTACATCAACCACAGACTGTTGAAACTGATTCGTTGCTGAGGTCACTACCTGGTCTGTCTATGAGCTGCAGTTCTTCAGCGATGATCTCTGCATCCTGGCCGTGCTGGCTCGGTACATGTTTTATATCACCATGCAGCCTGCCAGGCTCCAACAGGTACCAAAGCCAACTCGTCGGTTGCGCTTGGTGCCTTGAAGAGAGAGCTAGCAGCTGGCCGCAGCAGCGGCAGTGGCACTCGTCGTGGTTGTGCTGGGGGTGGTGGTGCTGGAATTGCGTGTAGTAGCAGCAGGAGGAGGAGGAGCAGGAGCAGGAGCAGGAGCAGGAGCAGGAGCAGGAGCAGGTGCAGGTGCAGGTGCAGGTGCAGGTGTAGGAGTAGTAGTGGTAGTAGTAGTAGTAGTAGTAGTAGTAGTAGTAGTAGTAGTAGTAGTAGTAGTAGTAGTAACAGTAGTAGTAGTAGTAGTAGTAGTAGTAGTAGTAGTAGTAGTAGTAGTAGTAGTAGTAGTAGTAGAAGTAGTAGTAGTAGTAGTAGTAGTAGTAGTAGTAGTAGTAGTAGTAGTAGTAGTAGTAGTAGTAGTAGAAGTAGAGTAGCAGTAGTAGTAGTAGTAGTAGTAGTAGTAGTAGTAGTAGTAGTAGTAGTAGTAGTAGTAGTAGTAGTGGTAGTAGTAGTAGTAGTTGTAGTAGTAGTAGTAGTAGTAGTGGTGGTGGTGGTGGTGGTAGTACTACCAGCAGCCCGCATTTGCTGTCGTTGTCGTTGTAGTATACAGTAGTGTCCTCATGTGTTACACTCCTCTTGAACACGCTGTGTATTTATATACAGATATCATTGAAACATACCAAGGGAAGTATATAAATGAAGCACTTGGCTACTTGCAGCCAACAATTACATGTCCCTCTGTCCCTGTCTCAATGGATGGATGCATGTGCATGAGTCTATAGCCTCTGCTTGGTCATCCCATCCTCGGGGCCACAGGGTATTGTCTTAAAAGCTTGCTGAGTTTTCGTCTTGTGTGTGTTTGTGCATGTGTGTATATATATGTATATGTATATATATACGCATCTAGACCTATATAGATATATACATGTCAGTAGATGTGTCTATATTAAATCTATATCCATATCTATTGTCTGTCTGTCTATACCTGCATCTTTTACAATACCAACATGTATACGCGTGCCTATGGCAGGCTATGGGACGTATGTGCTATGTGTCAAGTTTAAGACAAAATTATGAAAGCATGTGTACATATATATATATATACATACACATGTGCATGTGGATATGTATGTGTATGTGTATGAACGTATGTGTGAATGTATGAATGTATGTACGTATGTATGTTTGCATGGATGTCAGCTCGCCTACAAAATTGAAGTGGTCTCCCAGAAACCTCGTCTGACTTGTCGAGTGCGAGTGACAAAGAACTTTTGGATGGATGTATGTGTATATGTGTATACATACATATATGCAGGTATATAATGTATATGGGCCGACGCATACATACACACATGCATACACGTACACAGAAATACATACATACACATATACATGTATATATATATATATATATATATATGTATATGTATATGTATGCACACATTTATGTGTATATGTATATGTATATTCTGAGAGGCACCGATCGCGTTATCGGCGTCACCTTCGCGCAGCCCCGAGCCAGTGTCGACCGCGCTGAAGATGGGGACTTGGCCACGGCCGTCCGGATCGCAAGAAAGGGCCTAGCGGCGAGCTTGGTTTTATGCACAAATCATGCACGCCGCTATGATGCTGAATATTCTTCTTCTGGTTTGTGCTGTTTGCCTGATTATGGCGACTTCCGAGGATGATGACTCATGATGACGATTGTGTTGAACTGTGAATGAGATCGTCGCTTTGGAATCGGCGTTATGGCCACGGCCGTCCATGTTCACTGCAAGCGCTTTTTGCCCGCGAAGCTGCTAAGAACAGCCAAATGCTAAACCCTGGACGCCCAAACCGCTCGCTCGGTCAGGCTTGGTCTTCAGCTACCGCTGCTCAGAGCGCATGGATCGGCATGGTGACACTCTCAGCTTGGATGCAGCAGTCAGCTTCTAATGTACATCAGGTTGCCCTCCATCGGGTCTTGCTATTTGGGAGACAATTCTTGCAACGGCTTGTGCAAAGGATTTGCGAGAATCAATGTACACTTGAGGACTTCGACGAAGCTGTCCCAGTGCAGTGCGCGGCTGGGCTGCAGACTTCAAGCAGCTGAGCACAGCCATAGCACCTGAGCGCGTGTCAGGTGTTCTGCATACCTTTCGACCGGCATGGTCTGTTGTAGTGTACTAGTGAACTGACGTCGAGTGCAGGCCTTGTGCAAATTTGAGAACTGCAGCTCTGTGGGCTGTGCTCAGAAATCGACATGCTGATTTGCTTATTCTACAGTGGACGGGAGAACAACATCTCCGCAACTCACGGCAGGAAATGGGCGCATCATTCCCGAAGTTACAACTGTGACGATAAACGTCAAGGCCGTGCAAACGGATGGTGCCAGGTTCGCATCGCTCAGTACTTCGAGTCGCAGACTTCGACAGCTCAAGATCTGGAGGCCAGATCGTTAGGGTTGGCCCTGCAGCTTCCGATGGAATTTTGAAGCCTCACAGGTTAAGACAGACAACACAAGACCTCAATCACCATCACGCAGCACAAACAGTATTGTGATGGGAGCCGAGCGCCAAGATGTTCAGGTCTCGTCTAAACCTTTTCCGGACCTGCATTACGTTTTGTATTGACCCTTCTAGCTCGAGAGCGGGCGGGAACTTCATCGTAAATGTGCGTCATCCACCCTACAACACTCTCTTCTCCGCGAAGACCTTTATCCATGCATCCGTGGTTTCGTCGTGGCACAGGTCTGGAATGGCACCATGTGGATAGTCAATCGCACGCTGTGGCTTGTGCAAAAGATAGTCAAGGTCGCCTATTAGGTGTAATTAACCATTGGGGGACAGGGACATGAATCGAACGGTGATGGTGTGAACGCTGAAGCTTCTTGGTGTAAGTAGTTGCTTCCCGGAAGCCTCGCCTGACTCGGTCAAGTGCACGTGCCGAAAAATCCGCTTTTCGTGTCTGTTGCATCAGCGAGATCTTCGACCGAGGACCGTTCCACCACCGGAGATTGGCCAGTTCCAGCATCTGCCCCCGCCCAGCCTTCCAGGCAGGTCAGTTCGCAGCTTTAGGCAGCTGGTTAGTTTCTGAAAGTAATTCGATCCCGCTAGCTGCTGGGTTTTCTGATACAGCTGATGCATTGATATGCCCGTATTCTAAACCTACACCCTATATCCTAGCTGGGCGGGTGGGGAAAAACCCTCTAAGCGTGGAAAAGCCCTAAACCGCCCTAAACTAGTTTAGTTTGTTCATCTATAACATGGGAGCCTGAACAATTAGAATAGGGCTTTCGCGCCCATTATACTAGCACTATAGTAAGGAACCCACAAAAAATGTTGGTAATCATGGAGCCCTTTATACTAACTCCTTATGATCGCCTCATGGACCCCTTTAAAGGAGATCTACTCTAGGTAACTATTTGGGCCCCTATAGATGACCCCCCCCAAAAAATCCTGAGTTCTAGGCATCTGCCCTGCCAGGTGGCTCACAGTGGGCGGCCCCAGCCTTCCACTGGATTCTGTTATATACAATGTTAGGGGTATCGGTTTAGGGTTTTAGGGTTTAGGGTTTAGGGGTATATACAGTAGAAGTTAGAAGGGGCCCCCACCCTGTAATAGTGGTATAATAGGAGTATAATAGGGCCCTAATATGATCCTTATGGTCACTATTACAGGGTGGGGGCAGCTTCTAAAGTAGAAGCCGAAAAGTTGGAAACCCAGTAGCCTCAATGCTTAAGAGTAGTGTATAGAGAATCCCAGCACTATTTGGCCTTAATCCGGTCTCCGACTTTATGGGATTTACTATATATATATACACATACATATACAAATATAATATATGTATAGACTGTATAGCATTAGTATGAACACACACACACACATACAGAGCGAGGGAGAGAGAGAGTTGCTGCACTTGTCCGGTACTGGTGATCAGGAGTTGGTTCAGGTCATTGGGGCAGCATTCCGTGCTGTAGAGATAGTGGGCACAGGCATGGGCTATGGAGTCCTGCGCTTAGAAAGCTCAAGCCTCTGAGAAGCATACAGGAGAAGCCGCAGAAGCTTGACTTTTAATCTGAACATGCCGAGGCGTCGAAGCTTCTTAGATTCTAACACTGCACCACCAAAAAGATGTGCTGTTACCGTAAACTCCATAAACCCTAAACCGAAGCTCCTAGTTAGGCTTAGAGTACTGAAGAACCTGAGATCTTGAAGCCGTGCCTGTGCGAGAGTGCGAGTCTAAATCCCTAAACCTTAGACGTAAACTCCGTAAACCCCACACCGTCGGATTGTCCGAGTGTGAGCTCCGAAACCGTCTCACTTCCGGAGTATCTGGGCTCGAAACGAGACTCCTGGCCCCGGTCATCGAAGGAAAGACATGTCCAGGCGCCTGTTTGCGGAACGCTGGGGAACTCTTGAGGGTCCTTACTCTCGCATGTGGTTTTAAAGTAATGGCGGCTGGTACCTCAGTTCCTGGTTCAGAACAACCTTACCTGCGAAAGAGGCTTTGTTCGGGGTTGAAGTTGAGTGTGAAGGGGAGAGGACCAGCGTTTCTGGAACCTCTCAGAGTAACTATTGCTTATTGTCCTGTGGACGAAGTGCTCCTTGTGTAGCTCTGGTGTGTGACGCTGCTCTGCACGGAAGCCTGTAAGATCGTAAGACATCCTGTCGTCATCGTTGCGCAGGCACTTCGTCGAGGAGATCAGCCGCTTGCTTGCCCTTCCTTTCTTAGACTTGTGCATAGTCCTCTGTAGACTTATGCTGATGGTTTTGGTTTGCATATGCTTCGGGTTTGGAAACCACACTACACGCCGCACAGCTGCAGCGCAAATGAATGGTCAAGAGTGTCTGTTGCCGTCCAAGGTGCACTCGAGACTTGGCAGATGAGCTGTACTTTCGGGTAGGTGCTCGTTTGTTGCTGCTGCGACGCGGCCGGGGGTTGTGGCTAAGCGTTCCAAGCTTGATTGGACAACTGCCATGACATGAAGGTCCAGCTGCTGGGCTGTGCAAATGCACCTGGTGTTATCTTTTGTCTGCTCTTCCTGTTCTCAGGATCAAGAAAACTCTTCGAACTCCGACGGAACCGACAACTATTTGCATCTCAGCAGCAGCCGGCCGGCTCGGACCGGTTCTTGGCTTAAGCTGCACGTGTACTGTGCCTGTTGCGACACGGGCGACGACGCCGGACGGCAGTGAGACAAGGTTGGGTCAGGACACGGCAGTATACTGGGAGGTTCATGGGTAGATATAAGTGGGGCTAGAAGTCCACTAATACGGGTTAATGATTGCTATAGTTATCCCCACTTATAACTCCCCACGAACCTCCAAGTAGGGTCAGGAAGACTCGCAGCTCCAGGCATGCGGTTGACCTTCAAGGATCGGGCGACTTAGTGTAGGGTTGCCAGACGCTTAAAGTAGGGTACTACAGGGGCCTTAATAGTTACCTATACTATTTTGGGGGCTCGTTATTATAACTATAGCATAATGGGCCCCAAACCCCTCTTCCAATCATTAAGGCCTCTATATTAACTTTGCTTAATCATGCCTTCCTATGTCCTCTGCCTGCAAAGAGGCCCCAAGAGCCTCGCCGAGGTTGGAAGACGGAGAGGACGTCGACGTCCTGGCCCAAGATTACCAAGGGACTTTGCAACTGCTTCAGGTGCTGGCAGAAGGACTCGTGTGTGGCTCCTGGGAGTTTCAGGATACTAGGGGTACGTGATTTGGGGATCCTTACCGCCCCTAACATTACATCCGTGGATGGTCAGTTTTTTCCTGTTTGGAAAATCCAACCGAACTTGTTGAGCGCAGTGTCTGATTATTTGGCTCCGTGCAGCGCAACCATGCGGTCTTGTCGAGTCCCCCAACCGACGGGTAGAAGTCAAAAAAGTTTAGCTGCAGGAAGCTTCGGTAGCCACACTGTTCTTGAGTTCTCGAAAGGACTGGCAATGAAGCGCAACGATCACTCCCGACAGTCTATCGATTGCGAGCCGAGGCCATCAATGCCTCCTTGAAGCAGATCGATCGTGCAGCTTGGCCTTCGCCAGCTTTACTCTTTCGTGGTTGCTGCAAAGTTATGCTTGTGCAGGGGCTGGAGGAAGCTTCGGTTCGCCGTGAAACAACAGATGCACACGCGGCAAGGGAATCCATTGAGCCCCTGAAGACTCACTGAAGAGCAGTTGCACTAACCATATGCAGACTCAGCATTTCCAGCAAGACCTGCATGTTTAAGTCTCCTTGCCTGCCCAAGGAGAGGGAAGACTTGGAAGTGGAGCTGACAAGATGGAAGTCCCGCGTGCAAAGGCTGACTCCATCAACCCGAGTGCTGTTACTGTTAAAGGATGTCTGTACATCTCGGTTGTGCGACACGGCAGCCATCAAATTGAATCTGAAACTGGTGCCTTCGGCATGGCTTTCAGAGACTCTGACCCTTGGCTGGAAGCCTGTGGCACGGACACGCGTGAAGAAGTAGGCAACCCACTCTGCTGAGCCTGCTGTAGCTTCGTACACCAAGATGTTTGTTGCCGTCTTTGCTAGTCTAATGAGTCTATTATACGATATGGTCGTACCGTGTAGTACACTGTATATATAAATAAATAAATAAATATAAATATATATATATATATATATATATATATCTGACATACTATACTTTACGGTAAACATCCAGGAGGGAGCTGGCTGCCAAAGTCTGTTCGAAGACTTGCAGGGGAAATCAGGCAAAAGGCCTCCACGTGAAGCTTGGCGTCATAGGCCCTAGAGCCCTAGAGACACAACACCAAGTCTGGCACTCAGATATGGTATAATATGTCATATTATATAATTTAGTAGTGTAATACATTGTCAAACTGGTGGCTGAAAGGTTGAGGAGCGATCGATTGATGGGCCGTCCACGAAGCGCAAGCCTGAAGCCCTCCACGTCCGAGCCGTTAAGCATGCCGGGAGTTCACAGATGAGAGTCCCGAGTCCCGACCTCACAGGGTGGAGTCCGAGATCAAGCAGCTCAATGTGCCGTGGCAGCGAAAACAGCGAACTACAAAACCCAAGTAACAGCCATGAATGGGAGTAAAATTCGCGGCCGCAAAGCTGAATGTGCCATCAATGTTTGGCGGATGCCAAAGTTAACCGAAGCATGGCTACGGCTCAAGCTCGGCTCAAGCATCGGAAGCGCCACGGCTCAGTCCGCCATGGCAAAGAGGGCCGGTCCAGAGTCCCGAGACCGTCCTGATCCAGACAGCAAGCGGTCAAAAAAAAAAGGCGAAATTGGCAGAAGCACTTCGACAAGCTTGTGATGCAGGCTTTCGGCCCTTCGATGGCAGCCCTCCGTGCCGCCTTGAACGTGCAGACGGGTTGAGCCCAGAGGCCATTTCGGCCGTGAAGTCTCTATTCAGAGAATTGTCCGAGCTACCCCGGTGTCTCGGCCTGAAGAAGCACCGGAGGAGCTCAGCAAGATCTGCACGACACAGGCTGGTGTCGTCACATGGTTCGACTTCGCACGAGTGTTCACAAGCCTCGACCCACTTCTTTCAAAACAGGTCGTGTCCGAGATTTGGACGTTTATGGCAGAGGGTGAGGAGCTGCAGCTGAGTCTTTTTTCGGGTTTACCAGTGCGTAGTTTGCATCTGCACCACAAATGATGCAAACATTCTTTTCCGACGGGGCAGCCACTTTTTCTGGCTGCTCTTCGACGTTGTGCGATGGCATCATGGATTTCACCACCACACTGAGCACTGATTTTTCCAGCTCCTCATGCTCGGCTTGAAGCGCCTTGTGAATTGCCTCGCTGGCTTGCTTTTCTCGAAGAAGCTTTGCCACGTTCGCCTCGAGGTCCGCTCGAGCCATCCTCCTTGTTTCTTCTGTCACAGACAACGGGGATACCAGCGGCAAGGGCTGGTATCCCCGTTGTCTGTGACAGAAGAAACAAGGAGGATGGCTCGAGCGGACCTCGAGGCGAACGTGGCAAAGCTTCTTCGAGAAAGCAAGCCAGCGAGGCAATTCACAAGGCCGGAAGCGAAACGTAATTGGAAATGCAAGTGCCCGGTCTGTAGCACCCCTTGCACACAGGAATTAAGGGTGTATATTTAGCAGCCATGCATTTCCAGCGCTGGATGGCCCCCAGATGTGGCGAGTGCCTCATGCTCCGTCTTTCATGGCTTTACCTTGTGTTCCGTCGTCTTTCCCTGGGCATGAGGCTTCCCGCAACGGCCTCTCAATGTAGTGGCCTTTCCTCTCGTGTCCCCTTAGGCTTGTCCTCTGTGGCATCGCCTTCTGTTTGAGCTGTCTTTGAGCCTCCGGGGATACGCTGTAGTCAACCCATATGCCCGACACGAACCTCATCTGGATGCGTCCGAGTTGCGAAAGCGTAAGTCTGAGCTAGGGTCGAAGGTTTGGGGGTTCCCCGGCTTTAAGCGTCTGAACCCAGCCGATCTCACTTCGCTTCAGCAGAGGCGGGCAGTGTGCTACATCTCACACCTCAGCCGGTTTAGGCAGTAATGGCACCGTGTGCTAGCGCAGTGTCGCACCTTATAGTATCCTTATACTATAAGTGTAATTATGCTATAGCGATCCTACTATTTAGGGTACCAAATATTAGGGTCCCCTATTTTCGGAAACCCCCATAAGGGCCCATAAGTGTAATTCTGCCCAAGATGACCGATGTTACAGGACTCGTTCAAGTGTCAAGGCCGAGACCATGTGGGAGTTTCCGAAAATTAGGGGGTACCTTATCTTGGGGCCCTTATACTGAGGATCCTAGCATTTAGGGTTTAGGGTACTATATTAGGGTCCCCTACTTTCGGAGACTCCCATGTGGCTGCTTCTATCACAGCAGGACCCAGAATTTTGTGTCAAAGAGAGATTTGCTGCCTCGGGGGCCTTTGCAGTGATTGCGGGCAGGAGTTGTTGCAACACCAGGAGTATTGAGGGGTTAAAGGACGAGCATGGGGGAAGATTGATCCTTAAAACCGTGGCCCTAGCTTCTGTTGGTGGTGTGTTCCTGGAGTCGACTTGAGTGCACCTTCCTAGTACGACACTGCGAACCAAGAACCTTGTCTGGCTGTGTCCTTTCTGCGAGAGCGTAAACCCCAAAGCCCTGAGGTCAGAGAAAAAATGCTGAATCACAAGCTGGACCTCAGCCTGAACCCCGGGAAAAGGGCTTTCGCCTTTGAGGGTAGTTTGCACTTGATCGTTTCCGTGCTAGTGCGATAACGTTTTCGGATAGTCGCTGTTCAAGTTCTTTCGTGCTGCAATGGCAGGAGGAGACTGTATCGGAGCTGTGGGGCGCACGCTTCTCTTATTCATGATTTTTTTTTGTGGTTGTTTGTCGTTGTCGACGTCGTTCATCAGAGTACGCATGCAAAGCGACCAAAATTCAAAACCACACCCCGCGGTCCCACTGCGCAGACTGCGAGCCTGTGGGGCTTCGAGGTCTGTGTCGTATCAGAGAAGGGCCCCGTGACTGGTTTCGTTCATTCACACTTCTGCACTGTTTGATGTTGCCTCGTGGCTTGATGCGAAGAACCGACTATCTTTCCTCCTCTACGCTACGTGCAAGTTGGTCGCGAGCTTTGATGTTCGTAAGTGCCGCTAGGACAGTTGCATGGGATCCCTTCTTGTGTGTTGCTCCTCGAGTACTCGAACTTGCAGGCCGTCACAATCTTGTAACTGAATGTTGTGGAGGGCGGTAGCAGTTGTCCTGACATTCGTTCAGTTGGCGCAATGCCTGGTGTTGAGCCTAACCCCTAAACCACGCCAACAGGGCTGGCTGTAGTCTCTACTGTTGTCGAGACGACGACACTGTCACAGATCACACTTTACATGGACTAGCCTGGTCCTATCTACTTCTACTCCTCTATCGTTGTATCTTGGCACCATCGTTACTTCCAACCCCCAACGAGTGATCTGTGTAGCTACATGGTTCCCAAGGTCCTACCCGTTATCTGTCTGCTTCATTCTGTAGGATCTTGGGAGGGATGCAGTCAAAGCAGATACAGTCACTTGAAGTGTTTGGACATTTGTTGTGTATGTACTATGACTAATCCGTTAGTTCGTTTCACTTTGTCAGACTCCGAACCATTTGCCTCGCCTGGATTGTCCGAGTGTGAGCGCCGAAACCACGCCAACCATCTTGACACCCTTCGGCCGCACACCATGTCCGCTGGTGCTCCAGGTACACGGTCCGAAGTTGACCACGAAGTCGAGGAGATTCCCCCGGGTCCTGAGTGCCTGCAATTCGTGGATAGAGCCTTGGTAAAATTTTTGTGAGTGGATTTGGACACTGGAGGTCGCCAAAGAACGGGTACGGAATGCTCAAACAGTGCAACAATGAGGGATGCCGGAGATCCGGAAATTCAGGAAGACCGCTGGTTTGGGTCAAAGTATTTGCCCTGCGGTACCATAGCAGCTGATTCCGTACTAGTCACAAGTCAAGGTCGACAAGCTTTAATCTGCATGTCACAAATTGTGGAGTTTGCCGTGTTGCGGGCACTTGCCCGCCTCCGATTGCGAGTCAAAGCATGAGAGGAAGCACGAGGGAAAACTCACCGTGCGGACAGTTCGGTACACGAACACAACCGCGAGCGTTGACTGGATGCGCAACACAAGCAAAAAGCCAACGCCACTGCCGCCCTGCCACGATGACGGCTACGGCTACCATTGCCGTCACCACCACCAGAAAAGAAGCAGGAGCGGCAACAACGAAATGCAACAACCAAGGCAATGCATTCAACTTCATCTCCATGCTGATTGCCGCCTGGCTGCGCTTCTACGGCCCCACGACTGTGCATTGCTGTGGCCGTCTACGAAGGCACACCCATTTTGCAATCGGGAGTGCCACCCTCCAGCCCGCAGTTGTTCTAACATGTTCTGATGTTCTTATCACCTCAGAGATCCTTCCCGTGCCAAGGTCTTCATGAACGTGGTGGTCATGTTTGGGAAACACTTTTGGGATCCCATGATATCAATCAAGGGTGTGACTTGGCTATCAACTAGCACAACAAGTCTGTCTGTGAAATGCACGGGTATCTACAAGGTACAGAGCTCTTCGGCTAGCAAGGGGCAACAGGCGATGACATCTGACCCAATTCTTGGCAAGGACCTGTGGTACGCCGACCAAGCTTTCCTCGTCTTCTACGTCATCGTGTTGGCCTTATGAGATTGACCGGGTGCAAGGTGTACACACAGCCCAAAGTTGGGAAGCCGGTGATCTTACCCGGCACATGTAGGATTGGCAGGTGCAGGCTGCGTGAACCTTGTTCTGACACTAGACCCCTAAGGGTCCAAAGGACCCAATAATTAGGTACTTAGGTTTCGGATAGTAGTTATGTAGGTTACTGTTCGGGAGAGTATATGATTATACTGTACTTGGTGTCTTTGTCGATTCGAGCTGAACAAGTCGCCAGTGGTCGCATTCGCAATGCAAGAAATGCTTTGCTGCCGTGCTTGCATGCCGACGCTGCGTTTGAGTGCTGAGTCGAAGAGGTCACCAGTATGAGCAACTGTAGAATATCTCCGCGACATCCTTGAGGAGTTGGCCCTACGTTTCGCTTTGTGGCATGATTCGCTGCTTTTTCATCGTCCTCTGTGGAAGACTTGGTCTCTTGGCCACAAGCGGAGGGTTCACGAACAAAATGCATGGCTCGAAGCAAAAGCAAGTCCGGCGGATGTTTCGGCATTTACGCTGGAGGGGCAGGCATAGCTGTAACGCCCTGCTTACAAACATGCGCTTTCCTTCATCCAGTCACACGGTCCTCTATCTGGACAGGATCGATATGTTGGGCTTGAGTCATCAGACGAGGTCTTATTGGCTGGACACCCTCATCGTGCCTCTTAGACGCAGCTTGTGCCACAGCCTCATTATGTGCTTGTAGATGAAAAGCGAAACCCCTAGGGTGGTCTCCATCCTGGAGCAGTGGCTGCTGCCTTTGTTCTTTAACCACGAGGGCATGGGCTTCGGCGCCTTCCGAATCTTGAGGCCGGGAGCTTGCGGTGAGTTGGCCTGGCAGTACTAGCCCACGGGCTCGTTTATCCCGCGGGACCTTTTCAAAACGACAGGGGCGTACTATAGGTGCTATAGTAGCTTGAATGCCGACGACAGGTAGCATGTTTCCCTAGGCATCCTGCTCAAAATTACTGCGTAAGGCCCCTATGTTAAGCTGGCCCTTCTCTCGAGAATCCTACAGCATCTTTTATCGTATCATACAGCCCCCAAAGAAATGCTGATGATAAATAACAATAATAATAATATTAATAATTCCCCCACATGAGCCTCGACAACCAGAGGGCCTTCCATCCTCCGTCTGGTTCAGGATCTTCCGGTTCGCCCGAGTTTTACGGGTATGCAGCAAGGCGGGACACTGCGCATCATAAAGGGGGTCGGAAAATGAATAATCAGGGAATAATCACGGTTCAGGCTTAAACAAATCACGATTTAGGGTTAAGGGATGTCGCAATATCTCCTTTTTATACTGGCACATTATCAGTTGCACTAAAAATTCCTTCCAAATTATTCAGGCGCCTGTGGTAGTTGTGGTTGAGCAAAGAAGTCTAGGGCCGCTGGGGGCCTCTCTTTGCAGCTCCAAACCCAGCCTACGCTCGCTGCATCCGGTTGAATCTGGGCACTGGTACCTTCCTCTTTGCTCTGTCGCCGAGGTGAACAACGCTGGTTCTAGCTGGGCGGAAAATGACTACTTCATGGCCTTCGTGTGCCCTGGAAGAGAGAAGCAAACGGTCAAGTCAGTGCTGTACCTAGAATGTTTGTATAGCAGAGTGAGAAGACATATCTGTCGAAGCACAGTTCGGTATTCATACAGCATGGCAGATGTTGGCTGTATTCCCAGCCTCCGGTTGTCTTCACCTTTATTTCTTGGACCTGAAGCGAGCAAGGATGTGCGTGATCTTTCTCAACTGCATTATGATGGGGGTTCAGGCAGGGCACTCTCGTCCTAGCACAACATCTCGGCGCCGCCAATGGCCGATAGTGACTGCATGTCCGACACCGGCCGCACAGAAGTGTATGCATTGGCGAGCGCAGGAAGACTTTCCAGACCTCAGTTGCTGGATCTACTTTGAGAATCTTTTTCTCGGCATCGAGCTCGGTGCAAACACAGCTTTTCAACATGTGCAGCGTCGGTGCCGCAACAGACTTGGAGAGTCAGGCATCTTCATGTTTGAAATCGTCATCCGCATCAGCCACTTCGGTATGAGGTTCTTCTACAACGATCAGTGTCTTGGCTGCACAGACGATTTAACACTGCAGCCTACGCTTCCGTAAACTTCACAACATGCATCTAGCTTCGGGACAAGTCCTGGCGTGAGATCTCCTGAGTCATAACTCACTGTTTAAAGCCTGCCGTGAACCAGGTGGGTTTTCAACTGGCTGGACTTCGCAGCCGGCATGCAAGTAGAGTTGTTCTGGCAGGCTCACGTGACTGTTGCAGTCTTGCGAGCGAGGTCATTGTGGCCGGCGGCACCCCGTTTGCACAGAGAATTTCATGCTTGCTCGCTGCAGCTCGTGCTTGTCTTTCGGGGTATATGTGTGTGTGTGTGTGTGTGTGTGTGAAACTGTTGGACACCGCCAGCTGTCACAGATGAGACCCAGGTGTTCTGGATCAATGGTTCATGCCGCTGTACAACCTTCTCACTTCAGAGGCGAGCACACGGCCACCAGATGTGGTCATCGCCTTCGCCGCAGCAATGACTTCGCAATGATGACCAGCACCACCGTCGATGCCAATGCAAATCCAACCATCTTCGTCATCATCATATTCGCCACCCCGCCACCACCACCACCACCACCACCACCAGCAGCAGCAGCACCACCAGCACGACCAGCGTCATCTTGATTCTGACCATTGGCTGCTACACAGCATGATCAATGGTCATAGTCTATCATGATATACAGAATGGTGGCGGTAGTGCCGGACATGATGATGATCATCATCATGACGGCACTGGTACTGCTAACACTCTTTAGACAACAGTGGTCATCGTGTTGATAATGGGTGTCCTTATCCTCATACTCCCGGCTACGGGTGATTGCAGATGCGCCCGCAGCCCGGATCATCAGATCCGAATGTGCCTGGAGGCTGGCGTTGATGGTGATGACAGCGACAAATCGTTGAGCATCTCAGCAGCACTTGTCACATGCTTCTTCATGAAATGCCGTCGGCCGTTGGCGTTCCAAGCGCTTTCTTGTTCCAGGCTCGCTTGTCATATTTTTCTCAGGCGCCGTGGTAGGATGTGTGATAGATATAGGCCCCAAAGATCCTGCCAACATGCTTGAAAGCCACGGCCATCCCAAGCTGCGGAACAAACAAAAAGTACAGAGGCCGACACACAAGCGTTGACAGCCGATTTGCTTGCGGCCTGCCTCCGAGGCAATGTCATGAACATGCTGAGGTTTCTTGGGCAGCACATGATCGCCGGTGGCAATCGCCGGGCTAGCCTCTCCATGTAGACAAATCATGGTATAGGTAGCACATCTAACAAAAGTAGTTTTTGGTTGCGTATGCTACCAATACGAAGCAGTGTGGCATCCTGCCAAAGCTAGAAGGATCAAGTGTTATGATGCCGACGTAAGCAAGCAGCAAAGCTGTTTGACCGTCGGACATGCCGTCATGATGCAGTGGCACTGCAGCAGAATCTTGAAAGAAGAAATCCTGGTCGAAACCGACACCCTTGTTCGTTTATTTTGCATTTCTCTGGGGGGACGGACTTTCCTACATCGAAGCGACATCCGGTAACGAAGAGGTCTCGGATCCGTATGTAGTTCTCCGTGGGCCAGCAAATTCCCTGGAAGGATCTGGAAGGCTTGTTTAACCCATGCATGCAAGTCTGGCCTGCGTGTCAGCGCGGAAAGTCGAGATCTTCGACTGGGACCTAAGCACCTGGGCGGTCTGAGTGTGAGCGTCTTATCTGAGGATGCTTCGACTTGCTCCTTGTCCGCATAGATAGGCTGTCATGTCTTCGATTGTGAGCATCAGGACATGCAAGGCTGCCAGCTGCACATATTATGATTTCGACTACTAGTGCTCTACTTAATTTTCTTGGTATTCACAGGATTCTTCTTTTGGTGGCGGCAGTATTTGTCATGTGTTTTGATTGTGCTTGTTGGCCCAGCTAATAACATGTGCCCATGTGTTTATACAAAAACAAACAGATAACTCTTGTAATGCTTATTTGTATGACTTACATATGTGTGCATATCAAGAAGCATCACGATATGACAGTTTACAGCAAGGAAGATCTCGCAACACACCCAACAGTTGGGATGACAAACAGAGAACGTGCTTCACCAGGGAAGCAATGGACTTAGAGAGCCGTGTGCTAAAACCTTGTCCAAACCCAACAGAACAGGTCCGGCTCCTTCGGTTGGTGCGCTTGGAATCTTGCCGGCACATGGCGTGCGGTTTGCTTGTGAGAGAAAAGTTGTGACTTTTCCACCGGTGTGTAGAGTTGAGGGTTCTCAGAGCGTGGGCGGTGCCGTTGGCTGACACTAAGAGCTCAAAACGGGTGCATAATGGAGTGACCCGTGGCCTGTTTGCCTTATACGACCAATCAAGGGAAGTGTTGTCCAACAGGCCATGAGCTTCCAAGCCCACTCTGCTCGGCTAATTGCATGAGCACTCGCAGGTGGATGATATCTCTGCTTTACAAGCCAGTAGCAGATCCGCAGAGTCCTACATGTCACCCTGAAGCATACCCCTCGGAATCCACAACAGGCTTCACAGCCAGCCGTCCTCAAGGGAAGACGTGACAGGTTCGTGGAATCCCTCCGCTCTACAACCTCCTGAAGGGTATCATCTCTGCCATGCAAGGCATGGCCTGGTGCTTCGGATGCAATGAGTTCCCCAAACGAGTAAGTTTGCAGAGAACCGTATGCGCAAAACCGAGGTTGCTGCTACTCACTGTTGCTGCAACCTGTCTGCATGGTCATCAGAAGCACCAGCAGCAATCGGCAGCAGTTCTACGCACGGTCGGCTGTTTGTGTTTGTGTGCGCACGTGGGGGGCATGGGCTCCAAGCTCAACGCTGACTTGCCCGGAGCTACACATTATAAGATAGATAGACAGCATGGCCTGCAAGTATCTGCAGTTCTTCAATCTTCGTGTTCAGAAGCCAGCAAACATGATACAGGACTTCGGATCTGGCTACACTTCATGGGATACTCCGAGTCAGAATACCACCTTCTCGCAGCATCGTCAGACCGCTCCCGCCACCATTTCGGAGAGGCTCCTCGATGGCTTGTGTGCACTGTATCACAAGCTAGCACAGGTCATCTACATCATTGCCCTGGTTGCAATGAAGCTGATGGGAAAGGAGCGGGGCACCGAACGTTCCCTGTGACACGATGACAGCTGATGACGATCATCATCCGAGGTAGCATGACGTACAGCGCTATCCTGCTGCGTTGTCTATTGTGGTCACGGCCAGCGTTCCCGCTGTCTGGTATCACTACTCTTGCATTGTTTTTCGTACTGCTGGGTAGTTCTTGTTGCTGCTGTCGTTAAATGCATTTGCAGTGCTGCATGAAGGCGGTATCAAGGCATTCCCAAGGCCTGAGAAAGGCCTGAAACTCAACAGCTTCAGCTTTAAAGCAACCCAGCCGTTAAAGGAGCGCCAACAGGAGCCCTTAAGGGGTCCTCTGAGGCTTCCTTTAAGGGGTTATTCCTTGTCTTGAGGACGGCCTGGTGACGGCTGCCGGTTCGGATGATGTCAGAAGCGTGTTCCCATCAGTCGGCACCGAGCTTGCAATGGGTCTGAAGGATATGTTATATCTTACGTGATACAATAATTGTTGAATATAGTGCATTGTACAGCATATGACCGATTACACATAGTACATTACATCGCACATATTTGGCATATTTGGGGTAAACTGTATACACTGCACACACATAATTATATACATACACGAGGACATACTCTAGTATATGAAAGGCTGCATAGCGACGGCCTTCAGGGGCGAACGGTGAAGGACTGCCATGAAAGGGATTAAGCAATGAGAAATAAGCAGCGCAATGACAAATGACAACAGTAACGAGCTTGCGCATGTGGACATAATGAATGTGCATGTGAATATGTCACACATGCGCCTGCCCTCACTACTGAGCAACAAAACCCGCCCACATTCAGAACCTCGTGCGCACATGTACATGTGCATATGGCAAGATGCTACAAAAAGCACCGTCACTTCGAAATCATGATGCTTTTGGGTGAGGTAGGGAGGGGTCCAAGCGGCAAACAGTAGATGGGCCTCTCATCGTTCAGGTTGAACTATAAGAGCTAGTAGCGAGGGCAGCAAAGGCTGCACCAATCGCCATGAACTCACAAAACACCAACTACACCGTCACTGGCAACGCCACTACGGTCTTCCACGTCCTTGACTCTCTGTTTGCGCCCGCCGCAGCCGTTACCTCGGACGGCAATCCCGGCGGCCCCTTTCGAACTCGACGTTTTCGTTGATCTCGCCAGGCCAGTCGGCATGGCACGCTCCATGCACTGTGCAGGGTCGTGAGTCCTACTCGTGCTTGTGCAAGAGATTGTCAGGCCTGTTGTCTTACCTCTGCAGTGCCTGTCGACTGTGCTGACAGAAGCGATTGCATGTGATTGCACTTGTGTGTTTCTGCCCTCCCTGTCCTAAGCTCACCTAAGCGCCCTGCGCCAGAAGAACCATGGCTGGCGACCCCACGCAAGCAGAAGAGGATAAGCCTCCAAAGATGACTCTGGAGCAGCTTGGATCAAGATCCGACCGCGGGTTTCATTGCAGAGCGCAAGCCATTGCAAAAGATCCACAATCCAGGCAGGCGCAGGAGCACGTTGAGTACGACCTCTCGATGAAGCAGCCCTGGCGGAAGTTTTTAATCAAAGCCTTATGGATCGAAGCTCCAGTCCGAGACCTGTGGCATGGGGGTTGGAATCTGCATATCGTGTTCATGCAACGGTCTTGTGAGGCCTTGGTGACCAGAGCCCTCCCTCCCCGACGCGTATTTCCATGTTTTGAGCCCAGACCAGCTGCCAGGATGGTGCCTTTCCTGGACAGACATCTCATCTTCCCAGTCTTCAACTTCCTGCAGGTCCGATAGGTTTTCAAGGTGTCAAAAGGATTGCCCAACTTCAGCTATGTTTGCTTGTGCCGTACACAAGCTTTTTGATTGCGGTTGATAACGGAGGCGTTCAAGTCCTTCTAGTTGTAGCGTGAGCGGGAAGGGTTTCAAAACTGAAATCTAGGCAAGCCGGAAAGGCCGTATTCGGCAGCCCATACCATGCCAGTTCTGCAGGAGACTGGCCTGTACAACCAGACAGCAATCCAGCGGGCGCAGCTGACGCTGCTCGCGGAAACGCATCGTGCCTGATCTATGGCCTATCACATGCTAGAACGGCTATGCGTGGATGGCATTCAAGCAACAGCTGTCCATGAAGCATTGGGTGGTGACGTACACCTGCCCATGGCAGCAGCCTTTGTCCAGCTAGCATAAGCGAGTAGCAGCACAGCATTGCGCATGAATGGTTCCATGCGAGCATGGATCTCTTTCTGACCGAGGAACATGATCGATTGGGCCCTGGAGACTTACACAATGATCGGAGAAGAGCAGCCGCAGGAACTTATTGACAGGCGCGAAGCATGGTGGTATTTCTGGCATGACAAGCGCAGAGAGATTGAGTCTTGCTCCGTTCACACATGCGTAGGATCAGCCGGAGGGAGCTCCAAAGCAGAGTGCATCAATGGTGCTTGCACACTCTGAGACCTCTTGAAGTAGAGCCAACTGGCAAGCTTGCGACAAGGCGAGACCTGGTGCTACAGCAGCTAGAGCTGTCGCGAGAGAAGGCCAGGGTCCGTGAACCACAGCCGCAAATGCCACAAACCACCACATCGCCTCTGCTGCGATCCTGTTGCCGATGTCATTTTGGAACCGCGCAAGCAGTATGAACAAAGGAGTTATTAAACTCGGTGCCTCTCGTCCCAGGTTCTTCCACTACTAGAAATTCTGGAGGCCGGATGCGAACATGTCGCACACTTGCCCATAGTAGCAAGCGTGATCTTTCAGACATGGCTACTACTACTAGTACTACTAGTACTACTTCTGCCACTGCTACTACTACTACTACTACGACGACTACTACTATTAACTTCAGACCAAAGAGCCCGGCTTGGCCAGGAAGAGGAGCAGGTGGAGAAGGTGGCGAAGTGCAAGACTCCTGTCAGCAGCTGGTCCATCCCGAAAAAGCCTTGGTAGAAGTCGAAAAAAAGGGTTTTAATAATTACCAACACTAGTTTGTGGGTTCCCTATCTTGTTTATAGTATTTATGTATCCCGAAACCCCATTCTAATTATCAAGGCCCCTATATCATAGAGCCCTTCCAGTATCCTTTATAGTATAGTGGCCCCTATATCTCTATCTAAAAATGCATATATATATAGAGACCTTTGTGAAAAGGACCACTATTCTAATTATGAAGGCCCCTATGCAGAAGAAGCCCAAAAGTTGGAAACCCAATAGCCTCAATCCTTGAGTGTAAGGTATAGGGAATCCCAGCACTATCTGGCCTTAATAAGGTTTCCAACTTTTTGGGTTTACTGCATTAAAGGGAACTCCAGAAAGTTGGAATATGGATTAATGGTAGGATCCCCTATAATTTACCTCAAAGGGGTTACGACAATGATATTCCAACATTCTGGCTTCTACTGTACCATGGCAAGGACCATCGAGGAGTTGTGCACGACCTTCAGCCTCGACCCGTCCGTGATCGACGGACGGCAAGGGAGTTGCGTGCAGATGGGAGTTTCCGAAAATGAGGGGTACCTTAGGGCTTAGGGTTGCTCTACAAGGGTTTAGGGTTTCCGAAAATGAGGGGTACCTTATTTTGGGGTCCTTATGACATGATAAAGGTTCGACTATTTCGGGATTTAAAACACGGTCCCCTATCTTCGGAAACTCCCACATTCAGAGCTTGCGGATGCTCAGAGCATGCAGTCGGAAATTTTGCGTAGGGTGTCGGAGGGCATGTATTGACAAGACAGTGGGTTTCAGTGGTAGTGTTTTCTGCTGGAAATATGCACTGACAGTGCTCAGCTTCCAGATCGTTTCGCATTGGCAGCAACATTGTCTTCATTACTTGGTCTCACTCTGCTTTTGGTTCATTGGATTGCGTTTTCGTTCGTAGCAGTCGTCGGGAAATTTACCTGCAGTGCAGGACTTGTGCACTACGCAAAGTTGCAGTACGACTGCGGGAACTACACTTTGAGCGGTGAGCTCCTCAAGCACTACAGGAGGATGATCTCCCAGGACTCTTGATGACACGACCTGATCGCAGTGGGACCATGATCCTCTCTTCTCTGGTATGATCGTAAAATGTCGACTCGTCCATCGCAGGATGCCGAACGGCCAGTCATGACCTCCAAGCAGGCCTGGCCCGACAGTGTAAAAGGGCCGTCTGGGTTGAGTGGCCTACTTGCGAGATAGCAGCTAAGTCGGGACAGATGCAGCATGTGCGAAAGGCGAACATGTTTCCCGCCTGAAATCAGGTCAGTTGCATTTGGGGCACGCTGGCGTCCTTCATCTTGTGACCCGGCTGGAAAGAATTTGGCATGAGGTGGACGCCTAGCAGGATGCAACGCCTCTTTGTCAGTTTTGCCATTGATTTGCAAGTCGTTGCCCAGGAATCGTGAGTTTGAGGAGGCACGGGCTTATCGTCTTTGCTCGCTTGGCTGCTGACCATGTAGCGTTCACTGGTTCAATGCTGCTGGTGAAAGTGTCAGTACGCGGCGGGTCACAGTGTGAAGCCACGGTCGGCTTTCGCAATTCGCTATTGCTCAAACCCAGATAGTAGGCCTAATGTGTCTTCAGTACGTCGTCGTCGTCGTCGTCGTCGTTGTAAATCGTAGTCGTCGTAGTAAATGGTAGGAGTGGCGGTGGTGGTGGTTGTAGTGGTAGCAGAAGCAGTAGCGGCAGCGGTAGCGGTAGGACGGAGTGGTAGCGGCAGCGGTGGTGGAAGAAGTCGTACTAGTAGTCTCGTAGTAGTAGTTGTCATAGTCGTGGTCGTAGTCGTAGTCGTAGTCGTAGTGGTAGTAGTGGTGGTAGTGGCAGTGGCAGTGGCAGTGGCAGTGGCAGTGGCAGTAGTGGGTAGTAGTAGTCGTAGTAGTAGTAGTAGTAGTAGTAGTAGTAGTAGCAGCACCAGCACCAGCAGCAGCAGCAGCAGTAGCAGTAGCAGCCGCAGTCGCAGTCGCAGCCGCAGGCAGTAGCAGTATCAGTAGCAGTAGCAGTAGCAGTAGCAGTAGTAGGAGGAGGAGGAGGAGTACTAGTAGTAGTAGTAGCAGCAGCAGCTACACTGGCTCTGCTGCTGCCGGCTGCTGCCAATGCTGCTGCTGCTGCCGCTGCTGCTGCTGCTGCTGCTACTGCGGTAGCTCCTCTTTCTCGTCGTCGTCCTCCTCCTCCTCCTCCTCCTCCTCCTCCTACTACTACTACTACTACTACCACTCACTACTACTACTACTACTACTACTACTACTACTTCTACTACTAGCAGTACTACTGCTACTGCTACGACTGCGTCGACGACTACGACTACCACTACCACTATCACGAGTGCTTGAGCTAGCCAACATATGGCGGTTGCTATGAGTGATGGTGATGCTGCTGTACATGATCAGAAGGAAACGGGACATGCAGAAGCAGTTGCAACACTACAGTGCAGCAAGTTTTCGTCCAGAAGGCAAGTGTTGTGACGTGTTTATCGAGCAAATGCCGACAATAGATACATACCTCTCTCTCTCTCTCTCCCTCCCTCCCTCTCCCTCTGTGCGTGTCTGTGTCTCTGCGGGTGCTTTTCGTCGGTTTTGTTTGCTTGTGCCTTTGCAGCGAGTAGTATGAGATAAACCGAGGCACCAGAGGAAGGACGAGCGTCGCTAACGGCAGCAATCGCAGTCGTGAAAGCAAATGATTTGTGCAGGCAGTATCAACTTCAAGGCGTGTAGCACTATGTAGCAGTATTTCGGTGTGAGCGGTGGCTCGACCAACTGCAACTCCCGTTTGGGTCGTGCATGCTCTCCGCCCGAGATCCTGACTGCGCTCTAGTAATAGTTATGCACAAGCACCGGCAGCACCCGGTAGGCCACCGATGGGGCTGAGAGAGCCGTGGACGTGATCTTCAAAATCAACGACTTCCTGGACAACACGACTCTCGGCCTCACTTGTTGCAGCGAGCGGCTGCCGGCACTCCACTGCCTCATTGATGGACGTCCTAGCCAGGCGGCAGGCAAACAAATTACATTTTGGAGGCAGAATTCGGCTCTCTGCATCGAATTGTGGTCTCAGCTGGGTGGGTGGGTTGCCTAAGTGCGCAAACTCAGTTTGCTGAACTGAATCGCAGCGCAAGTATGACTACCACTTCGCGCAGCCCTTGAAAGGAAGATGTCCAAGAAGGAGGTCTTGTTGCAGCGAACATGGCTGCTACACTGGTCGCTCTTCCCCATCTTCACAGCACTTCGGCGTGGACTGGTGGTGCATACTACACACCTTCAGCGAAAGATTTGAACTGCGAAGGGCAGGCAAGCAAAGAACAAACAGCAATCAGTGCAATTAGTGTCACGAGGACACCTTGCGACAAGCGTAGCTAGCCAGTAAACCATCGACAGCTTGAATAAGCGGGAGAAGGAGTGTCGAAGCTTGCTGGGAGTTATGTGGAATCGAGGAGCCCTTCGAAGGGAGTCAGAAACGGAGTTTCAACATCCCAAACTTTCAACCTTGTAACGCAAGATTCACGTGTCTTCATCTGCGGATGCGGCGTATGTACTTAAAAGCCTTGGAATCACACAGGCTGAGAAGGTGGAGGTCAAGTTGCTCGATTTCTTCCTGAATGAGAAGAGCTTGCTTTGGCCCCAGTCTGGCGGGCCAGAATGATTCAACGCTGTCGAAAGACGCCGTTGTTAGCAGCAAGAGTCAAGATGCAAGCAGGCCCCAACTCGACACGTTCTCGGAAGTGGGCAGCGAACAGTGAACGAATTCATGCATCGAAGTTGTGTCTCTGTGTACCGCACTACACTTTCGAGCCCTTGCTGCTGCGACACGCCTCCGGATGCAGAGAGCACTTGAAGAGATCCCTGAAGAGTGGCCACCAAGAGGTCCTGCATCTCGCTCTCCTGCCCGCACCTCTTCCGCTACGTGGCCGCCTGCCTCATTCTGCAGAAGCGCCTGAAGCACCTCATGAAGGACTGGGCTTAGGGGTACTTAGAAATATTTTTTAATTTTTGGTTATCATAATCCCTAAGAAACAGCTAAATTTGTAATTTTCGCTAGGGTTTTAAGTTCAGTATGGCGGGAAGCTTCCGGAAACACAGGCTTTCTGGAATGCTCCAAGTATGCTGTACTTTTCAGGGCTAAGCGGACTGAGTCACTGAGCAGGTTGTGGGTAGGTTATAACTACTACCCGAAGGCTCATAGCTACCCGGCGAGTTATACAGGCTTGTTCATAGCCTTTTTCAACGTCCCCTGCTCCGTTTAAGTACCGTCAATTCCCAAAGGGAGCCCTTCCTCGAAATAAGGCCCTGTGAGCTCGTAATATAGGGGCCTAAGGAATTACCCATTAATTTGGGGGTTCTTTAGTATAAGCAGAGTATAATGGGCCCTGTGCAGGACACTGTCTGGATCATTCAGCACGAGAACGCGGCCTCTCATCAGAATAGCCCTTGACCCCTCACGATGCTTCAGGAAGCTGATGCCAACCCACATCTGCAAATAGCCAGGACTAGCTCACCGCGGCCACCACCACCACCGGCATCATTGCATCATCATCTTCATGACCACCACCACCTCCACGGTCCACCGCTACCGTGGTGGTCATCACCATCGTCAGTATGACAAGCGCCAGCACCATCATCGCAGACATCATCATCACCATCATCATCATCATCTTCGTCTTTGATCGGCCAGAAGCAATGCTTGCTTGAGGTATACAGCGATCCTGTGACGCGGTTCCTGATGGCCCTGTATGTGGATATGGATGCTTGCCAAGGTGCTAGTCAGTTTAGTCCCATGTGTAGTATCACAGCCAAACCTAAATCGTGTTCGCCCCATGTCGGCTCCCTTCATCGCTAGCTGAGAACCATAATTATCGGACGTCTCCGAGCTCATGCGTCGCAGTTCAAGAAGTGGTAATTAAGCCGCATCCAAGGATTTCGATGAGGCCCAGCACGAGCTGCAGAAATGCGAATCTTGGCGGCTGCAGGTTATCGGTGGTTCACGCCTTTCGTCAGCCATCGCTGCCTGTCGTGATCGAACCATCATGTAATGTATGCTGCTAGCTGCTAGCCTTGATTGAGTACAACAGGATCTATCTTCACTTGCCTGTTCTCACCCGGTGCCAAGGAGAAAGTGTGCAAAGTGGACTATTTCTTGATGCGCCACTGGCAAGACTTCCAGGACAGGAAGCTTATGACTGTGCTTTCAGGGAGATCTGGTGGTAACTAGTTCAGAGCCGAGATCCCTGGAACAAAGTGAGTCAATGGGGCCAGAGCTCTCATGTCCAGGAGAATGCCCGCCTGCTGATCTTCGAGACCTACTGCAGGAGCTAGAGCTGATGTCAGTCAGAGTGGCTGCAGGATGACGTTCCCCTTTCTGCACCTGGCTCGTCAAGCACTGGCAGACGCAGGATCCACCAGTGCATCAACATTGGTATGATCGCATCGAAGCTCAACATGGAAGCAGAGGAGAGTGCCGGAAGAGTTGCGCACTTTGGTGTATGCTGCATTCACGATGAAGTCCTTGTTGGTCACATGCCAGGCACGGGTTTCGGCACCATGTCGTGGCTTGCACAGCTGAAACACTGTCCCCTTGCATGGCAGGAGGCTGAGGTTTGGATTGCCCGAGTCCCAGTCCGATGCAGGGGTTCAGAAATTCTGTGGAGTCGTCGGTCGGGAGGCTATCCTGTTGTGTTGTCACGTTTAGCTGTACCCCGAAGTCCTGTTGTGGGTTTGATGCAGGCACCGCATCGTTCGTCCGGTTGTGTTGTCGGTGATTGGAACCAGAAGGCTTTCGGATAGGTAGGCTTGTCCCGCGGCAAGCATCATGCAGGAAGCCTCTGGGTGTAGTCGATTGCCCTCCCTGTGTCCCTTCAGCTTAATCCGCCGATACTACGATGCAGCGCTGCAGTTTCAGGTGAAACTAATCCAGAACGCCAAGCTCGACGCCCGGATTGACTCCGAGAAGTGTCGTGTGGTGATGTCCAAAGCACCTCCCAGCGTCTACCAGCAGGCACTGGAACAAGGGCCTTCCCATCGTCAGTTTGGGGCTAGTATGTTGAAGTTTGAGGAGCCTTCCAGGTGCTTGCAGGGCTGCATGCAATGCTCTCTGACTCTCCGACCAGTTTCTCTGCACGCGCGAAGCTTGCATCAAGAAGGATAGTTGGAGACAAGTTGGAGATGCTGCAAAGGTTCCGTTGTGATTCGTCATGACCCTTGGCCTGCCCTTGTAAGCATCTCTGAAGCGCAGGTCATCGAGAAGACCAAGAACCTGTCCTTCAGAAGTACCATGCCTCCCGGTGGATTCAGTAAACTTTAGCTTTAATTCCCTGCTGTCTCTCTGAACACCCAGACTGTAGACAAAGTTGCTGTACCGGATCCTAAGAGGCTCCTCTCCAACTTGGAGAAGAGGGAGAAGGCGCTTGAGTGCACCCAACAGGGTTGGCTGAGTTTCTGCAAAACTGACGAAGCCACCTGTGCAGGACATGCGTACCGCGTCCTGAGCGGAAGCGACGTAGATGCACAGCTTTGCACATGGAGGGCGGTCACCCTGCCGAGCTGCGACACATGCTTCGCAGTTACATCGCGTGGTCTTAGGCCGAAGGGAAGTAGCTCACGCACGACGGTTTGGGGCTCAATGACGTCGTGAAGTCAGTGGTGTGCCTCCCCCACCCTTCCCCACCCTCACCGCATACATGTCGAGCAATGCTTCTGGGCCCCTAGAAGGTGAGGGCAACTAACGCAGTAGAAACAGAACTTATAGCTCGGGGCAGGAACGTAAGGTGAGGTCCCTGACCAGCGCACTAACCCGGCCTGACAAACACCTCCGAAACTCCTAAGGAACATAACTCGCACAGCAAGGCACGCAACCGAACAACACACGCAGCAGTGGCCAACTACGAACGACGGTCCAAGACGCCACCGCACTGGCAGGGCAGCGGCACACAGAAGTTGACGACGAGATGTGTGCAAACTGTCACAGTGAGAATTTTGTCGCCACAGAGAATATTCACTGCGAGAATGGGAATACCATGAGGCACGATGGTGACGGCAGGCGCTACACGTATGGGCATAACACCACGGGGATCTCAACATATGATAAAGCGCCACGATCATGAGGTTGGTGACATCCGTTGGCAATGGCCGACATTGAGCCGACTTGATAGGTGCTCGTCGGACAGAGCAAGCTTCCTAGCGAGCTACTTTTCCTAGCAAGTCAGCAAAAGGAAAACAAACGGCAAGGGCGCCGGAAACATTGTAGCAGTGATGCAGTGGTTGTTGCAAGGGATGGTGACGCTTGCTTAAGTATGGCGAAACACTAGTATGAGTAAAGACTGTCCGTCAATCAGCTGGGTGACTGCGAGTGCTTATCCTGTTGATACTGCTGCACAGACGCAGCAAATAAGTGCCGAAAGGCTATGACAAGCGCGGCGGATGTTGAGCACATGCTCAGTTTTTCCGCTAGCTGCTGGCCCTGCCTTGGGCTGCCATTGTCGTAGGATCCCATGTGCAGTGTTGATGCTTCTAAATAATTACAAGTGGGGTAAGCCTCTTCGCAAGCAGCTCGAATAACCGAATGACGGGGTCACTGAATGGCTCCTTACAAGTACCAAGGCATGCAGAGTTCGAACGGAACGGTTCCAGACTTTCTTGGGAGACTGGGTGTGAAAGCCCTCAGTCCGTGCGCGGACTGCCTGTCTTTCCCATGAGAAACCGTGAATGCTTTAAGCCCTCGTGAATTGACACGAGGCATTCTTGGGACAATTTCATGTGAGCTTGCTCTGCTGTGCCGAAGACAGGGCGCAGGCGTGTCATAGCGACCATAACTGTGACATGCTTATTCGTGCTCGGGTGCACATGCATATCTCTCTCTCTATATTGTTTTTTTCACATGCACCGAAGACGGCTGAGGCTGAGACTATGCATATAGATCTTATGTTCATCACAATACTCACGCCCATCCTATGCCAGTTCACACGGAGAGGAGAAATTGTCTGACCTTGTGCAGGCTGCCGACAGGTTTTGCCAGAAGCCGCTAACCTCGTGGAAGGGCGACCAGTTCCGAAGTCCGTACCCTTGAAACCCATGAGTTGCCTCACGCCAGATCTTCCCTTCGACTTGTGGCAAACCCTTAGCGAAGATGGGTGCATCTGTCGTTGAGTTCTTTTTCTGTTTATGTTTACTGGTGAAGTGACTCTACGCATCTCTGCACGTCAGTCCGCATGGACACTCGACGTATGGAAAATCTGGACTGGAATCTTGGAACCAGCTTGGAACGGTCGCCAGGCCATGTAATCGCTGACTTCCCAGGACGCAGTTGCGCACACTCATCATCCAAAAAGTGCGCACTGTATTGCCAAAGCAATCCTTGCCACGAGTGCCTGCCAGGCTTCGGAAACTTGAACTGGGTTCAAACGAGGTTCGGGACAAGGGTCGCTGCTTGCCTTCAGCTTGTGACTGAAATCCAGAGTCTGCGTTGAGCCTCAGGACTTGTGACGGTTGTTCTAGCGTCAGCCGAGCCTGGCTGGCGGCTTGAGACATAGTCGAAGTATGTCTAAGTTTGCATTGTGTAAACGGGCAAAAATATAATCCGACACCAGGATCAAGAAGAAAAGGAGGGACCCCGCCTGTTCCTTGTTGGTGACCCATCCGGTCATGGTCAGCCGAGGCAAGACGATGTGGGTGCTGTTTATGGCCATGAATGGAGACTGGGTTTTTGTTAAGGAAGTGGTTTAAGTTACCAGAATAGGGGTCTACAGCAAATAACACGGTTTCACTATTTACACTTTTTTGGTAACTGAAAAGTACTTAAATTCCGTAATTCCTTGTTACGGCAACCGAAGAAGACTAGACTCTCTAACCAAAGCGCCTAGGAGACCCGAGTGGAATGCAGCCTTTGTTCGATGCATACCCGGCGACTCTCATCTTCGCCGCATCTGGGTTGAAGCACTGGGGCGTAATGTCGCCACGGGGAGTTGAACGAGGCCCTTTAAACCCGAAGAGGGTTTGTAACCAAAGCCTTCACTATAGAAAAGGTTTGTAGGCGCTGTTTGGGTGATTCGGATCGCGTTTCAGCGTGCGTGTTTTGGAATTTGAACATGGGGACTTGGTAGCATGTGGGCTGTCCTGATCTTGCCTGCATTTAGAACTGCCGCCGTGACTGAGGCTGGCTACATGATCTTCACCAGTTTTGCCCCGGGGCGGCAGTGACAAATCAGATCTGCCGGGAAATTCTGCAGTCTTGCTGAGTCTTGCTGGTCGGGTGCAGTATAGTGGGATCGAGGGCCTTACATGCACTCTGAATGCCTTTACCTCCTGCGCTGATTCTGCGGCGGTGTGTGACGAAACATGTTGACCTTGCTATCTCATGTATGGCTGTTGTGCATTTCGGCACAAGCCAACAGGACTGTTGACTATCATGGAAACTCGCTTTTGCATGTTCGCCAACTAAGTCTAAGTGCCTTCGGATCGAAAGTGCTAAAACTCCACGTCCCAATCAAGGCGATTCTGTCGGTGCTGACAGGTGTGGTCCGGGCCTCAGCAAGAAGAAAGGTGTAGGGTTTAGGGAAGTTTCAGTGATGGAAGTGTGCAAAGGTTTGGATTGCAACATAGGTGTTGATGTACCTTTGAGGGTGTGTAGATCGTGCCCAGCACTTGCCAGAGTTGGAATGGGCACCCAAATCCTCTGCAACCTTGACAAGGTGCATTATGCACCAAGGTGGCAGACAAGATGGCTACAGCGGCAGAGGAGCATGAAAAGGAAGTTGAGGCACGTTTTGCTTCCGACGATTTGACGGGCGTGAAGACACCTGTTCCAAGTGTGTCGGGATTCGGAGTGCGAAGCCAGCATAGGGGCATTAATAATTACCTCTGCTATTTTGGTTGTTCCTTATTTTAAATATAGTTCATAATATGCCACCAAAACCCTATTCCAATTATTAAGGCCCCTATCCCAATTAAGCCATGTTGCGACAATTCAAAGTCACCTGCCCACATCTCCATCACAGCCCACACCACCTGCATGGCCGGGATAGCCGGCACATCGTTGTGTGCTTTCGACAGGAAGCTGAGACGAAGAAGCGGGACGGGTTCCTCCGAAAGTACTTGGAAGAGGCTTTCGCAGGTGCGACTGACAATCGACGCTTGGATTCGCAGATGGGTTCAATCTCTATATAGGCAAGGGCTCCCTCCTGTTCAGAGCAACCCTCTCTGTGCTCGATGTAAGCTTAGCTCCCCGGGGGAATCCTCGGCAGTCGCCGGCAGTGTAGTGGGGGAGACGTAGAGAGCGATCTGAACATCATCAACAACATGCCACTTGTGAATCAGAACGAAGAAGTCAAGTCGTAGCAGCAGCCACAGCAGGACACAGCACAGTGTACATGTTCTTCGTGTGTTGAGATGTTGGACTAAGGTGAAGAGATGTCTTACAAGACTTACCAGGCCGGACTGCAACGGAAACCCGCATTCAAAGACAAAGGAGCACTCCAACACTCTGCTCCCATCGATGGAAGAGCTTATATGTATAGTATTATCAAGACCCTAGTCTGATTATTTAAGCCCCTATATTTACTGTAGAAAACCCTATATTACTGTAGGAAACCACGGACGCTGCCCCGCGACTTGACCAACATCGCTATCGCTGTCTGATAGCTGGAGTAGAAGTACATCCTCACAAGACGAGAGCCAGGGATCTGTGGCTTTTTCACTGCCATAGTCCATCTGAGCCAACTGGAGTGAACACTCAAGCGTTCTCATGCTGCAAGCTTCCGGTAAAGATGCTGAATTCTGTTGCTGTTTAGTGTCAGGCCCTCGTGGACAAGGAAGAAGTTTGTGAGGACCGTTGTGTCACAGCTACATGTTCTCAGCCGGTCAGTTAGCCTGAGATCTGCGTAGGTCCCCCCGGGCCCGAGTCTGCCCAGCCTTGCCGGCTTCCAAGCCCCAATGCGTAAAGGAGATGTGCGAGATCCTAGACATGGACAAAGACGAGCTGCTGGCTGCATGGGATTCTTGGCTTGAGTTCCACCCGATTTGCCGGACAATCCTGACATGGGAATAAGGATCCTACTATTTAGGGTGCTCTATTAGGGTCCCCTATTTTCGGAATCACCCACATGCACTTGTACATCCAATGATTCACTCCCAAGACCTCGGTCCCTGCGTTGCACACTTTGTTTTGCTGCATCAAGTTACCCGATAGAACGTAGATCCCTTAATTTGGGGCCCTCTACTACTAAGGGTACTTTATCGGAACCCCGATTAAGGGATCTACTTTTTGGTTACCCGAGCTCTGTGATCTTTGCCGCTACCCAGGAAAGCTTCCCCAAGGAGCTGAAGCAGACGCCTGGGGCTCATGCCGTTTCTCCCTGTCGAGCATGGGTCTACTTCCATCGTGCGTGTATGCGTATCGGCGTATGTATATAGTCTCCAGAGTGTATATGTGTGTATATAGAGAAAGCATACATGCAGGCACGAATGAGCTCATTCATGTCAAAACAAGCCGGATGGCTTCACGGAAGGTAGAACGGATAAGTTCGCATGATATACTAACATATACTCGTCTATACTATCATATACTATATAATAATATACTATCATTTACGATAACATACTATGGCATACTATAAAGACGGTTCTGGAAGCTGCTTTGTAGATGATCATCTTCCAGGTTTGTTTTGATTCGGCTGTTAACCACCAGTGAGCGATTTTCTGGGCAGGGCTCACTGCTGCATCAGTTTTTTTGTACATCCATGCACGCCCTGCACGTCATGAACTGAACTGGACCGGAAGCCAACAAGATTTATGCAACCTTGTTAATCTGTTCATGCAACGTGGCTAGTTTACTCGCCTACAGGCTCGAGTACATGTAAATACTGTGGATCCTGCGCCTAGTCTCTTAGAGAACCTCGGGTTTTTTTGAAGCAGTCGAGAGGTCAGTGCTTCGCCAATGTGTTGACCCTGAAGTAATGTAGGAGCCCTAATATTAGAATTGCTTATTATATGTGTAGTATCATATAACCCCTAAACGCTATTTCAAGTATTACGGCCCCTACAGTAGCCAGCTCGTCCTTGCCTCGCGTGGCCTGTTTCTACTCTTCAGCAGCGCACTGTTCGGACTCCTGCCTGGAGCCCTGCGAGCCTTCTGAGTCGAGACCAGTTCATATAGGGCCTGAAGAATTAGAATAGGGGTCCGTTTCAAAGAGGTCTGTAGGGGCTGCTACAAAGGATGCTACAAGGGCTCGATGATAGGGGAATTATTGATCAGAATAGGGTTTTGGTTTTTATGGAACCCCCAAGACCCTATTCTAATTGGTGAGGCCCCTATATTACCCAGGTACACTGGACCGCAGGAGATTGTGTCTCGGGATGGATTCGTGGACTCGCTGATGAAGCTTGGTTTGCAATGGCTTCGATGGCTAATACACGTTATGATAGTTATGATGATGACCATTGCGTACTGACCATTACTCTTGCTATCACGATGGCTTTTACACTTTCTAACACGAATTGTTGCTATTTTCTTGTTGCTTTCACTCTTACAGTGACGGTTGGCTATGGCGATGAATATAACTGTTGCCATTATTGTTGCTGTTAAGTACTATTGTTTTGACTGTGGCGATTAGTTGTTGTTGACTATTGCCATTGCTATTACCATTGATCGTGGTATCACAATACCTTAGCATTGTTGATTGTTGTTGCTGTTGCTCTGCATCCAGTGTGGGCAAGTTGTTGGCCCTTTTGAGGCCGCGCGTGCGGGCAAGTAGGGCTGAACATTTAGAACGTGCGTCGTTTCTTGGCAGTTCACCAAACCAGATCACCAACCGACTTTAGCAAAGCATGGCTCCAGGAAGCCTGCAAGAGATTTGTGCCTACAAGCTCTTCGATAACACTGGCAGTAGTCCCAGCAACAGCACTGACAGGCACCCCTGCATCGAAATGGTGCTGCAAGGCCCTCTCGATTCCCTCAAGTGGGCTTTCCGGGTTGCTTCACGCAGCGAAAACACTGCAATGCCCAGGAAGGCGCATGGCACTCCAGATCTCCTTTCAGTTACACGCGCCTGGGCCGGATTTGAGAGACAGAGCGGACTGGCTTGCGGCTCCTGGCTACAGGCTTCGTTTCGTGTTTGACGTTACTTAAGATCTGTTGTTAAGGTCTGGTCTTGGGCAGGTGCACAATGCCATTGTCATCGACCAGTTAATAGCAGATAAGATGTCCTGTCGTGGTGGGCTTCCTCATCAAGATCATCCATCTTTGCATCGCCGCTACGATTTTCATTCTGTTCCTGCTCCGTCGGACGAAGAGAATCGCCAATCGGGGATTCAGTCGGAAGGCAGAGCAAAGGTGAACCAGAAACACAAAGACTCGTTTGTCGGTGGGACCGTCGTGAAGCCCTCTGTTCCCAGGTGTGTACCAGAAGCTTGCTCGGATTGAGAAGGCCCTCCGGGTGTCATGAGGTGGCAGTCGCGGATGCCGCGGGATCCACACTTCCATTGTGGTCCTCCTTACCAAGTATTGGCCTTGCTTGTAATGACTTTAGTCACCCTGTAGCCTGCAAATACGAGGATGCCCGAGGGAAAGGAGATTTTGAGATCGGGTGAAGCCATCATATGTTTTTCTGTGTTTATTCTGTCAAAGGCTTCGTGTGCTATTCGGTATATCCAACTAGGCTGGTGTCGGGATGTGATGGATTTAGCTCGGTTTCGGGACAACCCAGATACAAAGCCAGATCGTGGAATGCAGTCCAACACTTCAGACAGCACGTCGGATCCCGAACCGTGTCTTGCCAGCGAAGCTGAAGTGTCCCGGAAGGGAGCAGGGGAAGATTGCTCGTGAACACGGACAGGTATTGCTGTGCCTTTTTTGATCTCTGCAGTTGGTGTCCCAACAAGAAACCCCTGCCAGCGCTGCTAGCACGAAGCACGAAGCTGAGCAAAGCGGGGGCTCCTTCGAACTGAGTCACTGCACTGCTTCATGGAAATGCATCACACCAGCGAGCCTTTGTCGGTGTGTGCTTGTGTGACAGAATATTCGGATGGGCCCCTACTCAGCTGCTCTACGTCACAGCGCAGTCGAATTGCAGATAGTGCAAGTTGTTGCCCCCAATTGCTTACGGGCAGCGTGCATAGAGCTGGCAAATGCTTGCAAGCTCTTACAGGACTCAGGGCCCGCACAGATTCGCATAGATACCTGTATGGTACGTGTTCTGTTTTATTCAGCCAAGCATAGTTCGGAGCTGCGTAGGCAAGCGGGCTTGGAACAGCAGCCTGCAAAGGTTTTTTCAGATTTGTCAAGATGGCAGACAACATTCGCATAGCCAGGGATGCCTGCGTACAGCACAGGGAGAGGATTCTGCAGGCTGCAGATCAGCGACATGGCTTCGCACGAAGGAGTCGTCAAATCATCTGGCTGATGGAAAGTGGGTACCTTGGTGCAGTCCATGTCCAGACACGGAGCCGCTGTCTTAGACTTTGGTATGGATATGTTTGGATGTTTGTGTGGGTGCAGTGGTGACTTCGGCCCTATCCCGACTTGGACTGTGGCGAAATGCCGACAGTTTTCCAGCTCGCCACTGCACGTAAAACGCCTCCGCACCCGAGCACTTGGGTGGAACTTAGGTTTGACTTCGCCAAAGTCTGTGGAGAATCGGAGCCGACTCCTCTGTAGTTATGTTTGTAGGCCTGCAGTCTAAGTAGGATTACAACTTCTGGGAAGCGGCTTAGTCCGGCAGCGAAGCTGGCAAGGGTGTTTGACTACAGAGCACGGCTGCTTCACCTGACTTCTACTGCTTGAAAGAGCAAAGCTCTTTGAAGGAGACTTCTCTATGGTTCAATGATCAATGCACACAAAAACTTTCGTCCTTGAGCAAACCTTGCGACCGTGGCAAAATCATGCTGGCTGCGGGGCATGGGGTTCCGTCTCTTCTACTCCCACGGTTGCCAAACCCTGGCATAGGGTTGGAAGTTCAGGATGTATACTCCATGTAGACGCTGACTAGGTAGGAGGTTGCTGCTCTCCTAGATCGCTGCCTCCTTCCGTCGTCTCTTGGATTCAGGGCTCTTGGAATTCCGACCTTTCTCGGCTCAATGAGGTGGCGCCTGGTCAACATGGACGTGATCCCCATCGCTTGGGCAGTTCACGAGCTGCCCCTGTCCTGCAGAAATTCTCGTCGTGGGTGAAGTGTAGGTTAGATGAGCAATCAAAGCAAAAAGGACAGCAGCAACAACACATAAACATATATTTCTTAAAGGCTAGGCTATCGGCAGATAGATGCATGTTCTTCTTGTTTCTGTCTATATACACATGTGCTTGTTCCACTCTTGAAGCTCCTTTCATTGTGCGTGCATCGTATCTTTCGGGACAGCGTGAGACTGACTTGGCTTTCTGTGTCCTTTGTGAAGATCCTTGCGCCCATAGCTTGGCCCACAGACTCAGAGCAGATATGCATTTTGAGGAGGGGATCAAGAGCAGGTGAAGGCGAAAGCTCCAAGCCCTTGGCTACGGCTCAAGGCCTGTGCCAAGTGTAACCGACCCAGCCCAGTGCCTCTTTTTCCCCCTCTGCTCTCCCGTCTTGGACGCGCCCCAGAAAAGTCCCGGAGGCGAGGCCTTGCCGAACATTGATAACCTGCAAACCATCCGAAGGCATAATGGTTTCGACAGCGGCAAGGGACAACCTGCGGATGTAAGGCCTCCAAGCTGATTCAAAAGACTTGATAGCCTCTTCACAGCCGTCGGGAACATAAGTGTTCCCGACGGCTGCGATGAGGCTCCCAAGTCTTTTGAATTTGCTTGGAGGGCTTTTGTCCACAGGTTGTCCTGCTCGCTGAACTGGCTGAAGGTGCCCGTCACCTCCGACAGCCTCGACTTCAAGGACAAGGTAGTGACGGCCCGGTGCGCCTCGCAGCGTCGGTCCAGCCCCGAGACCAAGGCCGGTGGAGAAGATCCAGCAGCTTTTGACCGATGCCAAGCCTGCGATCAAGAAGACCTTGAAGGGCCTCCAGTCCACGTTGACCAACGTGTGCAGCGCCACGTCCGACTGCCGTGGCCCGGAGATGCAAAGGAGCTCCGCTGCTTTCGAGAAGAACTTTACGGCCAAGAGCGCAGCACACAAGACGTGTCGGCGGACTCAAAACCTGGACGCACAGAACACTTGCCGGACAGAGCTGAAAACTGTGACAAGCACCGCCAAGACGACATGCGAGGCGCTGGAAGCACTGGAGAAGACCATGTACAGCGCCAAGGACTCGTGTGAAGCGAAGTCTGGTAAGGCTTTCGAGGCTTACCACACACGGCTGATCGAGGCGTCGCAGAAGACTTTGGCAGAGTACGCAAAGCTGAAGAATTGGTGCTCCAAAGCCAAGAAGGAGTTGGAAGACAAGGGACCTGAGTGCACCATCGCATTGAAGACTTACGAAACCCTGAAGCACAACTGCGACAGTGTGCAGGATGCCATGGATAGTCGGATAGTCTTTCTTGCTCCCACTATTGGGCGGCGACCAGCAAGTGCGAGGCTTTTGGAACGTGCTATGACAAGGCTGTCTCCAATGACGAGTCCAGATTCGTCCAAAGGAGAGGCGCGCCATCTTGCGCATGCCACGTCCCGGCGAACATGGCCGGGAGCGAAGGCCTGCCTGCGGACAGTCCGGCCAAAGCGTGTGTTGCTTCCTGCTGCCAGCAGTCCCGCGGCACGTCCGGCTTGAACTCTGGACTTCTCAGGGCTCAGCAATGCTCAGCACAACGCCTTCTGGCGACGGGCACCTCGCCCTCAACGTCCATGCGAACGATGGCCACGTGGTATCATACGTGAACAGGGAGTCCGCCGCCGGCCTGGGGCCAGCGACAAGGTCGAAGAACGCTTCACTCGGGACTACAAGGATGGGGAGGTCTTCAACGACGTGCAGGCCAAACAGCTGCTCATCGTCTGTCACAGCGAGGGCAAGGCGCTTGGAAGTTGGAAGTTGCTCGCCACGAAGACGCTGCAGGGCTGATTCACGATCGGCAACACCTGCACTACGGGACTCAAAAGCACGAAAATGTAGCACGAAGTTCCAGATGGCTGCAGAAACCACAGGTGGCGACGTGAGCACGCTCGTCAAGAATGAACCCCTGATCAAGAACACGATTGATGGCACCGAGAAGCTCTATGTCAATTCAGCGCACAACACAGGTGAGCGTCAACGTCAATGGCAATATTTTGGGAAATGCCGGGGCCGGCCTTGGCACCCAGGTATGACTCACATTACGGTCTCGCCGACTTCTGTGGAAAGACAGCGCGGCCGCAGGCGGATGCAGAAATGCGATCGGAAATGCACCACAGAGGCAGCGGTGGCGGCATGGGCGGTCTCACGGGTTCGGCTCACACATGCAACGAGAATTGCCCATGGACGATCAGCTCGGGCTACGATTGCGACTCCACGGTCTTTGTCATGTCGTGATCGGGCGTCCACCGTCCAGGGGAGCTGTTGGAGGCCTGATGTCGCACATGTGCTGTTGATATCGTAGACCCCAAGTCTGCACCGTTGATCGTTTCACCCATCATCATCAAACCTCGAAGCACGTGCCTCGCCTGGATTGTCCGAGTGTGAGCGCGGGTTTAAGTAGCCATGTGCAGGTAGGGGAGTTTGGAAGCCCAGGATCTATCACAGCGATGCCCTTTGCCAGCAACGACTTTCAGCCTCTTTGCTGCAGTGCGAATTGCTTACTTACCTGGTTTGCTTCATTGCCCTTTCTATACACATGCATCATGAAGACGTTGCATATGGAAGGTTTAATGTATAACTGTATAACTTAAGGGCTTAGAGTTGCGAGCCCTGCAGAAGGAGTTGTGCCAGTCTTGCTCCACGAGGTCGTAGAGGTTGACGGGGAGGCTTTCGGTTTCGCAGTTTAGCATGAGGCCCGTGCAGCAGCACCCCCAAGGCATCGCTAGGCAAGAGCAAAGCTGCGAAACTGAGCCGCCAGTTGCAAGCATCATGGTTCAACACATTTCAAAACGATGCAAGCACAACACAGCATAAAGCACTACAGCATGTGTAACCGGAGTGAAACTATTCAACAATGAATGAACGTGCAATGATGGGTC